TACAGTGAATCTTGTCTAATCCAGATTTTGTGTAATTTAAAACTGAATAGCAGAGGAAGACAAAAGTTGAAGATGGATAAAAATCCTATTTTAAAGAAGTAATACAGTATGAATAATTACCTAAATATAATATAGGCCTATATGTATGTTGTATGGTGCTCTCTTTTCCAAGCTAAAGAGTTGGTGATAGAATATGCATAACTGTTTCTTTTAAATTTACTTGAAAGTAAATTCTCAGACATAAAGTTCACCTGTTCACACAAAGAAATATGTTATGTATTATTAACAACATATTTCTAAAATGTGTTCTTCATTATACATTCTCTCCATTTCATCAGACTAACAAAGTAACTCTTCTCAAAGATAAAGAAAATAGGATTATTTTCTTAGAGCTCAAAGCTTAAAATAAAATAAAGGGATCTAGGGGCCACAGCCCTCATTTAACTCTGCCTGAAAAAGAAGTATGAAGTTCACAAACCAAACTCAGTCCAAAACAAGACAAGGGTGAGGTCAGATATATTAACGACTGTGCAAACAAATACAGATATTATAGTTCCACTGCAGCAAATTTGGGAAAAGAGATGTGTTTGTGAAACACTGATGCCCCCGTATGGAAGCTTATGGCGAGGGTTGAAATTTCTCAAATGCCAGCCAAAATCCACAGGTCAAGGTCAAAGTTGTTAAAACCCAAAGGAAGGTCTTGTCACAAGGAATACACCTGTGAAATATGAAAGCCTTGATTCTAACTGTTCAAATGTTATAGCCAAGTTTGAAGTTTTTAAAAAGTGGGTCAAAACTCTAAGGTCAAGGTCAAAAGGTTGAAATATTTAAACCCACTGAAAGTTCTTGTTACAATGAATATAAATGAAGTATGTAAGCCCTAGCACCAACTGTTCAAAAGTTACAACCAAGATTAAAGTGTGGCATTTTTTTGTAAAAGTGGGTCAAACTCCAAGGTCAAGGGGTCAAATTTTGTATTATAAGTCAGTTTGGTTTGATTGAAAAGTGCAATCTTACATGTATCAATTAACATCTTCTGATTAAAAACAGCCCCTGACATTATTGTTTCTCAATCTGCATGAGTAGATGTAAACTGTTGAAAACGAATACAAGGTTCCCTTCAATTCAAACCAACTGTGTCTGTTAAACTGTTAAAATTAAAATAAACAAGATTTCCCTGGTGTTAACAATCTGTATGGGTCTATTTAAGTTCCTCATGTTGAACAAGACAAGATAAATCTCTTGTCTACTCCATGTTGATACCATTGTAAACTTTTTGTCTACGGCTAGTTCTGTTTTGTATAAATAGAAATATCCTAAGAAAAAGCAGGTGAGCTGACAGCGTAACATCTATCATTATCAAAATGACATCCTAATCTCGGAAACTGTGTAGTCTTAAATTTGAACAATGAAAGTTACACAAAACGAATTAAGTGGACCCCTTCACATTAGGTGCAAATTAGAAAATTTAAGTACCCCTGAACTACATTTCATACAACTTAAACTTCTTGCAGAGCTTCGTTTCTCCAACAAACAGCTGGCTACTTAAACTATTTTCCAAGAAGTGCCGAAATGGAAAAACTGAAAATTTGAAATATGCAACAAATTTGATCTTTGACTCTCTTCATTTCCTAGACGTGGAACGACCGAGCCAATTTCTGACATTGTTAATAACTTAACATTCTTATGATAATTAGTGAAATAAGCATGTTTATTTCATATTGTCAGTCTATTGCTTCCTTAGTTAATTGACCTGTCAAATCAATGTTAATAAGCTATGACTACAATGTCATAACATCATATACTCAACTTATAGACACAAGTATTTAATACTAGCAGGAAGTATGGGAGCCTTGTAGGAATCATATTGTCCATGTGTCTGTCTGTCCATCAACTCTTATAGAGATGTGAGCAACATGTTTATTAATAAGACAATCTAGATTTTCATAAACACTTGGAATTCCTATGACCAGCCACGAAAATTTCCTGTAATGTGTGAGACATAATTGTCCACATTATTAAACTTCATTCTAGTTCCTTTACCCAGTGTTTTTTCTTGTATTGGCAAGAAGTCTCACACTTTTATATGAAAAATATATGTAGGGATCTTTTAAGAGGGAGTGTAAGAACTGGGACTCAGGAATATCATTTTATTTTATTGTACTTCTCATTGAAATGTCTATGTTAATACAAATTTTAATATATTTTTAAACTTTAGAGCTGCCTAGATTTGAGAGATTCTTCAGCAACATTAATTCCTTTACTTTGTACAATAGTTTAGCAATTATTTTTTACCTTTAAGCATATCATCTCTTTTAAGAAAAAACTTTTAACCATCCATAAAATACCTTTGAAGTTAAAAAAACAAAGCAATTAGATTAACCACTGAGAAGGAATTAACTGTTTCCTCAATATCCATTATGTAACATTCTTAAACCAGTCATAACAAGGCGTGTCCTGATTCTGTCTGCAGTGATGGCCAGCGTCCAAATGGAACAAACTGCTCCCAACATTATCAACTGCAGATTCTGGGATATCTTCAATGATTCACAATAAAACATTTTTATCCCGATAAGTTTTCTATTCATTTTTTGCACCCAATGATCTTTTAAGTATTAAAGTATATTTGAATTTTTGTTTAAAATTTTCATGAGTTATAGTTACATAACAGTTTTTGCTTATTTTGTATTTCGTCATTGTCAGTGAGGTGATTTTGCAAATAAGTGTATAAAATCACTGAAAAGTCTTTCTTTCTAGGAAGTTTTCAAAGAATGCTGAAATTGGGAATCAGTTACATTATTCAACAAAAGAAGTCATCTGTTAATGACATAACAAAATAATGACCTCGTGGTCACTAAATTATCCTCAGAGTGACAGTGGTATTTGTTCATGAGAGATGGGTAGTGTGATAGCATAGAAAATGATCTCTCCAAATGAGCAAGATTTTTCATTATGATTGACAAGAAGCACTGCACACGGATGATCTACTGATACAAATAATTGTATTTTGGAATATGCAGAGCTTCAATCTGCATTATAACCTATAATTTCACTGAGAATTATATGTATATCATCTAAACAATTTTCAAAAATGCCTGGCTATAAGAACCATTGGTGAAGAATTTCATTTTTTTAATTTGAAAAAGTATGCATCTTTGATTGAACACAGCTATCCTGAAAACTTACTTTGTTACGTCAATGGTAGATTATGAGAAAAATCAGATTCTTGGGATTAAAGAACTACAAAATGGAATAAACTAATTATTAAAAGGGTCTTTGTTTCACTGAGATCCTGTACAAAACAAAACCTAGCTGGGGGGAATTTTCCGTGCAATTAGACAAGCCGACTGCAAGATTTCATCATTAAGTCTACTAATTAAAGCATAATGAATTTTTTGAGGCTTACCATTTTTTGTAACCTCATCTACATCATTGTCAGAACTTTAAATAAGGAATTTATTTAAGAATAAAAATATGCTAATTAAAATAGTGAAAAAGGTAAAAATGAAATAAAATTCAACATGGAGTTACATGGAAACTGTAATTATTACATGTAATCTAAATAATCTTCCTTCTCATCAGCATGTAATTAAAAAGAAACCTTTCTCCTTGTCTGATAAAATTGGTTTAGACAGTTAAGCATGTATAAAATTATATCCATGCATTCTTTAAAATTGAAACCGACAATGATAAACTCTTTTACTTACACCATGAAAAATTTCAATTGCCCAAAAGATTAAAAAATATAACTCCATGAAATATCAATAGAGTATGGCATTAACTGCTTTAGATTAAGTTAAAAGGCAATGTGAATGCCAAACTTTTCCTTGTGATGTAAAGAAAAACAGCATTATTTATGTCTAATTAAAAATAATCAATTGTCGGAATGTCATGCATAAAATAGTTATCCCCCCTGATGCAATGTGTTGCATAATATGCTAATTGAAATATGCGACCAGTAATGTCTAGTGAAAATTGATTAATACAACTGTACATCAACAAGAGACACACATCCCTCACCTGAGTAACTAATGGCCCTTCTATTCTTCAGCAAGAGATTCTTTTTACTACATATTTTTAGGCAAAAATTTTATCAAAGATTATGACCCCAGCCTACCCCCAAGGTACAAACTTCATTCTACACTACCTGATGATGCTTCCATATAAATAAATAATTATAAATATGAGTTATGACAAATCATGGCTCTGCTGTTATTGAGTAGATTTTTAAAGGTTTTTCCTTTGTATTTCTATATATTACCAAGGGGTACTTTGATCTCCTGTTGTGGCCTTGTCCTACCCCCAGGATCATGATTTGAAAAAAAAAAACTTTATATCAATCTGACTAAGGTTATTATACTGGTATCTATGCTGTTTTTTTTTTTGAGAAAAAGATTTCCAAATATCATTTTTAAAATTTTTACCCCTGCTGTTGTCCAACCCTACCCATGGGGTCAAAATTTAAGCAAATTTGAATCTAAGTAATGAAGCTTTTATGTCAGTTTCTTCAGTGGTTCTTGAGAAGAAATTTTTTAACAATGCCTCTAATTTTTCACAAATTCTTCATTATCTCTCTTTAAATAGGATGTGGCACTGGATCAAAAATGTGAAAAGTTTATGACAGACTGATAGACACACAGAGGGATGCCAGGCACTTTTCATAAAGAAAGCTCGCTTGATTTTTTGACAAGCTACTATTAATAACCAATAGCTTTTAAATGCTAATCATACTCATAGAATATTGAAAATATACCCTTAAAGCATATTTCTAGTATAAATACTTCAGATTTGATTTGATTTTGACTAAAATGCATGACTAAACACAATATTTACATCATATTATTATTTTTTTTTAGAATTCCTACAACTAACTCCAAAGTTAATTTTCTTTACTTTGACAGGTAAGTAAGTTAAATTTTTTTCCACTTATCCACGTGCAGAAAAGAGAGGTAACTCTTTTGTTTTTGTAGATTTAGAATGAAGTGATTATTTCCCCTTACCATATGCATCTTCATCTACATCACCAGAGTAGTATTCCAGCACTGTTCGATAAACATCATATCCAAGCTTCCTATACATGTTGACTGCTACTTTATTTGACACTCTTACAAAAAGGTCCACGAAAAAACACTTTTTTCTGAAATATATAATATCCATGGTAGTAAATATATACACATGTATAGTAAAAATAACAAGTACTTTAACTTTGTAAAAGTGAGCACTATACTGCTAAAAAATTTTGAGATGTCTTGGAAGTATAGAGACAACAGTAACAAGAGGCCCATGGGCCACATCGCTCACCTGAGCACTGTGGCTAGGAAAAAGTAGAAATTGGTTTATTATTGAAAAGTTTAAATCCAAAAGTAGTCCCATGACCAATCATGGCTTTGCTATTCTTGGGAAGATGATTTTTAAAGAATTCCCCTATATATGTTTATGTAAAACTTTGATCGGCCATTGTGGCCCTGCCCTACCCCCTGGGGCCATGATTTGAACAAACTTGAATCTACACTACCTGAGGATGCTTCCATATAAATATGATCAAAAATACCTTTTCTATTCTTGAGAAGATTTTTTAAAGAATTTTCCTATATATTTCTATGAAAAACTTTGGTCGGCCATTGTGGCCCCACCCTACCCCCGGGGGTCATGTTTTGAACAAACTTGAACCTACACTACCTGAGGATGCTTCCATATAAATATGATCAATTATGGTTTTGCTATTCTTGAGAAGATTTTTTAAAGAATTTTCCTGTATATTTCTATGTAAAACTTTGTTCGGCCATTGTGGCCCCCGCCTACCCCTGGGGGTCATGATTTGAACAAACTTGAACCTACACTCTCTGAGGATGCTTCCATATACATGTAAATATGATCAATAATGGCATTGTTATTCTTGAGAAGAAGATTTTTAAAGAATTTTCCTATATATTTCTATCTAAAACTTTGGTTGGTCATTTTGGCCCTGCCCTACCCATGGGGGTCATGATTTGAACAAACTTGAATCAACACTACCTGAGGATGATTCTATATAAATATGATCAATTATGGCTTAGCTATTCTTGAGAAGAAGATTTTTTAAAGAATTTTCCTATATATTTCTATGTAAAATTTTGGTTGGCCATTGTGGCCCCGCCCTACCCCGGGGAGTCATGATTTGAAAAAATTTGAATCTACACTACCAGAGGATGTTTCCCCATAAGTTTCATCTTTCCTGGCCCAGTGGTTCTTGAGAAGAAGATTTTTTAAACATGCCACCAAATTTTCATTAATTCCCAATTATCTCCCCTTGAATGAGGGCGTGGCCCTTCATTTGAACAAACTTGAATCCCCTTCACCCAAGGATGCTTTATGGGCAAGTTTGGTTGAAATTGGCCCAGTGGTTCTTGAGAAGAAATCGAAAATGTAAAAAGTTTACAGACAGACGGACAGCTAGACGGACGGACGCTGGACAAAATGTGATCAGAAAAGCTCACTTGAGTCTTCGGCTCGGGTGAGCTAATAAACTTTGCAGTTTTTGAAACATCAGTGAAGGTAAGAGGAAATCAAAACAGGATACTGTGGTTTTATCAATTTTCAGGTACATATGTATTTTGTAAAACAGACGTTTTCAAGGATACATAATTTCGTTGACAAAAGCATTGCCTATACAAATGAATAACATATTTCTTAATTCAATGAACACTGAATTTCGTGGATCTGCTCAACAACAAAGTCCTCGAAAATTGGTGCTCAATGAATATTGATGAAACCGCAGTAATACAAAATAGGGGGACGGCCATTTGACTCATATGCTGGGTGCAATTTTTTGACTCAGATTTTTTTTATTTTCATGTCTGTACATGAATTATAAAAAGCTCTTCTTCTTCTCCTGTGATGAAGTGCCAACAAATATTGTACATACTAAATATAGTACATGGTTTTACAATTTTCTATGAATTGGCAAAATTAATACTCAGTTATACATACTGTTCCGATATCTGTTCCAGATTATTCATTAAAGTTTTGGCCAAACCCAGGCGACGGAACTCAGGTGCCACAGTCAGGGCAGTCACATGACCATGCCATTTCTCTCCCCCTCCTTCTGCTTTTCCCATGACTGATAAATAAAAAATATATAGTTCATTTATAATTTTGTAGTAAATATGCATGTTTGGTTTATACAGTGTGTTGTAATTTGGAGGGGAATATATGAACATGCATATAAAATTATTTAATGGGCTTGAGTTCACAGTCATTGTAAACCAATGTGCTTCATATTTAGTCCAAGGTGAAACTTTGATCTTCCAATGCATCCCAATCCTAACCTTGGGGGTCATGATTTAAACAAATGTTAATTTACACTACATGAGAATGCTTGTTTAATAATATGACAATCATGGTTGATTTATTGAGATCAAGATTCATTCCCCCTCCCCCAATTATATACATGTATTGTGATCCCCAGTGTGGGTGCTCTTTACTTTAGATCTAAGGGCTACAATTTGAACAAACTTGAATCCAAGCTACTTAAGGTTTTGCCAAAAGTTTTAGCTTTATACCTCACACAGTTTTGGGGCAATTGTAAAAATAAATTTGTGGACATCTTGACCTTTGGCAAAACCTTAACTAAGAATACTTGAATATCAATCTAATTACCGGTAATAAAGATTTTGTTGTTATTGAGAAGATGTTTAAGTTTTTTTTAAAAGACATTTCCATGTAAAACTTCGAAACTTAACCACACCGTATCCCTGGGGACCAAACTTAAATCTATACAATGATAGTAACTGACCCCACTCTACTCCTCCAGAATCAAACATGAATATAAGCTAAGTCAACAATTCATTTTTTTTAGTAAGTTTGGTTGAAATTAGTCCCTTGATTTTAGAGAAGACATCAAAGCAAGACACCCAAGGGCAAGGGTTGCTCATCTGAGTTACATAAACCATGATATTCTTAAAGTTTTAAAAATGTTTTTCCTCCTTTGTTATCCCATGGAAATTCCCATCCCATCCCAGGAACCATGCTTTGAACAATTTACAGTCTGCACTATATCTGGACATCTTCACAAAACATTCATTTTCTCTTGTGCAGTGGTTCTTGAGAAGTTTTTCATACAACAAGGTCATGATATAGTCTTTGTTCATTATTTACAGAGTGCAAGATAATAAAACCAGTGCATATTGGGGTAGAAAACTAAAGGTAATAAGCAAACGTTTAAAAATAGATTGTTTTATACTCACTGTATCCCATAATCTTCCCACCGGCTGATTCACAAGTCTGAAAATACTCAGGCCATCTGGCCAAGTACTGCATATAAAATGGCAGACCATACTATCACAGTTAAGGATTGATACATGCCTAGTTAGGGAAAACAGATTTTAAAAATTTGAAGTTAGATTTCCATTCTTGTCAATGAATAGTTATAATGGGTTATTTTTGTTGTAAATATGGTCCAATTTTTGTGACTTTGTCAAATCTCAAAATGAAAATTTATTCAAATCCTATATTTTTGTTACATCTCTTTGAATATTATTGAAAAAATTGGAAACCTAAATTTTAATGGATTTTTTTTTATATTGATACATGTAGGAAACAATACCAATCACAGAAAATATCTTTTAATAATACAGTAGTATACACCCTATATTATTCACCTGCCTTGTTGATTTCGCTTCCTGACCTAGGGAATGATATCATTAACTCTTCAATTATGAATCACAAATTATTTATGATCAACATACTTGCCAACCTCCGACATGTAAAAATCTGGTCATGACCAACAGCATTATTAAATATCTAGACAATGTGAAAGTAAGACTGTCATCCTGACTTTTTTTATGAAGTTTTAAGCATGTTAACTTCAATATTTTGGATACTAAATGAAAACAAATTTGGTGAATTGCAATCCAAAATGTATTTAGATAATCTTATCAATTTTTCACCTTTGTCCACGAAATGGCTTTGAATTTACAGAAATTTTTAATCTTTGTTTTGACCATGAAGTCTCTGTCTTCTTCACTGAAGTAAATGGTACTCAGCAGAAGCACATGATCATACACAAATGAAGAAAAAAATATTACAACATATAAGAATTAAATATCCACTGACAAAATTTTATTAATCTAATATCTTTAAAAATTGTAAATCTATGTATTATGTTCAGCATATCTATATATATATTTTTTAGAAATAATGCAGAAAGGATACAGTTTCTGTTAATGGATCCAAATTCCTGAAAATAGAAAAAAATATTCAATTTTTTATTTCAGAGGCCTGTTCAGCAGAGCGAACGTTCACGAGCGCTTGCCAAAATTACTACTGGAGGTATAATGAATTTTGGCGAGCACTCGCTAATGTTCGCTCTGCTGAACAGGCCTCAGGTCATTGAAAATTTAGTGTTAAAAACATTACAGTCTGTTCACTCTATAAAATCTTTAATCTGAACCTGATTCTTGTGGAACATACTTTGTGCAAAGAGAGTCGAAAATAGCTTCATCCAGTTTCATTATAAATAGTAAATGAAATTGCCAAAAGGTGTTTCCATACTTTCTCACATTATGCTAGCATGACAACGTATTGAGTGTAAGCAAGACTAAGAGTTGTGTAAAGTAGCATTAATTAACGTGATGGCCTGTTGTGTGTTTATTGGACAGCATGTTGTGAAAAGTTACAAAATTGTGATGCCACATTATGTGTTATCATGACAGCTTGTCATCTTGCAAGCACTTTGTCTCTTGCAAAAGTGCAATGGTGCATACTGAGTGAACAATGAGTGCAATGCCACTTTGCGCTAGCTAGAGCATAAATGTCACTTTGCGTTAGCGTGTTAATACTAACACACTGTTACAATTTTATGAATGGTCCTATCGGGACACCATGTATTTTGTATGCTGGTCATTACATATTTAAAAGTGTCAAGAACTGTACAGATCTCTTCTAAATCAAGACTTTGTTATTAATGTTAAACCCTGCAGTTTCCATTGTATTTAAGTTAAGAGAATGAAGACTGGTACCATGCATGGATTATGCACTAATCAGGTATACAATGACCTTTCAAAAAATACCTACACATTGTTAAATCTAAATAAATCTTCACAAACAAACGGACGAATCGTGGTCATCCTTCTTCTGTGCCGTGCCGTGGAATATAAAGAGGATATCGACCCCGATCAATCAAACATCAATATGGTTTAAGCCAACACAATAATCATGAAATAACCTAAATACTTAAGATTATAATAGGAGTAAATAAATATTTAAAAAGAGTTCAAATTTGTCGATAAAATTTATAACTCGAGTAAATGTACTTAAAAATCTCGGGCTCGGTGTTATAGCTATACTACTTCCGCCAACAAACAACAAAGATGCGGTAAACTTGAAGGTCCAAACTTGATGTGTTTGTATGTTTCTCATTTTTCATCTTTTCATGAATACTGTTCAAGTTGACAAACGTTTCATAAAATGCATGTGAAATATTTTTACTTTTTATTTCAATGAAATAATTGGTAAATTTGGTTGCCTCACAAATTGTTAAATCTGAGCCGTAAGCAAGTCTGTACATGTGCCAAAGATTTTCTATTCCATCCATAAATTGTCTGTTTATCAAGAAATTATGTGCGTTTTGGGTTTGTATAGATTTAGATTATCATTTTATTTAATATACCTTAAAAAGCAAACTTAACCTGACTTGTTCCTGTTTTCTGTAACAAGGAGAAATGAATATTGAAAAGACACTGAAATTATATACAGGGACACCTGTCAAAAAGTTTGTCTGGCAAGAGTTAAATATTACAGCATTTTTCAATATCAACTAATAATAGAATGGGGTGATGTCAGGAATAGAGAAATATTATGATAAAATAATCCCCAATGTATTAGTGCCAACAATTACAGTTTAAAAACGGAACTGACAGAAACATATTTGTCCTAGTCAGCAGATATCAGAGAGAGTGGAGAGTGTACACATCACAGTAGGCCTTGATCAGTATACTACTAGTATGTGATCAAATGTGTCAACACAATTCATGTCTAGTACCTACAGGACCTCTACAATATTTTTCATTCATTAAAAACAAATACTAGAAGGCTAGTTAAAATTAATTCCAATGAAGATTGAAGGATCAAATCAGTTTTTCACTTTCTCAGTGATGTATTTATCTTGGAAAGAATATCAAGTGATTATAGAAGAAGCACTATGTCATGTAAACCAATTCTTTTCATGTAGTAAAGATGTGCAGGCCTTAAGAGCTTTGTGATTTTACACCAGTCTTGCCACTATGACATCTTCATCAGAAGACCCCATATTTGTGGGGCTGGACCAGAAATTTGACAAGGTTTTGGCTGATATGAAACCTCATGTACTAAAACTACCTCATAAAACAGGTATACAAGATTCTTATATGGTTTAATGTATCTGACATTTTCAAATCAATCATGCTGAGTTTGTTTGTTTTTCAAATACTTATTCAACCATTGTTTAAAAATGAATTTCAGATCACTCCAATGGTTAATTTTTTTTTCACTTTAAGACTAAATCAAATGCTTTACACTGAAACAGGGATCAAGCAATTTTGTGGGAAAAAAAGAAATAAATTGGGATAACATCAGCTGTCTTTAAATGATCTAGTATATCACTAATTATCTACATGTTCTAAGAATATAATTCAGTTTATCATGTGAATGTGGACACTGAAGAAGTGATGTGTACATGTACTTAACAAGCACTATCTCAATAATGTGTAGTAATAATAATTTTCAATATTACTTACAGATCGTCAGAAATGTGCTATTTGGATTAAGAAGCTTTGTGAACCAGTAACTGGAATAACTGGAAGGTTAGATTTTTTGCATAGATTTACACTGTATTAAGATATATAATACATGTACATGTATTTGTTTTATTCACAACACATTTCATATAACAAGTATAATGTCAATGTCGTTTTACATTTTCTGCTAAAAAAAATTGTTTTTTAGTAAAATATTTTGGGACCAATTGATGTATTGTACAATATTATTATAGAATTTTAAAAAATATAAAATTGTTAATATTTGACACATTCACAGAAAAAATAGGAATGCTTATGCCCAGTTGATGTTACACATGTTAAAGAGAGGAGTGTTAGAAGGACCATTTACAAGTAAACCCCAGGAAGGACCTCTGCCAACCTTGCCACCATATATGGTAACATAAGCTGGGTTTATAAAGGATGTTTTTAGTAACCTATCATGAACTTCAGTCTTTACGTTATCTAAGCTGAGTTTATAAGTGATATATGTAGAATCATAGCATTTACTTTGAGCAATTACGATGGAAAAAATATTTCCCAATGTAACTTTCAGAAGTATTGTACCTTTATGCTCATGGAAAAAAAAAGAATTGTGAAAGGTTGGTAGTATTTTTATGTTGCTTTAAAAGTAATGATTTGTTATTAATTTCATTTTCAGTCTATTTATTTTGATGAACCTTCTGATAAAGGATCTGATGACGTAAGTAACATTCAGTTTCTAATAAAGTAAATGCGATAAATGTAAAAGAATTCTTCATACAAGAATAGCATGACTGTTTACGTTATGATATTGTTAAGAATATTTCCAAATATTTGTTTGATATCTACAGGAGAAGGTGCCAGATTGGGTAGCAGGGGAGCTAACCAGTTCTGTTGGATCATCGCTGTTCAGATCTAATATTGGGAATCCCACTGCCTCCTCCACGTGGAAATCTGGATTGTCTCCCATCCGTTACGAATCTTCACCAAGAAGGTACTCCTCTAAAATCCCTGTTCCAAAAAGTCCGACGTCACCGAGGTATGCTAAGCATGTTCAGTAGTGTGTGACAAGTTAGCAGAGTGACGCTTTCTCTCACTGTATTGGATCAAGTGCACAGATATTATTTTAGATAACAATTTACATAGATGTGCTGTTTGTTTTGATTGTTTATAGAATCATAGATGTTTTCATGAATGGTCTGTTTTAAAATATTATGAAATTGCTTTTAACACAACAACAAAAAAGAATAAAATTTATTTTTTGAAAATAATTTCAATGAAAGGAGATTGGGATAGAAGTGTTGCGGTATTTGAGGGATATATATAAAATAGTTGAAGGTCATTGAAATGTGCACTTGACCTTTACTGGTGCCAGGGTAGACTGCATGCCAAGTGCATGATGGGAAATTAATGCATGATGCAGGTAACATAACACATTTATCTGATGATTCTATATATTTAAAATCCCATATAAGCAATTTGATGCATCTATATATAAAAACTCAAAATATACTGTATATCGCATATTCTTGAGTGCAATGTTACATTCCGTTTTAAACAGCCCTTTTAACACCAGCTTTATGTTTGTATCATTTTGTATCATATTCTACGTGTTTTTGTTTATGTAAAAGTTTTGTAATAATCTGAAGAAGAATTTCTGTTAAAATATCTGATATTATCAAATTGATGAAATTGATGTTTCAGTTTATGAATGGTTAATAATGTAATAACTTAGGCCTAGAAAAAAAATATAACTAATTTATAGTGCCGACCCTAAATATTTTTTTAAATGATGTACAAGATTTATCCAGGGAATTATCTCCAACTTTGCAAGCTTTTCAAGACTGAAAGAATTTTGGGTCACCTTTCTATTATAGTTTAAGTCACAGAAATGCTTAAAAACATCATTTCTTTTGTCATTAATGTTAATTCTGTAGATGTTTTGATTTTTTGATTAAAGAAGAAAAAAAAATTTTTTTTCAAAAAAAATTTGGCCTACCTACCGACCCTATATTTTTTCAGCCTGAAAGCGGAAACAAACATTTTTTTTTTCTAGGCCGTAATGAAAAGTAAATTTATGATATAATGTAGATAGTATTTCTTAAAATTAAGCCTTGTGATTGAATACATCTCCTACCCTTCCATAGATTTTTAGGCATAAATTCTTGTGATTTTGCAGGCGCCCTCACACTAGTCTTGGATTTGACCTGGATAAGGCCCCAGGGCTCTCCTCACCCACCCGTGGATTGGAACAGCCAGAGTTTACAGGGCATACCTATGTAAGTCTAAATCTATATTAAACCAAAAATTAACAATATGAATGATTTTGTTTATCTTTTACTGATAGTGTGAACTGAATATTGGTTCCTGGGAAAGCTTTCAATGTTCTCCACACCTTGTAAAAGTGTAACAGTAAACTTTTGTTGTGACACAGTAAAATGTCTCCGTGCCGCTTCAGAATTCCCCATGCCTTAATAAGATCTGCCACTGTTAGAAGCCTAAGAAGGCTCTCATTGGGAGTCAGAATTAATTATTCCAGAAAAAATTATACACATATAAAGAAAAACTTCCCATATGTTTACCAGATATGAGATTTTGTCTGTCTTTAAACAAATATCACTGATCTCTGAAAATGCTGTTCATTTATTGGAGTAAAGTTTTAAGTGATAGAAAACCCTTGCTGGCTTTAATAATCAGATAAACTGCTTATGTTTGTTTTAAATTTTTATTATTTCTAAAATTTACCCAAATTAATGTAGATGCATTTTTCCCCAAGAATTTCAGAACCTGTTTCAATCCTCAAGTATTTGTCCACTAATCTGCTAGTAACCAATTTGAATGCTTTACATCATGTTTTGATATAAGTAAAACACACCTATAACGTAGTGCTAGGGACCAACAAGGTTGCTTCATTATAAGCATAATTTGTTACCTTGTATATCCATTAATTGTTCATTATATTTTTTAAGGTAAAGGTACTATAAATCACTTCGCCATAAGCGTCAATTTGTTATAAGCGTTTTTGCTATAAGTGTGTTTTGCTGTATATCTTGGAAATGTTCTTGAATGCATTCCTATCAGAGTGTCAGTCTACCCTTTCTACACCCTGCTTTACTTTTGTTCAACACCAGAAACAGCCTGTAGTTCTCTGCTTCTGAAAGACAGATTATCATTTTCATTTCATAATATAATCATCTAAACAGTTTCAGCATTTACTGATGTATAACACATTTGTTTTCCATGACCCCCCTTTTCAACAACAAAATCAGCCTGTCTACACTATCCTATATACATGTATTTAATAATGGTACCAGATTTATGTATCATCATGGTCAGTCCTAACCTTCTGCCTCTGCTTTGTGACAGGACGACAGTTACATAGACTTCCGTAAGCCCACAATAAAGACTGCCCACTCCCTGATAGATGATAAACCTAATATTGATTTAATTGGTGAGTTCAGTAAGCTGCAGATCAATTCAAGATTAACAGAAAATAATCTCAGAAACTGCAAGACAGAATAAAATGCACAATATTTTTATTTAATTCTGTTAAGTGTCCTCATATATCTAGATATCACTAGATATCTTTTAACGATTGTGATAATGTTTTTGGTAGTCTTTATTGGTTGGGTGACATGTTTGCATGTTTTCATTAGATGGTGACAAGAAAAAGACAACATTGCTTAATATGAAGGTAAGGGAGTTCATAGCAGAAAAAGAATCTATGCATATCAGTAATGATACTTGTATAATCAGGAAATTCACAGAGTAGTTATGGACCAGTTTTTCTCCACTCTGAAGTATATTGCATCAAACAATGCGGTACTGCATGTTCACTGCATTGTTGCGCCTGCATGCTAATCAAGCTTTCATATTTGCGCTAACAATATTTATTTTGCTGATTTCTTCAAAAAGTTACAGGAGCTGCTTTAATTGAATTAAAGATATTTATTTTTGTATGATATTAAATATTTATACATTTATGATACAAATATTTATATATAAGATATATAAATATGATATATATGAATGATATCTCCGAAATATATCTTGCACATATATATAAAAGTGTTACGTACCTTTCTGAAAGAAATCAGCAGAGATTATTTTATTTGCTTTAGACACTATTTTAACTGTTTTATTTGATATAAAAGATACAGTCAACTTTCACATTTACAAGAGTTATTTTTCCTTGGATGTGTCAAACAGCATTGAGTTGTTTTCCCCTTTATAATACTTTAACTTTATGAGGCAATGTCTGTCAAAAACCTACATGTAAGTTTTATATCATTATTATAGTTTCTTAGTTGTCTTAGACTATGGCAATATTTGAATGAAATTGACCATAGGCATTGGAAGGTTTAAAATATATAAATTATATATAATTAGATGTTAGCTATGTTGTCAAAGGGAAATTAACTTTGTGAATGTGATAGTCCTTCAGATTTAGTTTCCTGCCTATCTATGTAGAACAGATGATGGATTATAATGCAAGTTTATTACTGCCCTACACAACACTGGTTGTAAAGGACAGTAGTGATGATGATATTACCCATAGATATATGAACAATTTATGTCTCCAGTACTTAATTATACCCATGTGAAAGTTTATAGGGAAGGAACGATACAGGAATCATTTTGTCCATGTATCTGTTAGTGTAAGCATGCCCAAACCATCATTTAATGATGAAAAAAATGTAAGCTCAAGCTGGACAAAGTTTGCTACGATGTGGGAGTAGGTCGTGATTTTAACAAATTTTATTTTTGATTAAGTTCAAGGATACTAGTAAAAGTAAAATTGAGATGCATTGATTAAAACGAAAAATTTCAAAAATATCCTGTGGGAGTTTTATTACAGTACTTCTAGTTGTCACTTATGATGATGGTTCTATAATCACTATTATATATATATGGACTACTTTTAAATTCAAAATTTTTACTTTTATTAGTAAGAATTCCTTCCTCTCCAATATAAAACATGTGCATGTGAAAAAAAGTTAATTTAAGAGAAACATGCATTTGTTTATGTTGTTGTTTATAGGGAATTAATGTGTTTACTTTCATTTTCAGGGTGCAGATGAAGAGCTTAGTCAACCCTCTCCACCTTACACCAAAACTACAAGCAACTTATTTGGCAGTCAGTACAATTGTTATCTTACATCGTTTCTCATTATTTGGCAATGCTACACTGTATATCTTAACTAATCTGTAGAGTTTATTTTTGTCATTTGTAATTAAAGTGACATGTATATTGGTATTATGGAAATAGAATCATTATCAATAGAAAAGCAAAAAACTTCAACAACTTTCATATTAGAAAATAATAAAAAGTAGATAATCTGTTCTCAGAAAATTATGAAAATCAATAACGAGCTTTCATTATTGAATTTTACAAGATTTTTTTTTTTGGTTTTAACAGGCACAGGGGCATCAAGTACATTTTTCCCTGACCAATCAAGAGATTTAGAAAAAGATGTAAGTAACTCTTTAAATATGGTCTTTATTAGATGCCCAATAAATCAGGATTAATGTTATAATGTTTTTTGTCTGTATAGAACTTAAATTTAACTATTTTTCGAATTTTTGAATTATTGAGATGAACACTTTTTTTTCTTCATATGAATTCTTAATGAGAAGTCGTATCAACATGCAGGTCAAAGTTTAAGCATGAGTGAGTTGTCATACAAGAAATTTGCTGTTAGAGGAGGGGGGGGGATTGTATTAATCAAATAAATCTTGTCTCACTTTTAGCTAATCAAATACATTTTTGTTTCCATTCTTGTAGAATATTCAAATGAGAACTAAAATGTTGGAGGCTAGATTTCACGAGGAAAAGCTTCGACTACAGCAAAAGCATGATTCAGCGGTTCAGAAGGTATTTGATTCTTAAGGTTGTTTATTTAACATTGGGTTATATCCAATAGTACAGTGCATAGAAATATTTTATGTTTCTAATTGTGTTTTCAGTATCTTCCTTTGGATATTGCAAGAATGTAGTTTGCATATATGGTTTCTGTTCAAGAGAAAAAATAAGAGCAAACTAAATAAAAGAAATCAAATTTTCATATACAGTGCTCTTTGAATTCCTAAAATATTGTCCCCCGCTTGAAAAGTGGGGGATATTAATTTGGGTTTGTCCGTCCGTCCGTCCGTCTTTTGCTGATTAAAATTGGATTATCCACAAAATAGGAGAACCCTTTGAGCTTTTGCAACGAAATTTAGCATAGCAACTCCCTATGGACTAAAGAAGACCCCTATTGATTTTGAGGTCAAAAGGTCAAAGGTCAAGGTTATAAATAAGCAAATTCTGTCTGTTAAAACACTTTCGAAATTAAAAATTAATATATCCAGAACCATTTGAGCTATTGCAATGAAATTTTATATAACAACTCCCTGTGGCCTAATGAAGAAAAATTGATTTCGAGGTCAAAAGGTCAAAGTTCAAGGTCGTAAATTTATACATTCTGTCTGTGTGTAATACTATCATTTCCGGGCGATATTTCAGGAAGATTTTGAGCCTTATGCAATGTAATTTTATACCAAAACTCCCTAGGACGTCTCTCGCCCCTCTCAAAGTGCCCCACCCCGTTTGTTTTATTAGTATTTATAGTATTACATGTCGCTATTTTTAGCGCAGGGGCATAGGAGAGTTATTGCGTATAAAACAGGTTTTTTTACTTCTATTATAACTTTTTAATAAAGGATAAATATTTTAATCAAACACCTTGGTTTGTGTAAAATTTTGATAATACCTAACATTAAAACATTAATATATACTTGTATGTGACTTCTGTTCTGCATATACTTCACTCCGTTTAAAGCGACTCCGTGGTCTAGTGGTTATGTCTCTCGCTTCAGATGTAAGAGGACCCGGGATCGATTCTAGGTCGAACCGTCCTTTTTTTTTTTTTTTTTTTTCTTTAAAATTGTTTATTTTTTTATAAATGATAGTATTCAGCATATCAAATCTTTATATGCATATTGACATACATGTATTTTATTTGCTTCAGTATACATGTATACATTTATATAATTCTACAAAAAAAGTCAGGGGGAGCAAACTAAATAAAAGAAATCAAATTTTCATATACAATTCTCTGAATTAGCTTGTTTGATTCATGTTTCTGTTTTCTAGATTTTGGACAGAAAGAATGTAGAGATAGAGGACCTGAAGACAAATTACAGAACTAAAGCCAAAGATCTGGAGGAAACTATCAGCAAACTCGAACGAAAAAGTAAAATTTTTAATGAATGATTCAATCCGCAGGCAGTTGTATTATCATTGAGTTTGTGTCTGTTGTTGTTAGTTTTTGCTTGACAGAGAACTTTTGTGCAAAGATACAATTAACATTTATGCATGATTGTATTTGGTAGATTAAATAGTAATAATTTGTTTGAATTGAAACATTGCAATCACTCTCACTTGCCATTTGATTTTAGTTCAAAATATTGGAAAGGATTCCCAGCAAGTGATAGAAACCAAAGACAAGCAGATCACAGAACTGAAGAGGATGCTAGAGGAATCCACTGAAGTCAGGAATAACCAGTTTGAGAAAAAGGTCAGTGCAAAAAGGTCATTAGTGTAGGTACACATGTACCAGTGTGTATATAACTTACAAAAATGGTCATAAATGTCTAAAATTCATAAAACTCTCATTGTTGGTTTAAGTAGCAAAGATTTTTTTTTAGTTTTTCAAACCATCAATTTTTTAAAGCAGATCTTTGAATTCTTAATCATTGTCAACTATGGAGTTACTATCTTCTAAACAGATGAATGATATGATTGCCGACTTTGAACAAGAGAAGTTTGAGATGCAAAAGCAGCACACCAAAAACATCCAGGACATTCTGGATGATACGAATGCCAGATTACAGAAAATGGAGAAAGAGTATGGGCAGCAGACCGCATCCACGGTAGGTCAAAGGTCATAGCTTATGACTGTTGTAGCATTTTCTTTGTTGAGGAGGTTTGGAGATTTTGTGGTGGAAATGAAGAATAGAGATTTTGTGGGTTTTTTAACTGAGAAACCATGTGCATTTAATTCTCATTAAGATCACATACTCCTATAAAAATGATTGTCGGTACTGGTACATGCATTTAGTATATTAAAATTATTTTTTACTGATACAGTCATTGATCATGTTGTTTATCATTGTTAGACATGTATTTACCAAATTAATAAGAGAAAACAGTGAAATATATCTCCGTCTTATTGAAAGGGAAAAAATCTCTCTCTTTCTCCATTTTATTTAATGCACTTTCAGCATGTGTATGCAAAAGTTTCTTTTTAAGGCCAGATTGCAAAGTAAAATTTTATCTTATGGATTTATGATCTGAGTTAATCCATCTGTCCATTTTTCTACCTCTATTTAGTTCCCTTGTGAAAGTAAAAGTTTTAAAGTGCTAGTTTATTTCCGAAGTTCACACATAAATTTGTCTAGAATTAGAAGTTTCAAATATTTCTAGTTGTATTAATAATTGACCTTTAAAAGCCCTATCCACATACCATGACACTAGTAAATTAATAACTCTTCTGATTTTTACGCAAGATTTGAAATAATCAGTATATTATTAGCTCACCTGAGCTGAAGGCTCAAGTGAGCTTTTCTGATCACATTTTGTCCGGCGTTCGTCTGTATGTCTGTCTGTCTGTCCGTCTGTCTGTCTGTAAACTTTTCACATTTTCGACTTCTTCTCAAGAACCGCTGGGCCAATTTCAACCAAACTTGCCACAAAGCATCCTTGGGTGAAGGGGATTCAAGTTTGTTCAAATGAAGGGCCATGCCCTCATTCAAGGGGAGATAATTGGGAATTAATGAAAATTTGTTGGTATGTTTTAAAAATCTTCTTTTCAAGAACCACTGTGCCAGGAATGATGAAACTTATGGGGAAATATCCTCAGGTAGTGTAGATTCAAGTTTGTTCAAATCATGACCCCCGGGGGTAGGGTGGGTCCACAATGGCCGACCAAATTTTTAAGCTCAACTGAGCCGAAGGCTCAAGTGAGCTTTTCTGATCACATTTTGTCCGGCGTCCGTCTGTCTGTCTGTCTAGCTGTCCGTCTGTCTGTAAACTTTTCACATTTTCAACTTCTTCTCAAGAACCGCTGGGCCAATTTCAACCAAACTTGCCACAAAGCATCCTTGGGTGAAGGGGATTCAAGTTTGTTCAAATGAAGGGCCACGTCCTCAGTCAAGGGGAGATAATTGGGAATTAATGAAAATTTGATGGCATGTTTTAAAAATCTTCTTCTCAAGAACCACTGTGCCAGGAAAGATGAAACTTATGGGGAAACATCCTCAGGTAGTGTAGATTCAAGTTTGTACAAATCATGACCCCAGGGGGTAGAGTGGGGCCACAATGGCCGACAAAGTTTTACATAGAAATATATGGAAAATTCTTTAAAAATCTTCTTCTCAAGAATAACAAAGCCATAATTGAACATACTTATTTGGAAGCATCCTCAGGTAGTGTAGATTCAAGTTTGTTTAAATCATGACCCCCAGGGGTTGGGCGGGGCCACAATGGCCGACCAAAGTTTTACATAGAGATATATAGGAAAATTCTTTAAAAATCTTCTTCTCAAGAATAACAAAGCCATAATTGATCATATTTATATGGAAGCATCCTCAGGTAGTGTAGATTCAAGTTTGTTCAAATCATGACCCCCAGGGGTAGGGTGGGGCCACAATGGCCAATCAAATTTTTACATAGAAATATATAGGAAAATTCTTTAAAAATCTTCTTCTCAAAAATAACAGAGCCATAATTGATCATATCTATATGGAAGCATCCTCAGGTAGTGTAGATTCAAGTTTGTTCAAATCATGACCCCCTGGGTGGTAGGGCGGGGCCAAAATGGCCAATCAAATGTTTACATCGAAATATATAGAATTTAAAAAAAAAAATTTTTTTCTCAAGATTTGCAAAGCCATAGTTGATCGTATTTATATGGAAGCATCCTCAGGTCGTGTAGATTCACATTTGTTCAAATCATGACCCCTGGGGGTAGGGCGGAGCCACAATGGCCAAGTTTTCATAAGTTTTGCAAAAATAGTTATATACAGTGGACCCTCAGGTAGTGTTTAGTTTGTTCAAATCATGACCCCCAGGGGTTCCAAAGTTTTACATAGAAATATATAGGAAAATTCTTTAAAAATCTTATGTCAAAAATAACAGAGGATTGATCATATCTATATCTGAATCACCAGTTAAACAAGACAATATAACATTTAAAAATTTCGTTCCGATTTGCAAAAATCGTCGTATATATGGAAGCATCCTCAGGTCGTGTAGAAATCATGACCCCTGGGGGATATCGGAGCCACAAGGTCACAAACTGTTATATATAGGAAATTTTTTAAAAAATCATTTTCTCAAGAATAGCAAAGCCATGATTGGTCATGGGACTACTTTTGGATTTAAACTTTTTAATAATAAACGAGTTTCTACTTTTTCCTAGCCACAGTGCTCAGGTGAGCGATGTGGCCCATGGGCCTCTTGTTTTTCAAATACCACTGTTGAAATTGATTTAGGTCATTTCTTTGAAATAAGTAAAAATGTGAATTCCTTACTTTATATTGTCTTTGGCCATTTCTTGTAAAAAATTTTCTTTGACAAGATGATTTTAAGATTTATAAAAATTTTAAAAATTAACTAATGACTTAAAAAATATTCCATTTCATTAGAATTTTTACAAATATTGAAAATTTGGGGAGAAAAAAAAATATAACATTGCTTTTTGATGTGATGCACACATTTGATGTGATATTTCTGAGCTGTCTAATTATTTCCTTAAGGAAGTTTATCAGGTAAGGGGCGCTGTTTGCTTCATGTAGTTTTTCATCATTGCCTCATATTCTTTACTGCTTCTGTCCAATAAATCAGTCTCTCAATTTTCCTTCTCTCCTCATATCTGTGGTTTAAATTTTGAACTTTGAATTCTTTTTAGCTGGTTATGGTGAAGATAAAATTAAAATAAAATAGTCAATAACATTTAAACATAGTCAGGCTGTGGTTTTAACATACGTGTCATTTTTAAATTATGATTTAATAATTTTTTAGATTTTTATTTTTTATTTGCAAAATGTTTTAACAATCAATTCAACAAGACAGTAGGAATTAGATTATGTGTATTTGAAATATTGATCAACTTTAATTTCATTCAGTTGTTTAATCAGTACTGTGTAATTTTCTAATATTAAACAAAATTCACACAACATATTTAAAGCAATTGATGTAATATCAAGTTTTTTTTTTTTTTTTGGCGTAGACTTATTGTTCTAAAAGTAAAATATGGATCAGAGGGAAAATGATATATACATTGTATGTAATGTTGTAGCATTTGAGATTCCTGCATGTGGAATGACAATATATAATGTGTATCATACAAATATGCATGGGGTTCTCTCTATAGAAGCATGTTTAAATGCATATTTGCCATACGTTATTTGCAGTGATATCATATAGTATTGTGAATTGTGATACCTTGTAAGAAAATTTGTATTAGAACCTGTGAAAATATTTGATAAGGAATTTAAGACACTCTTTTTCATTCCATTAACTTAAGTGACAAGGCATGTCAAAGGTAAAACAAAATAACCATCATAAGTACCGGTGTACATTTTTTATTCTAAAAAATATTATTTTGCATTGATTTTTAAAAATCACAGGTTACACAGAAAAAAGAACAAAAGAACATAATGCAAGTGTTGGGACTTTAATGGTATGGATGTAAAATTTTGCAGGCTTCCATAATAAAAGACCTTGAGGCCAGAGTTCACCAGCTGATGACAGAGGCTGATAAAAACACCAAAGCTAAACATGCTCTGGAAAAGGCCAAAATGGAATCAGATAACAAACTGGAAAGATGTACACAAGATCTACAGGATCTTAGAGAGAGGTCAGGTTCATGGTGATGAAATACTGTATACAGTGTTATTTTCGCCCTTTCACACTTGCAGAAAACTTTGTCCCATTTTAAATTTGCCCAGTTCATATTTTTTTTTCAGAGAAATTATTCTGTATTCTTTAAATTCACCCTGTTTTAAATTCACCTAAATGCGGGTAGGACGAAAAGTTTTCAGAGAAATTATTCTGTATTCTTTAAATTCACCCTGTTTTAAATTGACCTAAATGAGGGAAGGGCGAAAAGGGTGGGGAAAAAACGGGGGCAAAATTTGTCCTGTATGCAGTAGCTTGAGGATATTGTGTGTCACAAATAGATCTTAATATCTACAGATCAGATAATAATGTTGTAAATTGTAAATATGCAAGGTTTATGTGAACTATCATTGAAGATTTTGACTTACATTGTAAATTTTATGGCTAAAACACGTAAAAAATTGAAGATGAATTCTGAAGTCTCATTCTGAAGACATCAGATATTAAAGGTAGTGGGGGAAGCAGTATTTTATCTGTCTAGCTATCGGTGTAGCTGTCTGTTACATCAAGATTAAGCTTGCCCCTTCCCCCTCCCCAATAACAATGGGGTCAAGCTCTATGGAAATTGTGGTTTCCCAAAGACATTTAAGATGATTTACCATTGGTGCTTAAGCAAAACATACATCCTATACAGTTTATGTTGTTTAAGGTAGGTCGCGGGTTTGCTTTCGTCATCAATTTTGGTACACAATTTCGACGATTCGAGCGGCTGTTTTGTGAACATTTGATTATGACGTTATTTACGTCACAAAGGCAACGCTGCGTTGTTTCCCGCTTAATTCTCTGCAAATGACTAAGTCTGTACGAATCAAGTAGATTAATACAAAGTGCATGCTATTGTACATAAACCTCGTACATGCTTTTTAATTAAATTTCAGTCTGAACTTTCATGTGATTACTAGTATATGTAATGCCCTAGGAAAAATTGAATGCAATACTGAATGAAAGGAATAATTTATAATGTAAGTACTAGTATTACTAAACTGCTAAAAGTCAATCAGAATAAGTCAGCGTGAAAGTTATGGTTGCAGAAAGAGTTATCATAAATAAAATTGTTTAGCGGAAAATTTGAGGGGTTGTATAAATTTGCGCACGTTATTTGCAACTCGGGGAAACATGCGTATAGCATCATGACTGCTAATCAAAGCTGGGGCGAAAATATACGTATAATTTTCAGGATGGAATCAATCTTCAACACTAAAAACGCATTAAATTTAATACATGCATTTTCCTCTTTTTTTTAAAAAGTATTATTTGCTTATTATGTATATAAATCTCATCTAGTCGCCTTGTTTTACTGGCTAATAAATTGTGAAATGCTTTCAAAATCCAAATTTATACAAACACTTGAACTGTAAGACCTATATGACACTGTAAACAATTTACAAGTATTTTTTTCTATTATTAAAAGTTTTAAACAATTAAGCTTTAGTCTAAGTGTAAAAGCTCAATTCAAGTATATGTATTTTACATTTTGTGCATGGAAATTTGATTTAGAGAATTCGAAATTAACAAATGTTAAAGAGTAAGGTCCATTTACAAGCTTGCGTCTAATATATATATATATATAGAAAGGAAATTGCCCCCCTTCCCCCCCGGCTAATTTCCCCAGTGTCTGGAAGTTTTTTTCTTTACCGTTTTTTAATAAAGTGATCAAATTTATGTGTTATGCCTGAAATCCTTTCCACCATGAATTTCCTAAAAATACAGGAACTTATATTTTATCACTCGCGGTGTTGTCGATGCATGTTAATTCTCATGCACGAGGAATGTTTATACTGTTCATTCATACTTTGTGAGCAGAATATGAATTTCACAATACTAGTGAAAATAAGTTGCTGATCATCTTAATATATTTTCGCAATAAGTTAAATGAGGAATAAAATTAAATTTTGCGTTTATCAAAATATTTATACTCGTACGGTAAACGTTACAGCGTTCAACAAATGACGTTGTAGACATAAATAACGCCATAAACGCAACATTTCAGCAATATGAAAGGGAACTTTGAATTTTTTTAGCGAAAAATCTAGCGAGAAGACATATTGATTTTTTTATATCAATAGTTTTGATTTTACCTCATCTTCACATTTTGAAATTCCTGACTAATTCGTCTACGTCTTTAAAAAGTTATCCAACCTTTTTGAAAGAAACTATTTTCACGAAATTGGCTTAAAACGTCATTTTTCCATATATTTCAATAGTAAAGCGTAAAAAATGTACTAATGACAATACCGCGTTTATAGTAATATAGAATTAAAACTACGAAGGCAAATTTTATAAAAATTGCAGATAATACGCAGTAAATTCTCAGGAACATTATATCAAATTTTCAGGATATGTTTTCTCGTAAGAATTTTTATGCAGTAAACCTGCGACCTACCTTAATTCTGGATATATTCTTATCTTTCACAGATATAGTAATCTGGACAAAGAACATCAAAGAACAGTGGAAACTAACGAACAGGAAATGAGAACTCTCAAAAACAAAATGGAGGCAAGTCTGGAATTCATGAAACAGGAACACAATCTTGCTGCAGCCAAAGTTAGTGTACAGTTTATTACGGAGGGTTTATCAAATATAAGATACTGTAAATATAAATAGAAAAAAATGCTGCAAAAGCAAATTCTTTCAGATATAATGATAAATTATACCAATTCCTACATAATAAAGAGAAAAAAAAATTCAGGTTCATGATATACTCATAGATCGTAAAGTTGTATTTTATAAAACATCATTTATACATAACAAAAGATTAAATATTTTATGGAAAATTTATGACTCAGACATTCCATATTGGACACATTTGACTGACAACATTTACACCTAATGACAAATTGGCAAAAATTAAACATACTGAAAGAATAACGCACCTCAAAGTAAGGGTGAAATCAACTTACAGCTTAATTTTATGCATACTGTAAAAGACGTAAAATAAAACTCCAAATGAGTGTCAACAGGATTTACACACGTTACTAATCCCCTCAAGAAAACATGGGAGAAGATTGGTAAATTATTAAAAATTTATAACAAATACTGTAAATCATTGCTGTTTCTATTTCAGGCTTCTGATTCTATATCAGAGTTGGAGCAGTCGTTGGATCAGTACAAACGTTCCCTGAAAGATGCAGAGGAACAAAGACAGAGACAAATGAGGGTGAGATATCTGTTTTAATAAGTGCTTACCTTTACTTTGTGTCAGCTGATTGTGTTGATTTCACTCTGCCAGTCTGCTTTATGTCTGATACTTTCTCAACTCATACCTCTATTCATTTGCTCTTTCAAAAAGCTATCGATTAAAATAAGCTCTCTGTTAAAATTTTATTGCACCTCTATGATTTTTTTTTTTAGCTCACCTGAGCCGAAGGCTCAAGTGAGCTTTTCTGATCACATTTTGTCCGGCGTCCGTCTGTCTGTCCGTCTGTCCGTCTGTCTGTCTGTCTGTAAACTTTTCACATTTTCGACTTCTTCTCAAGAACCGCTGGGCCAATTTCAACCAAACTTGCCACAAAGTATCCTTGGGTGAAGGGGATTCAAGTTTGTTCAAATGAAGGGCCACGCCCTCATTCAAGGGGAGATAATTGGGAAATAATGAAAATTTGGTGGCATATTTTAAAAATCTTCTTCTCAAGAACCACTGTGCCAGGAAAGATGAAACTTATGGGGAAACATCCTCAGGTAGTGTAGATTCAAATTTGTTCAAATCATGACCCCCGGGGGTAGGGCGGGGCCAAAATGGCCGACCAAAGTTTTACATAGAAATATATAGGAAAATTCTTTAAAAATCTTCTTCTCAAGAATGACAAAGCCATAATTCATCATATTTATATGGGAGCATGCTCAGGTAGTGTAGATTCAAGTTTGTTCAAATCATGACCCCCGGGGGTAGGGCGGGGCCAAAATGGCCGACCAAAGTTTTACATAGAAATATATAGGAAAATTCTTTAAAAATCTTCTTCTCAAGAATGACAAAGCCATAATTCATCATATTTATATGGGAGCATGCTCAGGTAGTGTAGATTTAAGTTTGTTCAAATCATGACCCCCGGGGGTAGGGCGGGGCCAAAATGGCCGACCAAAGTTTTACATAGATGAATATATAGGAAAATTCTTTAAAAATTTTCTTCTCAAGAATGACAAAGCCATAATTCATCATATTTATATGGGAGCATGCTCAGGTAGTGTAGATTCAAGTTTGTTCAAATCATGACCCCTGGGGGTAGGGCGGGGCCAAAATGGCCGACCAAAGTATTACATAGAAATATATAGGAAAATTCTTTAAACATCTTCTTCTCAAGAATGACAAAGCCATAATTCATCATATTTATATTGGAGCATGCTCAGGTAGTGTAGATTCAAGTTTGTTCAAATCATGACCCCCGGGGATAGGGCGGGGCCAAAATGGCCGACCAAAGTTTTACATAGAAATATATAGGAAAATTCTTTAAACATCTTCTTCTTAAGAATGATAAAGCCATAATTCATCATATTTATATGGAAGCATATTCAGGTAGTGTAGACTCAAGTTTGTTCATATCATAACCCCCGGGGATAGGGCGGGGCCAAAATGGCCGACCAAACTTTTACATAGAAATATATGGGAAAATTCTTTAAACATCTTCTTCTCAAGAATGATAAAGCCATAATTCATCATATTTATATCGAAGCATGTTCAGGTAGTGTATACTCAAGTTTGTTCATATCATAACCCCCGGGGGTAGGGCGGGGCCAAAATGGCCGACCAAACTTTTACATAGAAATATAGGAAAAAACTTTAAAAATCTTCTTCTCAAGAATGACAAAGCCATAATTCATCATATATATATATGGAAGCATGCTCAGGTAGTGTTGTTACAAGTTTGTTCAAATCATGACCCCCCCGGGGTAGGGCGGGGCCAAAATGGCCGACCAAACTTTTACATAGAAATATATAGGAAAATTCTTTAAAAATCTTCTCAAGAATGACAAAGCCATAATTCATCATATTTATATGGAAGCATGTTCAGGTAGTGTAGATTCAAATTTGTTCAAATCATGACCCCCAGGGGTAGGGCGGGGCCAAAATGGCCGACCAAAGTTTTAAAAGATATATATAGGAAAATTCTTTAAAAATCATTTTCTAAAAATAGAAAATCCAGGATTGGTCATGGTACTACTTTTGGATTTAAACTTTACAATAAAAAGCCATTTTCTACTATTTCCTACCCCTAGTGCTCAGGTGAGCGATGTGGCCCATGGGCCTCTTGTTGCAATTTTGCTTTAATTATTTTTTACTGGCTATTATTCACGGTAAACCATTTCAAAACAACTTCAGTGCAAATTTCTATCCTCTACAAATACTAACTGTTTAAACTAGAATAATATGTCATGGTTGCATTTCATAGTCCTTCATTTTTGACAGGAATTGGAACAAAATCATCAGCAAGATAAACTGCATTTGGAAAATCTCCATGATAAGCAGGTAAATCTTATGAACGGAACTTTAACCTTGTGTTTGTGAAGAGAAACCAGAGCTTGTTGTTTGGTTTTATTTCTCATCAGTTTTTTTGTTTGAATTGTAACAAATGGGAGTACATTCAATAATTAAAACATCCATTTTTAAGAATTTTGTTGAGAGCATGAACATTTTTAGCTAAGGTGAATAAACACTGGAAAGAGAATCTATCAAAATGACTCATGTTTGTTTTTATTTTGGTTAATACATGAATTAATGTCTCTTAAAAGAGTTGTGTTCTTAAATGCATTTATAAAGGATCAAGATCCTTATGTACATGTAAGTTACATAGATGTGAAATATTCATATCAATCACAATCATTTCATCAAATCATCAGATTCATCCTAACTAGCTCTAGATGAGATCACTGCTGGGTGTGTTAGAATTACCAGTTTTGAATTTTGAGTGTGTTCTTTTCTAGCTTTTCTTGTTTCCTGCAATCAGACTTCAAGTCAGAAAATTTTCAGAGGAAATTTTGGTTTCCAATTTAGAGACAGTAAGACAGTGCAAATGCTCAGCACTTATATATTTATGACCAAAATTCCATTATGTGTGAACTAACCAAAGAATTAATGGACTTTGCCAAACTGACATTCAGATTTGCTGCTTAAGAGAACCCTATGGTCAGCTCCATATCTTAGTTACTGAATACATGCAACGAGTACTGACTCTGCAAAATTTCAAGTAGATGATGATTTTTGAAGTAGATGATGACTGTATTTGCATGAAATAGCTTATTTGCATAATTTTAATATTCAGTTATTATTACCAAATGTTTATTAAATTTATTTCAATTTTCTTTATAAAATGACCATAGAGCATTCTCTTTAAATGTTCATCCTGATCAAAAGTTAACTTGACTACAAAGTTTTATTAGCTAATGTATGCTACAAACATTGCTGAAAAGGTCTCTGAGTTAACCCTTAAAAATGCATGTTTATCCATATCTGAATTAACAGTGATAAAACACATTTAGTTGAGTGTTGAAAAAAGGGTGTAGGTTGAATAATGAAACATTTAATTGATGTACATGTATATGGGAATGGAGTGTATGTATAAAACAAGAGTTATTGCTACAATGATATTTTTCTGTATATTAATTGGTGAAAAAAGTTGTATTAAAGTTCTTAATGCCAAATTTCTTATGTCTGTAAATGTAGGTGAGAGGTTTGAAAAATGAAATGGAACACACAGATCAAGAAAACCAGAAGAAAATCAAAAAGCTGGAGGAAACTATCAGGTGGGAGTCTGAAGAAATTATTCTCATAATTTCTGGTTTATAGTGGTGTAAAGTTTGATACGATTTAAAGACATTGTAGGGCTTTTGGGGGATGAAAACTATTACTTTTTACTACCTTTTGTGCCTTCTATTTTTTCATTTTTGTTGCCTGTATCTAATGATTTTCTATTTTTTGACCATTTGTTTTTAAGTCACTCAGTGTAGATTACACTGAGAATGGGTGAAAATGTCAACATTTGTAGATAAATGTAAATATAAATATTTACCTGGTAAATTTTTAAAGTGAGAATTTCAGAAAGCATTTTCAGGGGCGTAGCAACCGGGGGGGCCAGGTGGGGCCTGGCCCCCCCACTTTTTTTCCCAACCTTACTTATACTATAGGAAATGTTAATTGAAAGCCTGGTTGGCCCCCCCCCCCCCACTTTTAGACGTTTAGTGATGTATCGAAAATGTAATATAAGAATTGGTACTAAAAATAGTTGACACTGAAAAAAAGTTTACCTCTGAATTCTTTAATAATGAATATATTGTTTATTTCAGAGATAAAGATGATGAAATAAAACGCCTCCAGGAAGTAAATAAGAATCAGCTGATGCAGTCAGAGAAATCTCTGGAAGAGTTCAAACTTCAGGTGGAGAAGAACCAGACCAGGATGTATGATGAAATGAAACAACAGGTGAGAACCAGGAAGGAAGATGTTCTTTGTAAGCTGTATAGCTCATTCAGATTGAAGAGAGATAATTGGATCTTTTGTACTTTAGAAGGGAGTTTGTCCTTTTAAACACAATATCAAAAGCTCAAGTATACAAATGAGTGTGAGATATTTGGTCTTGGAAATAAAAGTGGAACATATCCTAGAATACCCAGAAAATTAAACAATGACAAAATTAATTGTATATATTGTAGACGTATTTTTTCCCACAGGGTCATAATTCCGCGGAATCTCAATTTTGTTTGATCCGTGGGTAGAAAATTAAGGTGATTTCTCAGACAGTCACTATATGCCTTGCATTTATATTAAGTACGTTTGGACAAATTTGTGCGGAAAATTTGTTACCGCGTACATAGCGTAAATTAATACCACACGGAAAAAAGTACCTCTACAGTACATACCATACTCATTGTTATAAAATTTTTGTAAAAATTTTATTCCTAACAGCTAGCACTGCTTACATAAAATTGAGGAGAGTTCTAAATTGAACAGATCAAAACATTACAGAGCTTTCCTTTGATTTTTTGTATCCGATAACTACATTGTAAATAATTTTTTACATGTTGAAAAGAGGGAATGTGTAGTGATGGGGTTTGCATCCTTCCATACATTGGTAACACTTGGAGGTACCTTCGGTATTTCAACTACACCATAAATAAAATTAAAAAAGACATTTGCATTGAAAAATTGTGAACCTCCTAATTTATGTTCTGATCATCTGCTTGGACAGGAATTAGGGGTTTCTAAAACAAAAAATGGACTTGTCATTTTATCCTATAAGAGTATGGGGATAACATTTTGTGAGCTCATTGCTCACAGTACCTCTAGTTTCATTAAGGTTTAAAATCATTGTGATTGTGTATTTCAGATGGAAAGAGTAGAAACCGATTTAAACAAATCAAAGCAAGCAAGAGAGAAACAGTCTCGAGAATTCTCAAAACAGATTGATGAAGAGAGAAATCAACACGAAAGAAAGGTAAAGATAGTTAAAAGGAAATCTTGAAAAAGTATTGGCATTTTCTTTTCAAAGGCACAAATAACAATAAAATCAGTAGACAGGAAAAGTTTGGGAATAGTCATGTTTTAACAAAACAATGAAATGTAATCTATGTAGCAAACCTTTATGCACTTTGTTCAGTAATTGCGTAGTCTAAGCATGTTATTTATTTTTAGATTGTGGAACTAAAAATGGCCCTGGAACATGAGAAAGCTCAGATGTTAAAAGACTTTCACACACAAAAGGAAATTGTTATATCTGAGCATGAAAAAGAAATTGACAGCCTTAAGGAAACACATCAAAATGAATTATATGAGTTGAAGTGTCGAGTCCAAGAGAAACAGGACAAAGATGTTAAGGTAAGAATTCAGGGAATCTTTAAGATACTGTAGATCACTAAATTTTCGCGACACCTTATTTTCGCGAGATAGTTATTGACTCTTTATTAGCGAGACATAATTTTCACAAATTGTTGTTTTCCTCTATATAATCGTAAGAAATACTTTTAAACGCGAGAATGAAATTTTCGCGAGCTCTTTGTCTCGCGTAATTACGCAAAAATTAAGTTCTCGCCAATAAAACATGATTTACAGTAGTGTCAGAAGATATTGTCGAGGATTTTTTGTAGAAATGTATTTTATTTAGAAAAATACATGCACATATACAATCATGTGTATGTTTATAAAAATTCTTTGGAAAAATAGGTTGTTATATATGTTTTTTTGACCAGAGGTACATAAAACATGCTTGACCACAGATGATTTAATCAATGTTTTGTTTTTAGCTCACCTGAGCCGAAGGCTCAAGTGAGCTTTTCTGATCACATTTTGTCTGTCGTCCGTCCGTCTGTCCGTCCGTCCGTCGTCTGTCCGTCTGTCTGTCCGTCTGTAAACTTTTCACATTTTCGACTTCTTCTCAAGAACCACTGGGCCAATTTTGACCAAACTTGGTACAAAGCATCCTTGGGTAAAGGGGAATTTAAATTGTAAAAATGAAGGGACATATCCCCTCGCAAGGGGAGATAATCAAGAAAAGACAAAAATAGGGTGGGGTCATTAAAAATCTTCTTCTCAAGAACCACTGAGCCAGTAAAGCTGAAACTTATGTGGAAGCATCCTGGTATAGTGTAGATTCTAAATTGTTCAAATCATGACCCCCAGGGGAAGGGCGGGGCCACAATGGGGAATCAAAGTTTTACATAGAAATATATAGGAAAAATCTTTGAAAATCTTCTTCTCAAGAATCACTGGGCCAGAAAAGCTGAAACTTATGTGGAAGCATCCTGGTATAGTGTAGATTCTAAATTGTTCAAATCATGACCCCCGGGGGAAGGGCGGGGCCACAATGGGGGATCAAATTTTTATATAGAAATATATAGGAAAAATCTTTGAAAATCTTCTTCTCAAGAACCACTGGGCCAGAAAAGCTGAAACTTATGTGGAAGCATCCTGGTATAATGTAGATTCTAAATTGTTCAAATAATGACCCCCAGGGGATGGGTGGGGCCACAATGGGGAATCAAAGTTTTATATAGAACTATATAGGAAAAATCTTTGAAAATCTTCTTCTCAGGAACCACTGGGCCAAAAAAGCTGAAACATATGTGCCCATGGAAGGATCATGGGGTAGTGTAGATTTCAAAATGTCTAAATTATGATCAGTGGGGTAGGGTGGGGATGCATTATGTATAACAAGGGTGAAATCTGGTAAAGAACAGAATGGTCAAAGCTTCTCAGGTGAGCGATGTGGCCCATGGGCCTCTTGTTTTAGCTCACCTGAGCCTAAGGCTCAAGTGAGCTTTTCTGATCACATTATGTCCGTCGTCCGTCCGTCTGTAAACTTTTCACATTTTCGACTTCTTATCAAGAACCACTGGGCCAATTTTGACCAAACTTGGTACAAAGCATCCTTGGGTGAAGGAGAATTTGAATTGTTAAAATGAAGGGCCAAGTCCCCTCACAAGGGGAGATAATCAAGAAAAGAAAAGAAATAGGGTGTGGTCATTAAAAATCTTCTCAAGAACCACTGAGCCAGAAAAGCTGAAACTTATGTGGAAGCATCCTGGGGTAGTGTAGATTCTAAATTGTTAAAATCATGACCCCCTGGGGGTGGACGGGGCCACAATGGGGAATCAAAGTTTTATATAGAAATATATAGGAAAAATCTTCTTCTCAAGAACCACTGAGCCAGAAAAGCTGAAACTTATGTGGAAGCATCCTGGGGTAGTGTAGATTCTAAATTATTAAAATCATGACCCCCGGGGGTAGGGCGGGGCCACAATGGGGAATCAAAGTTTTACATAGAAATATATTGGAAAAATCTTTGAAAATCTTCTTCTCAAGAACCACTGGACCAGAAAAGCTGAAACTTATGTGGAAGCATCCTGCGGTAGTGTAAATTCTAAATTGGTAAAATCATGACCCCCTGAGGGTGGGCGGGGCCACAATGGGGAATCAAAGTTTTACATAGAAATATATAAGAAAAATCTTTGAAAATCTTCTATTCAAGAACCACTGGGCCAGAAAAACTGAAACCTATGTGGAAACATCCTGGGGTAGTGTATATTCTAAATTATTCAAATCATGACCCCCGGGGTTGGGCGGGGTCACAATGGAGAATCAAAGTTTTACATAGTAATAAAAAATGAAAAATCTTTGAAAGTCTTCTTCTCAAGAACCACTGGGCCAGAAAAGCTGAAAGTTATGTGGAAGCATCCTGGGGTAGTGTAGATTCTAAATTGTTCCAATCATGACCCCTGGGGTAGGGCGGGGCCACAATGGGGAATCAAAATTTTACAATGTTGAATCAAAGCATCCTATGGTAGTGTAGATTTCAAATTGTTTAAATGTTGACCATTTAGATAGGGTGGGGTCACAATATGTATTACAAGGGGAAATCTGGTAAAGAACGGAATGGTCAAAGCTTCTCAGGTGAGCGATGTGGCCCATGGGCCTCTTGTTGTGTGTATTACAGAAGATCACGCAGTACGAGAGACAGATTCAGGAGTTACGAGAGGAGGTGGTCCAGGCCAATCAGCTGAGGAAACAACAGCTGGTAGAACTGGGGCTCCTACGGGAGGAGGAGAAACAGAAAATGCTCAGAGAGCACGAGTCGGAGGTGAGTCCGAGACTAAAACTCACAGTAGACACTGATGACTACAAATGGCTGTAATATATGTCTGTCTTTAAATAAAGAAAGGAAAACATTTCTGTGTTCACTTGAAACAGTAAAAAGTGAAGCAGTTATTGTCCATAAGCTGTGAAATAATTTTAGAGGTTTTGAAGTGAAAAATAAGTTCTTTATATTTTAATTAGGTTATAAAGTTACGTTCTGAGATGGAACAACAGAGGCTAGACTTACAAAAAACACACAGTACAGAGTTAGAAAAGATGCTGGAAAAGGTAAGCTAGCCAGTATGGAATTACAGGTGTACATGTAAGTGTTCTTGAAATTAACAGCAGTATACAGGCTGTTTTCCTAAGTATTTTCCCTTAGTTGTGAAAATAGACAGGTGATATAAGTAGAATTTTATAATGTGATTAACATCTTTTTGACATTAACAGACCAATGCAAGGCTCAAGGACATTGAGAGAGAGTACAATGAGAGGGGACAGAAAGCCACAGAGACAATAGGGGAGCTACAGGCCAACATCAACCATCTCAGGGACGAGGTCAAAAGGTCAGACATAGGGCTAAAGGTCATATTGGTAGTAAACTTGCTGTCGTTATAAAAAAAAGTTAAAAGATTTAATGAATCTAATTGAAATCTTTTATTAGAGAGAAACATCAAAAATTAAACATTTTCAACTGAAGGGAATTTACATGTGTTTGCCCTTTTGATTTACTTTTATTGCTTGAAAAACACTATTCTTAGACTGATATTTATGTATAAAGATATAATCAACTGAAGTGAATGTTGCCCTTGGAAAATAGCTCTTCATTGAAACATACATTTAATATCAGTGTACAATAAGTAATTATGCTCACGCATTTATATTGTACTAACTCAGGGTACGTGATGTGGGAGAGAAGAAATGCCAGGATGTATCACAGCGATATGAAGATGAGAAAAAATCTGTCAAAAAGCAGTATAACAGTAATATGGAGGTAAGTTTGACAAATTCATTTGTACATGTACTTTATATGGTGAAGACCATGGTTGAAAATACATTTTAGGCCCTATAATTAAGATTCAGGCCATATTCTTTTTTGCCTGTGTTTCTTTTTATTGGCAAAATCTTTAAAACCTTTGACTTAATTTTAACAGTTTATGGCTTTCATGTTTTTCTGTGTTTCCCTGTGTCAGCACCAATCTCTGGGTACCAACATTTTTTACCTATTGATCTTGAAGGTTTATCTACTTTGGAAAAAAAAAACTTGAACATTGGCAATAATATCTGAATGCTTAGTTCTAGGGCTTCCTTTTCACATCTGTAACCTTTTTTTTTTGGACACTAACATTTTTAGCTCTACTGGTCAGAGACCAGAAGAGCTTATGCGATAGTAATGCGTCCGGCGTCCGTCCGTCTGTCTGTCTGTCTGTCTGTCTGTAAACAATTTTTCAAAATGCTACTCCTCCTACAGTTTTGATCTAATTTCAATATAACTTGGCATATAAGTAGACTAGACTAAGATACATAATTCTGTGTATCGGATTTTGATTTCGACGAAGGGTGTTGGCGTTGTTACTAAAAATAGAAATTTCTGTAAAATTCTTTCAAAATGCTACTCCTCCTACAGATTTGATCTGATTTCAATATAACTTGGCATATAAGTAGACTACACTAAGATACATAATTCTATGTATCGGTTTTTGATTTCGACGAAGGGTGTTGGCATTGTTACTAAAAATAGAAATTTCTGTAAAATTCTTCCAAAATGCTACTCCTCCTACAGTTTTGATCTGATTTCAATATAACTTGGCATATAAGTAGACTACACTAAGATACATAATTCTATTTATCGGTTTTTGATTTCGACGAACAGTGTTGGCGTTGTTACTAAAAATAGAAATTTCTGTGAAATTCTTCCAAAATGCTACTCCTCCTACAGTTTTGGTCTGATTTCAATATAACTTGGCACACAAGTAGACTACACTAAGATACATAATTCTGTGTATCGATTTTTGACTTCAATGAACATTATTACCTTGGTTAATAAAGATAGCAATTTCTGTTACTCTCAAAATGCTACTTCAAATACAGTTTTAGTCTGATTATAATATAATGTGGCATGCAAGAAGACTAAACTAAGAACATAAAGAGACTTATTCAAGGATCATTATTCTCCTTTTTGCTAGTGTAAATTTTCAATTCCCAGCTGCTTAAGTACTTTCCTCTTCCTTTGCCATAAGTACAACCAGTAGAGCTTCAGTCTCGACAGAGACTTCTGGTTGATTTTATGACCTTGACCTTGAAGTTTCGCCTACTTTTGAAAATTTCAAAGCTTGTTCATGAGCAGTCATGACGGGAACAGGGGCATTCAGTGCTTCATAAACACATTTTGCTTTATTAACTTCAATTGCTTTAAAAATCTATTCCAGAGAAAATACATGAAATTTGGTAATCATAAGGGGAAAAAATTTATGATTCAGATTTGAATATAAATTTATATAGTACTTATGTTAAACATCATTGATATTTTCAGAGTTTGCAGCGTGAAATAGACTCCCAGCAGGCAAGAAATAGGCAGCTAGAGCGAAGGCTAGAACAAATGGAGGCAGATCATGAAGAAAAGGTGATTTAATTGATTGGATAAGATTATACTTTCCCTATCTGTTGTGTAGTTTTGGTCAAAAAATTTACTTATTATGATGCTTTTATCTTCCTCATTTTGTACATTATTTCTTTTCAGGTTACACACCTGAAATTATCTTTTGAAGAAAAATTGAGAGGCCTTATTCCTTCTTCAGTCAGACAGGTACATGTAACATAGTTAAGCAGAATAGGAAAATTCTATGACACAAATTATAAATGATGAGAAAATAATTTTTGTTTGGAGCTGTAATATCTTCAGATCATTAGAAATCTGAAATTGTGGTCATGTGAGTAGAAATTTTCATGAATTGGGATTTGGGAATAATAGCACAATTAAGATATGATTACTTCATACGAAGACTAGAAAATAACTTTTTTTAAAAATAGAAATGTAGTCACCATGAGCCCATATTGAAAGGATATCTACTGAAAGTAGATATTTCATTTGGTGAACCTTGTTCTTTTATAAATGTTCCATTTTGGTGATCATGTATTTCATTCTTTTGTATAGGAACTTGAGGACACCATCACATCACTGAAATCTCAGATAAACTCACTACAACAAAAGACATTAATCCTACAGGAAGAGGTGGATCTCAAAAACAAGTACCCCATTGGTCAGTTCTCCTCCAGCTCCCCAATCAAAGCTGTGTGACGATTGGTCAGTTCTCCTCTAGCTCCCCCATCAAAGCTATGTGACAATTGGTCAAATTGTAAATCCTTCTATAGATGAGATTAGTGTGGATGGAAGAATTTTTAAGTCAAAGATTTTTAAGTTGTCAGTATTACTTTAAAAATCCTCTTATTAATCTGACATTTTAAGTTTCTCTGTTATTGAATAGGGATTGATGTATGCAGTTTGATGACAGAATCTGTGATATTTTTACGCAAATGTGTGTAACAACACTCGTTTAAAAAATGTTCTTGAATGGTGAGAAGATTTTTTAAAAATACCTGATTTTATTCTCTGTAAAATTCCATATTTTCAGTTACCCTTAATCAATTTATTAATCACTTTTTATTTAAAAGCTGCTAATGTGATGTTACAAGTGTGAACATTTTATGTTGGAATCATTTTAAAAATTCATTTTCTTGCAATGATATGGAATATGATTGTATGCAGAAAGAAGTATCTTTACAATACATGAGGAGGCTGCAGTATTTATATGGGCAATATTTTAAAATACTTGTACTACTCAGAAAAAATCATCAATGAATTTTGCATTATTTACATCTCATTGACACCCTCCATCACATACATATGAAAAAATTTTTTTTATTTATTATAGTTGTTTCACCACAAAACACTGCATGTCATGAAAATGACCCTGCTGTGAATTTGAATGCATTCGAAGTGTACCAGAATCCTGAGTTTTTCATTGTAGTTTTACTTTAAGAAAAAATCTATTTATTTATATTTGTACATTCCAGTGTTTTAATAACCTTTTTAAATGACCATGCTTGTATAATCATGTTTCAATGTTTCCAATAATTTTTTCCATGAAAACTTGACTGAATTTGCAATTATTACAACTCGGTCTGAAATTTCATTCTATAAGTGCTACATAAAGGCATTCCATTTATGATATAATTTTTTTTTTATAGGATTAAAATCATAATTTTGGTCTTAGGAATTAGATAACACTTATGTTTAGAAAGATCTAATACCCAGTATTTTAAGTTAGCAAATTCTTGTATCTACTTGAATGTACATGGATATATTAACTACACGTATACACATTCTCCCAGTTGACTTCTTACAGGGTATATTTACATCCTGAATTTTGTTGCATTAGATTTTCTTTTAATACAATGTACTTTAACTTCTAGTAAAGATAATAATTTTTTTGGTGAATACAAAGTGTACGTGTTCCTGTATATTAAGTACATGTACATGTAGTTTGTGAAGGAAGGATTGAACTAAATAAATCTTGTTATTTTCTAATTATTACGAATAAGTTTTAGTACATGATTTTAATTTTTTGCGTTACAGTGTTTCCCAAAATGGGGTATTTTTCTTTTTAATTTCTGCAGTGAGTCCATCCATACATATAAGCATTAACTCTTGTCCTGGTATATTAACTGTTGTTGATGTTTTTTTTTTTTTGTTGAAATGAAATCCACTTTCCTTGTACAATGTTGATTATATATATGTTTATTTATACAGTAAATTTTTTCAAATGGCTGCAACCCCCTTTTCTGTTATTTCAAAGAATATTATGGTTTAAACTGAGCGAAATATCCATTGTATTACAGGTAATTTTAGCAAAAGAGATATTTAATTAAAAATAGCCACAAAATCTTAAAAGTAAGTCACAATAATCTACTTTTTGGTTGACCATGTAAGATGTATCAACTGACAGTTTGATTATTGTAAGCCGGTAAGTACCTGTGATATTTATGTCCTGTGCACACGGAGAGTTTAATTTGAATTAAATATATGTAACTGTGAATTAAATTTGAGCTGTGTTCACACGGGGAGTTTGATTTAAATTATTTTACTGCGCATTAATTAACTTTGCATTAGCTCCAAGTGAAAGCTAAGCGAAGCTTATTCGAATTAAATTTTGAGGTATGCTTAATGGCTAGAGTAGGTCAAATGCCACATGTCAGTGGTCTGCTTTAAGTACTTGTGCTGTTTTTGAAAAACTAAAGAAAATTGTGTTAATCACTAGAATGTGTGTACAGACACAGTGACATGTCAAATGCATCTGCTTCTGCATAAGGTGACATGATTTGCAAATGACGTTATATTAGCCTTACTGACGCTTGACCCTAGAGAGGTAGAATTTTAATTCGCATTAGTTTACCTAGCATTAGCTGTCGTGTAAAAGCAATTTAATTCACATTAGTTTGATTCGCATTAGTTTACTTCATACTAATTTACTGCGAATTAAACTCGTCGTGTGAACAGGGCATTAAATACCCGGTAGTCAAAAAAAATTCAAAAGTAGGTCATGATGACCTACATTTTGATTGACATTTTCCAATACCCCTTTTAAGATGGAGCCCTTTATTCAAAAAATGTGGGAATTGCTATGCTAAGATGCATTACAACATTGTTGGCTTAAAGTAGCCTGGTGTTTTTTGTGTGTTTTTTTTAAGTAGAAAGTTGCTAGCTAGTAGAAGATAAACCTTGATAAAACTCTCATCTTGAGTGTCAGAGCTAAGAATAAATTCTTGAAAAACAGTCATTTTTACAGATTTATTATATAAGCCAGATATTTAAATTTTATCAAGTATTACATTAAGACAATGGTAACACAGATTTACAGGGTACAGTTGAACATCATTATGGTGTGTATACTACATCATCTACTATAGAATGAACAGTACATGGTTCAAACATTTAAAAAATACTTGTAATTATAGTGATAACATTAAACCATTCACAAGGTTAATTCGAGTCAAGTGCAACTTGTATAATAAATATCTTTTTTTTTTTTTACAAAGGGATTGGTCTTCTGTAGCATTTCATATAGTAAAATGAATATATATATTGATGAGAATTTTTTAAAATCCCATTTTTTCATGTACTGTATGTCAATTTAAGCACTTCCACTGAGCAGCTATAAAAATAACACAAAAAATGTTCTATCAATCACAGAACACATATCAATAAATAGCATACAAACATCTTGTACGGAAGAACCTGGATTGTTTAAGAGGTACAATGTTATCCTAGAATGTTAATGCTGAATAAAAAGGACCGGGTCACTGCAATTAAATAAATTTCCTGCCATTTTTTTTTAAAAAAACAATTTTACCTCCTGAAGACCATTATCTTTTTTTTTTCCTTAAAAATCTATTATTTTTTCCTGTCTAGAAAAACATTTCCCTTTTGTGTGTTTTAATGACATGTACACTTAATATCCACTGTAGAAAATACTAGAATTAATAAATGACTGAAAACAGGTACATATAAAATTTCAGTCACATATAATGAACACCTTTTTAAAGTTATGGTCCCTACAGATGCTTTGTGAAAATGATAAAAGGTAAACATTAATATTTAGTTGCCAAGGATGAAACGTGATTGAAACCAATATCAAAAAATGAGAACCACGTCATACAAGAAAACTACGGTGCAAAAGATGGTAAAAATGATTTACCCCAAAGAAGGAACTCATTATGCAAAAAAAGTGTTAAAGCAGAATACAAATATCAAAAGCATTCAGGTATTTGTAGCTGTATTTCTCATTAACTTCCAAATCCTTTACCCCCCTAAAAAATCTTGAGAATTTTCCTGTTTTCCATTTACTAGGATTGTAGAATAATTTTACCCATACTTTCTTCAAGTTTTTTTTCATTATTATACAACTTAAAAATATTTTTAATATCAACAAGTTTACAATTCTGAAGGATTGTTCTATATAAACCAAATCTACTTGAGCACTACTGGTCTACATTGCACAATACAAACATGTATGCTGTTCTTGAGATCCAATAAAATAAGCTAAGACCTACATGATTTTTGAGCAAAGAGAAATCAGCTTCAGGGATCCAAAGATAAATTTTTGGCCTTATTTTCACTTAAAATACTTTCCAATAAGACATCTTTTGATGTAAAATGATTTGTAATTGCAAAAATCATTTCATAAGCATATCTTTCTGCTTCTACATTTAAAAAAAAAAAAGAAAAATAACTTCTACATTATGATTCAAGCTTTGTTCAAGTAGCAACATTCATACAGTATAACCCATATCACAAAATTGAAGATTAGACTTGAAAATTATTTGAAAATCATACACCTGGTATTCATTAAATTAACCACTTTAAATGGAAAATTGAAATTTCTGAAATATATATAAGACTATATCCTTTATCGAATATAATTTTCTTAAAATCTTCCTCAAGTGTTTGTCAACTTGAAAACCAAATTTAAAATGTTATCATTTTTTTGAGTAATTTTAATCTATACACACTGTTTAAGTTGTGATTAAAAAAATGTTTTTCAATTACATATATTTTTTCAATTACATATATTTCTGGAGTAAATTGCATGATTTGTAAGGATCAGATATCACATAAAATCTTACATAAATGTTATCAAATGAAAAAGAACTAATGTAAAACTATGGTTAGCAAAATATAAAGCAGTAACTTGGGTATAAATAACTAATACTTTAAATCAGTATTAAAAAATAAATCATGAGTTGTAAACAATAAAAAGAAGTTTTCAAATAACCAGGACTAATCTACATCCCATTTTTCAAGCCAGCAAAAACATTGCTTTTCTGAAAGAATGAAATTTCATCATATTTATGGTTTCTTCTTCATGTTCATGCATAAATGAATAACTATACATGAATTATTATACTGTGGTATTACAGTACAAAAAAATTACCGTAACAACAGTTACTGGTAACTGTTATCAACATTACATATTAACTTGTACACATACACAGAAACTAAATACATTTATGGATCATTGCACAAGTTTTAAGTAATTTTTTTTCAGATAAAATGATTTATACAAAACTGGCCAATAAAATAGCCTCCTATTTGATTGACAAACTTCCTTTTGGCTCCCTTCCAAATGAAATATGGGTATGTGGGTATAGACACCAATGAGGTTTTAGTAGAAATCACCAAGGAGAAGAAAAAATGTCTGTGTTGAATTCTACAAAATTCTGTGGTAGTACCAGCAGCAGATATCAGATCACACATCACAGGGTCAGCAATGCCACCAATCACATGTGGTTTTATCTGGTTTACAACCAGTCAATAATTCCACTCATTGGTCAAAATAAAGCACCAATATAATTTGGTCATATCCAGTCTCGTTTCTCTCTTGCCCTGCATACTCAGACACACATCCATTTGCCCACAATAGCTGTATACTGTTTTTTTTTTTTATCTAGCATTCATTGCTTGTTGTATGGCTACAAAAAACAAGAACCCATTTATGAATACATGGTTGCATTTTCAAATACATGTACAAGACTATTTAAATGGGTTTGAAACATGGTTTTAAAGAGCATTTTGTCCTTAAATGTGAAATTCTAAGATAATACTATAAATATGAGATGCTAAACTCAAATCTTCCCCCAAAAGACAAATGGATGCATCTCATCAAACCCTAGACACCTTTTGTTTTAATATCTCCAGGTAAATCAAATAAATACTATCAATGGCCATTCTAGCAATGTTCTCTTTCTTTCAGAGGTGATAAGCAGGATAATAGCAGTCTTACCAGCAATGATTTCTGACTTCATTTTGTTCATTTCTTGTCTCATTTCTGTAAGGATTTCTTGTTTCAGAGATTCCAAGTCACTCGGCCCATTACTGGTAACTACTTGAGAGGAGGAAGTGGCTTCCTGACCCGTTAATGAAGGCTGGCGCCTGTCAAAATCAAACAGGTGTTCAGAATATCTTCTAATTATTGAAACTTAAAGCAGCTTCATGTAACAAAATAATACATTTATATACTGTAGACGTACTTTTTTCCACGGGGTCATAATTCCGCGGAATCACAATTTCTGTTTAATCCGCAGATGGAAAATTACACGGATTTTCTAGACTTTCACTATGTGTCTTACATTCATATTAAGTACGCTTGGACAAATTTCCACGGATTATTTGTGACCGCGTACATAGCGTAAATTAATACCATGCGGAAAAAAGTACTTCTACAGTATTTATACTCATTGTTTACACATAAACACAGTAATACATGTACTGAATGATTGACTAAGGTAGATGATAAAAAGCAGAGACCCATGTCTGTTAATTTACTTATCATTAGAGCATGGCTGTGTTACAATTTTTATTTGCAAAGGCACTCAAAAGTATCATTTACTTGTTTGGGTGTTAAAAACATACAATAATACCGGGTAGTTATGCAAGTGAAAAAAAAAGTAAATTCAACTAACATTCATTCAAAGAAACAATAGTTTTATCTATGAAATTTTCTAGATGAAAGTAACATGCAGTTACATGTAATATTAAGTTTCAATAAAAAATTAAGTGTAGAAGAAAAACAAGGAAAAATATTTTTTTTTTAAATTACATCCAAAATTAAATACTGACACCATATCCATATTCCCATGTGATATAAAGTAAATACAAAATAACAAAACATTCTAGACATTCTTTTGTTTACTAAAACATGCAAAGCTGAAGAAAATGTATGAATGATGAAGAAAGTGGAATATGAATTATTGTGAATATTAAATATTTTTATTTCTTCCATTCAGACAAACCCAAATGCTTGCAGACTCTGCATAAGCCTATCTAATTGCATCTCATCAGAACTAGAAATGGGGAAAAGAGAAGCAAATGAAATTGTTGCTGTGAATAAAACTCACGATAACACTTTATTAAATGAAGGTCGTGTTTGAACTTCTCCTGAAATTCGATTGGAGAATTCTGTGGATATGGAGGGAGATGATGAAGAGGTCCTTGCAAAATTCCGGGGAAGGGTGCTAGCAGAGGAACTACGAACACCAAGATATCAGATATCAGCACAGCGCCAGCTATCATAAACACTTCTATACTTTACTACCCGTGTTTTTAAGCATAAAGAACAATGCCACAAATAACACAAAAAAACGGCAAAACTTGAATTTAAAATTGGCTAAATAGGGACATATAAAAGCAATGCATTACAACAGCAAAAACTGACACATCAAAAATGATAGTTTTTTAAGCTTTAAAAAGTATATAAACTTGCTGAATGAATACTTACAATGACTGACTAATTTTCAAACTCCCTCCCTCTGAATTAACCAAAACAATATTTGAAAGTTTACTTGACTTACTTTCTCACTGGTGTGGGTGAATTTGTGCTTCCGTTTACAATCTTGGCAGGGGCAGGTGGTGGGGGGTGGGATCCCCCTCGCTTACTTCTGTCCTCTGGGGGAGTAGATCCCTCACTCTGCTACAAAACAAATAACATGGCACATACTTAGAGAGGGATAATACACTGTAGTAAATCATTATTTTTTTTATTTATACAAAATTTTATTCACATAAGTGAATGGGATGGGGCAGCAGGCAAAGCCTATTTTAGCCCTCTCCCTAGTAAATCATTCTTTAACAATTCATAAACTTATTGTAACACATATAGTCCAGTCCTTTTCTGATAGCGCATGCATGTAATACTAATAGGGACATTTTTAGATTAACATTGTTTTTTTTTTTTTTGTACAATCTCCAATCTCTTGCCTTAAAATATTTATTTGTAAAGAAAAGAGAGACATAAATTACAGAATATTTACCATATCATTCTGAGATGCTTTCTTTCTCATGGCGAGTTTTTTGGCGAGGTCACTCATAAAGTCACCTCCCCCTCCTCCCCCACCACCACCACCACTACTGCCACCACCGCCACTGCTGCTGCTGCCACCACTACTTTCTTCATTCTGCAAGAAATGAACATATTAAACCTCAAAAAACACTATCTAATCAAGTTTTTAGTATAATTTATAATTGGGAATCTCTGTATGAGTAATTGGCTGTACTCACAGGTGCTTTCTTTAACTTTGCTGATTGTAAAGCAGCAGCTAATCCTCCACCGCCTCCACTTGGAGCCTTGGGGGGTCCAGATGCAGGGGGTGGGGGTGCCCCTGGAGGAGGAGGGGCTCCTGGAGCTGGTGGGGCAGGGGGAGCTGCCGGGGCTGGTGGGGCCGGTGGTGCTGCAGGGGCAGCGGGAGCAGGGGGTGGTCCTGGTGGGGCCTGTGGTTGCGGTGGTGCCTGTGGTGGAATGTTTGGTTGGGCCTGCTCCATTGGCTGCATATGACTGTACTGAGAAGATGGGGCTGCAAAAGTGAAAATATAGCAAATATAGACTTTTCTTTGAAACATTAAAAATACCAAAGCTGTAAACATTTTATCCTCTTTCATTTTCTGAGTTTGAGTTTCAACTATCAATTTATCATTTGTCAATCAAATTAAATTACCCGGTACCTGCTCTAATAAATTTATCTTGTCTATATATAAAGCTTTAATGTATTTCAGATTCAGTATCCAACACAAGACTGTTTGTTTCTTACCTAGATGCATCATCAAATTTGATTCATATGGAGCTATAGTTACATAGGAATTATTCACTTGAACAAACACTTGATCAAAAATCTATGAATGGACTATTCACTCAGTATACCGTACATAGGTCAGATGCATCACTCTATGCTTCACCAATACATGTTGTAGGCATCCCTTCACTCATCATCCAATTAAATTTGGTCCAAGTAGATCTTATAGTTATCAAATATATACCTCCTCCAAGATTTAACCTAGTCTGTTTTTTTTTTCAAAAACAAAACTCAATTTCAGCATCATACACAAAACTGTGGTCAACTATGCAAGTTAGTTCAAAACTTGGAAATGAACCTGCTCCAAGAGGCTAAATAGTGTTTATTATTATTTATAAAAGAACATCAAATCAAAGATGCTTCTTTGGCCACTATAGTGTTTTTATAAACCTCGAAGAATAGATTAGTAGTTTAACATAGAAGAGGTCACTGTGGAGATGTCACAAAAGTGCTCCCTACCTCATAAAGGTCAGTTAATAGTGACTACTAGTTCAATGCTGATTTTTAAAAAAAATATTATTACATATAAAAACATAGGAGATATCCTTCACTTACGTGCTCCTCCTGATGGGTGTCTCTGATAATCCCCAGTACTGCAAAAATAAAAGAGTCTTTTTAAAAAAATTCATAATGTGCATGTACACAATAGCCAGCATAAATATGCTTCTATTATTTTGTACCAAAATGGTTTTTTAAATCAGCAAATAGATTTATAAAAATTATACGATTCAAACTAAAAGAAAACTGTATTTCTCTCTTAATAATCATTTTTTTTGTTTGTGTTCCTCTGCTTTTTATCATTTTTAACTCCTCTCTGTTAGAGAAAATAACTGGCTGAAAGCTGCAAGCACTCTTACTAAATACTCTACATTAAAACAATGTTTCTGTTGATTGATTATGTTATAGCCTGATTTACTTCTTCTCTACTGAACTTGGCCTATCTATCAAAAGAGCAAAAAAAAAAAAAATCCAAACACTTAAATTCCACCTTCCTTTTTTTTTTAAATTGTAATTTCTGAAAATCTTCTTTAACATGTTTAAGCAGTACTGAAATGATTTGTCAGTTTTTTCAACCTTATTAAAACAAAGTACATTTCATGAAGAGGATGTTTCCATAACCATATGCAATCAAATGTGAAAACACACAACCAGAACACAGTGAATTCTTTAATGCTGTTAATTTATAACTGTCATTTTCCATGTGTTAAAAGTGTAACAATTTGAGCCTCAAACTTCAGACTTACTTTTCATTTGGTTCTCTATAGCAGAAAAAGTTTCGAAAAAATGTGTTATCAATGTTGCAAATAGTATATTGTACACCAACTTTTATTCCTGTGCAAGAATAATTGCGAGTTCTGCAACCTACTTTAAATGGCTAATATTAATATCTGCGAACCAAAAATTTGTGTAGAATCTGTAGAGAATTGTTTCTCGGTCATGAAGATTGAATTCAAACTGACAAATTGTAAATAAAAGAAGACGTGAATAATAGTTGGTTTACAGTACATCAAAGGTATGGCATGTAATATTCAATAAAAACAGTCTAAAGGTCACCCATTGACTATTGTACATGTAAATGCCTTTTCATAAATATAAGAAATTGCTTTAGTGTAATCAGTGACATTTTTACTTACTCTGGTCCATTTTGCTGGGGCTGCATCGGTGGCCCTGGAGGTGGCATAACAGGGGGGCCAGGCCTACCAGCATCTGGGAAGCAAAAATGAAACAGGAAATCAATGGAGTCTTTCTTTAGATTTATACTAAAAGATGGTTTTATTTATTGATTCATGAATCATATAAAGCTACTCATATTTCATGTTCATAAAAATAAGGTATTGGTGAATAATGGCATTGAATATACCTGGTAATGATGTACGTGACTAACAAGTACTATTTTTTCGATTTCTTCTCTGTTATCACAATATCTATACAAAACTTCATTGCTGTTGTATACCAGACTCTAGCACTACTGTCAATACCAGTGACTTAAGACATGCTTTTGATAACTTACTATTGATGGTATCTAAAGCAGTAGCCATGGCTTGAGCAAAGCATTCGGCATCCTCTTTATTGGCAAAGTTCAAACCATAAACCTGGCGGTTGTCTCGCCATTGATGAAATGTGGGTGTGGCTTGATTGTATTTCAGCCCACGTATGATTGCACAATTGATGACCACCTGAAAAATACAGTTTTTACTTAATAACAGAAAATTTTTATTGCAGAGGAGGAGAAAACAGGTTCTACATTTTTTTTTTTTTCCGAGTAACAGTATAAAAGTACATTTTCCAACGAGAGCTTGAAAATTAATTAAAACAAAACCTGACTGAAAGGACTCTCCCCCTCCCTCTAAAAGAATTATCTTAAAGGAGGAATCAAAGTTGCTGCACTGTAGATGATTTTGGTATAAATCGCTAAAAATTATAATCAAGAATTCAGATTCAAAGTTTCAATATTATTTCCTGCCATGCTGGCTCAATATGGTACCTACCTCATGGTCCTGTAACTTTCTGCCCACAACTCTAAATGTGTTATTTGTGGTATGTCTGTAGATCTGGACTTTGGAGAGTCCTTGAGATGTGCCGCTAGCCACCCACTTCTTAGCGGCATCATCATATAACATGACATTGGCCCTGCCTGAAGCTATTGGGACCTCACTGAAATAAAAATACAAATTCATTTTACTGTTTTAATGCTTTTAATAACCCATACAACTGCATCAATCTGAAAGATTAACAAAGAAATGTCCTTAGCTATAAAACACCTAGGAGTTAAGCAAATGTAATCTGTATTGCTTATTAAAGCTAGAACTTTTGACTGTCTTTACTAACTATACACACATTAAAGTTGATGCTGTGGTTCAATGAACTTTCAAATATGATAAGTAAATATTTCAAATACCTTTGGCATTCCAAATAGTACAGAAAGGTTTAAAAGCCTCCATTTTCATTTATCATTTCATACCTTAGAGCATGCTAAATATTTTTCATGTCCAAATAAAGTTAATTTGCATTTGAATTTCTCCATTAGCAAATCTGATATCATTGACAGGGTTTATGCAATCTAACCGAAATCCATTTAATTATCGTCCCGCAAAAATACACTGACCCTAAGTCCATTAAAGGTACTTGGACACAGATTTGAAGTTATTATTTTCTCTATAATATTACGACTTATATATTTTAATAGCATTTCACACAAAAATTAATTAAAATCGTTTAAAAGATATTGAAATTTCAAATTTTTCGGTGGGGTTGACATATCCTTGCACTCTCACAAATTTAATTTTATTCTTAATCCTTAGGAAAAAATCCGTTTTATATAAATGAAAAATATTAATACTATAATCCAGAAAATTCAGAGTAGACACGTTCGAAAGGAAAACAAACACACAATATATTGTCAGTCCGTGCAGTTGTGGTAAGCAAACTGTGACGATTGAACGCACCCGGTGAATTCTAAATATAAACAATAACAGAACTCGAGCCCTGTTTACAAAAACTGTGTACATAACACAAGTGTGCTCGATTTGCTCAACTCTGTACGCATCTCTTAGTTTGGAATGACGATACTTGTGAAGGTGTTTTGCTTTCTAACATTTCTACTCTGAATAAAATTATTTTTCTTGATAAAAGTTTTAATATTTCTTATTAAAACACAACAAAATTGCCACTTTTCCTTAGGATTAAGAATAAAGTTAAAATTTGTGAAAATGCAATGATGTGTCAATCAAACCCACCAAAAAATAAATAATAACTTTTAAATGAAATAAGATTTTTAATTAATTTTTGTGTGAAATGCTATTAAAATATATAATTCGTGATATTATACAGAAAAAATGAGAAAATATTAACTTCAAATCTGTGTCCAAGTACCTTTAACCTACCTCACCAGGTGACTGGGGTGAAAATACATATTGCCAGAAAGATCCTTCATATTTCTTTTAGTTTTGAAAAATTCTCCACAAATCACTCTAAACTCTTAAAATATTCAGCTACTCAAGATAAAACAAGTGTCAACACTATACTTATTTCATGTATATCTTTTGTTAACTCAGAAATGCACTTTATCAACGAAACATAATATTTCAAACATTGTATGAGAAGACTACATAAAATCAACACATTGAAAGATAATATATTTGGTTGATTGTCCAATTACAGATGGCTCTTAAGATTCTTGCTACTGACATATAACAATAATGGTATATCTCTTTAGTTCATCTGGCTTGACAATACACACCTGAAAATTCAGGTACGGGTAACATAACATTTCTAACTGCCATTTAACAAGGTCTGAATACAGATAACCTGTATTGTATTCCAATGTGGAAAAGGAACAGCTTATTAGTTAGTATCATTACACAACTATAAAAAGCCACAAATCTTACTCATCTGATATTTCCTGTTATTAAATATTGATTAAATCATAGTACAGAGTGCTTGCATGACAAATTTGTGCATTAAATTTTGCTCAATTTCCTTTATTTTCAAGTCAGACCTGTCACACTTCCCTTAGTTACGAATGAACTTTTTTTTAAAGGTGTTCAATTTGTGAAATTGAAGCTCAGAGTGAAATATAGATTAAAATGCATGTAACAGGAGGTTGGGTTGGGGGTATAATTCAAATGGGGTTACACTCTTATGGTAATATAGATCATTGCACAATTCAAACTTAACATCAACATTTACACATTTTAATACATACCGGTAAATACACACAAGACATGACAAAACAGCAAGTTATTGCACTGGCTACAAGATTATAGGAACTATAAATGTCCACTGCTCATATCTTCGATGTCAGTGTGTTCACTACAATAACACAACCCTTATTTCCCAGAAAAAGAACCTCTAGACTGTATACCTATATAAGCACAGTAATTTGGTATCTTTATAAGTATTGCAATATATCACCCACCACAGATCAACACCCCCCCCCTCCTCCCTCTTCCCAGCCAGAAATATCTATCAACATCAAATTATGGTAAACAATGAAATTATGATAAACAATTTAAGTTTCTGACCCCTTACTAAAAGGACTTAAAGCTGCTCATGCATCATACATACGTACTTATATTTAGTTTACAGGAAATTCTAAATTTCCGCTGGTGAAATTGTACATGTATTTATGCACAGTAGTAGTAAATCTGTCAACAAGAAATTGTACAATTTGTATACTAGTATATCTACTGGTAAACTTATACAATGTATATATCAAGTAATCTACCGGTATACTAGTGTATCTAAGGGTATATCTGAAAGCTGGCCTGACAAGACCTCCTGTCTCTTTATGAAGTCTCTTTATGAGGTTTTGTCATTTAAATAATCAGCCTATTTAATCTCTGACCTCCCCTTCAGATAGTTTCACTACTGTGTTTCTGTCTTTCACTCCTGGCATGCTGAGGTTCTACAGGTGTAAACACACCTCTGTGTTACCTGAGTAATGTAATGGCTAATGTACACTGTATTGTATCAATGATGCAGTATCAAGTCCTTGACATCTCAAATATGACAAACATGATGGCTATTTAGTGTCACAAACTGAGAGTATCAAAATATTTTGATTAATCTAGTAGACTCTATGTTGAAAAATAGGCACCCTAATAATCAGTATTCACTACCAGAAATTGTGTGGTTCTAGTAAATATCAACTTTTGTTATCTATATTAAATTATATTTCATACATGTATTGTTGAACTTTCTCTTGATGTTCAAAGATGACAATATTGAAAGATATCAATTGGAATTTTTAAGAGTTTAAAAATAACATAAGTTACGATTTTTGAGAAGTATCTTTTTCTGCTTTTTGAAAATTACATTGCATATTAAATCACTCTTTTTTTCTCCAATTTATTAAACATTTAATCATCTTTTCATTTAAAGAGATAAACTTTATGGAGAGAGAGATCATACATATTTATGCTATCATAGTGAGGATCATGTTTGTCATTTTGATATAATTGTTTAGGTATGTTTATAACCTGTTTCAATTCTTCTTGTGTTTTGCCTGTTCTTGAATAATTAAACTGGACAGAATTCATAATTTTTGATGCCACATTTTTTCCAATGCCATGTGTTTTTATTTTTATCTTTAAGACACAAAACTTCACATAACAGAGAATGCAGTAATATGCACTTTACAGGAAAACCTGTCAAGAGCTGGAAGGAAGTTATGGAAAGAAGATTTGTATAAAACTAAATATAGAGCAACCTGACTGAATGTCATTGATGTTTTATTCCCTAGGTTCTAGTTGATATATTTTGTGTATATATCTTCATAATTTAATAATGAAACCCTGTTCCTTGTTGAGGATGGTATTAAATGTCAGAAAAGGGAACCATAATTAAAATTTGTACCAGATTTCCATTTCCTCTTTCCCAGACATTCTAGAGAACAGCTTTATCTACATCAAATACAATGTAAGTTATCCACTTTAAAATCTTTTAATTGTAATAAAACCATACAATCCTTGTTTCCTCCTCTCAATAAGGGGTGTTGTAAAATACATGTATATGTTCATGAAAGCTAGTCAAGAGAAAGGAAGCTACACATATTTTGCACTACGCTTAAACCAGAAACATGTTATGTAAAGCACTTCCATGATCAGCATTAACAAGCAATACCCAAAATTTGAGAAAGACCCCAAAGAAAGTGAATGACAAACCCTGCAGGTCCATCCTGGGGGTTGGGTCGGGCAGTTGGCTTATCTTGACCCGGTACTGGTGGCAGTTCTCTAGACTTGTATTTACGACTCATCACAGTAAAACAGTCCCAGCTGAGTCTCCTGACAGCTGATCACATAAAGTACAGATTCCAAAGGACACACAAGCTTAGTAAAATACCTCCAACTGACAAATGAATACTTCCTGGTGTTCTGGTGTACGAGGAAAAACTAATCCGTTTTATCATATACAAGTACGCTTACAAATGTATATACATTATTATAGCACTGTGGAGTGTCTGCTATAAATATCATTGTCCAAATCCTACAAAGTTCTAACCACAATCATACAATCAATAGTGACCACAGAGATCCTCTAGGGTCGTAAGAAAATGTCCTTGTTACAATAATTTGGTGTAAGCCTGCAATGGGTTTACTTCCTGTCAATTCAACCAATTGTCAAAGAAAGCTGTTTCAATTAACTTGAGTGTGGTACAGATAAATCGGAGTTAGTTGAAATCTTTTATTCAGACTTTTCTCCTCATACATATGGAGTCCTTATTAAAGGATGTAATTAGCAAATAAAGGTAACATATTAATAATCTTAGTTTATAGATCTGAATTTTCTCTTGACTTTACATTAATTAACCAATCGAGACCCTGGTATCGGTACTAAATTACAATATTCTTCATAAACTTGGACCATGCTCTATTAAATTAATAAAATAATCACTGTCCTCAATTCAAAGCTGTTAATTTTATTATTTTCTTCACTTAAAATGAGAACAGATCAATAAACTACCTCATATCTACAATCTATTCTCCTGCAGCAAATCCAACAAAAAATTTTAGTTTCTGCAAGTCATTCATGAAACTCATCTGGAGCCCAACAATCAGCTGATATAGCTCGTGGATTTTTTTACCAACCAATTCCATCATAAATAGGGCCAAATCAGAGGAAATGTACAATAACATGGAAATAAAGGAAATAAATGCTTTAACAGAATCACAATGAGTCCTGGAAGTGGTACATTTCTAATATGAACAAGCTCCATTAGAATCTCTAACATCTAATTCTACATGTATATGTGGGAAAAATGCATCCAAGCAAACTGAATTGTATTTTAAATTCATCTTTTAAATGGTCATTGTATTGCTGAGAGCCAATTATTATCTTGTGTCTGATTCACTCAACAATTTGTCTCAAGAATCCATCCTTAACATTTAGTATTTTGTTGCATTTAAAACAAACTGATTCATGATATGAAACAGCAGGAAACATTCCAAATCATTGGCATTTCACTAACACAAATACATCATACAGCTACAACTATGTCAATCACCACAAAAACAAATATGTTCGTGACCCAATAAAAACAGTATCTCATCACATTTAACATATGGATATAATCTCAGTTTCTACATACAGCTTGCAAGAAATTCTTCTTTTTTCTGATTTTTAATGCTTTTATAGATAAACAATTGTGCCACCTTAGTAATTTAAGTCACAGTGATAACCATATATGCATATACATGCTAAGAAGACTTGAATACAGTATATATACACATATACTCAGCTTACCCATAGGGAGTAGTATAGAGCTCCTCATCTTCTCTATGAACAGTTGAGATTGTGTCATATGGATTGTCATATGAACATTCCATTTTGATAGTCTCTAGAGCTGTAATTTTATGAAAACAGTTCAGATACGGTAAGTTGTGTTCATTTCTGGAAGTACAGGACCAGATTGTGCCACTGAAATTACTGATAAAAAAAATACTGTTCCTGGATCATCTCCTATAGTTTCATTTGGAAATCCAAATGGACACAACAATCCAAATTTTGATTGATGAAATAGAATTCTTGCTGGAGGCATAGACAGTAATTACTGGTATGTGAAGCAGTTTCAAAACAAGCACTTAATTACAAGTCACTGTTGCATTTTCTCCTTCACTTAATCCACAAAAAACGCCATATGCAAATTATCTAACTGAATGAAAACTGCAATAATAGATTAAAGATTTGAACTAAAAATATTTATGACCTGAGTATTTTCATCAGTGGTTAAAGAATTTCAAATAATACTTAAACACAATGGAGGCATGACACTTGCCAAAATTGTCCAACTAGTCCATCAAAACGAGCATGTCCAAATCCTTATTTTCCATATGAAAGGCCACTGTATAATTTCTGAACAATTATGTTTCAAGAAAGAGAGTGTGTAAGTAAACTTTCCAAACAACTGGTTACTAGTTCAGAGACCGATTTATCTACTTATCTAGTAAAACATGTGCCTTACTCTGCAGCTGAACTTAAATTGAGCATTTCCTTTTTTCTGGCTGAATATCTCAGCCATAATGTTGAAGTCAGATAAGTATTGAATAAAAATGTACTCTGGACTAGACACCATCATACAAAAATCATCTGACCAACATTTAAGCTCAGCTATTTCAGACTGCATGGTCTTAACTCCCCTAGTTCCACTTGAAAAATAAAGACCTGATCAAAAGACAGAGGCCTTGGAATGAATGGAACAATCTTGGGAACAAAACAAGTGAGTCTTCAGAATGGTAATCATTGATTTTTCTGTGAAATACTTTTTTTAAAAAAAATCAGTAATATAATCCATAATAAATTGCTTGTAAATTAGTGATATGTTTTTGCTGGTATAGGAATTAATAATTTGATTCCTGCTATTTAACTGCAGCAATATTACAAGTATAGTGTTCGCTTTCATTTAATTTTAGGTACATACAAAGATAATCAGACACTTCACTTTTTTTTCCATTATGTGTACACTTTTTTTATTCAATTATGTGGTAAAAGTGACTGATGTTACAAATAAATTATTTATAACTTTGCACAGATTGCTGAAGCTGAGACAGCTGAAATATTAATTTTTGCACTTCTATATATATAGATATCAATCCCAGAAAATGGTATGTAACAGTAAAAAAAAAAAAGAGTCAAAAGACTGGGATGTAAAAGTAAAAAAAAGAGTCGACAAACTCAGATTTATTATGAATCAGTCTCTGAATTCTCTATTTATTTCATGGGGAACCCGAACAGATGCCGCTTTCATGTTATTGCAGCAAGATCTGAAGCGTGTTACTCATAATCCAGTACACTGCAAGAATATACAGTCTGAAATGTTTTCTACTTTAATCATCGACAGGAAACTAAAAGGTTGTCTCTTATCTTCAGTTTTTGTCATGAGTTGGACTTCTTCTTGAATGTAAACACAACATATTTATAACAAGGAAATTAGATTCAGAGAAAATCTCATTTAATAAAGCCAAATACACACACTGTTTCAACATGTGAATTTAGTCAAATATGATGTACAGCAAAACTCGGTTTATATAACGAAGTCACTGGGACCTATGAAATTACTTCGTTATATCTGTAGTTCGTTGTAACTGTATAAGAAATTCATTAAATTTATATTGCTGGGGATCCAAGATGACTTTGCTATATCCGTAAATTCGCAATATCCGTGTTCGTACTAAACAAGTTTTGCTGTAAAATAAATTCTTTATTTTCAACATATAACTGCAAAAACAAACCATTATATTATAAGGCTTTAATTATAGATTTAATTAGTATTTCTGATTATATTTCATCTGTTATAAATAGTATGTATTTGTTTTCACAAACTAATAAATAAATTTAATACACTGTTAACAAAACTATTGAAACAATATCTATTACAGCTGTTCACATAATTTTCACATAAATTTTTCACTCAAAAATACACTGTTAGTAAATATCAGTTCACTTGAACATGTTGAATTATTTTAGAATTTGAACTTTTTGACTACAAAATTGTGCACTTCATACATTGTGTAATACATTGTACTATATCTTTTTTTTTTTAATTAAATCAAAGCAAATGTTATATGTACATGTGCATATATCTTTCAGTATATCTAACTTCAGGTACATGTTGTCAATTAATGTTTAGGGAGTTACCTAGTTCATGTAGTTAGTTAAATCATGATAAACTGAGACTATCTTGTAATATCACTTTTCATAATATTTTACAAAAATTATGTCTCTCTGTTCTGAATTTAGGTGAATCTATCACAATAATGTATAAAGCTAAAAGATGCACCAGAATAGTTTAACTGTTTATTGTACCACAATATGATACAATTTGGGATACCACACAGTAGCTTGGACTTTGGTTTACATTCTTATTACTCTGTACAGTAGTTAAATTTTTGGTTTTATAATTTCTTTTTCATTCTTAAATTAATCTTCCACATACAACTATGCATACAAATTTACATGAGTGTATATATTGTAGATAAGTAGATATCTACAAAAAATTAATTTTCATTGTAACATCATTAGAACTAGAAGGAGTTTACTTATTTTGCCCCAGGAAGTGCTTTAAACATTTGACACTACTTGCACTGACTTATAAACTTAGTTACTGTGAAGTGTTTCACTGTTCTAAGTGACTCAACATAGGTGGGTAAATCAAACTTTGCAAGGCATACTTCCTAATACAAGAATACACTTCTAATTATGCTAACTAAATCAAATGTACAGAATCTTTTATGATTAAGTTTTAAATCTTAATGAAACAGTACTATTTCATTAAAAATGAGAGTGTATACATCAGATTCTATTATTATATTAAAGGAAGGAAAAAGTGAAATACTTTTCAAATACTAAGTATGAATATAGATTTATAATTTCTTTTTTTTTAATGGAGTTCTGATAATCAGTCTCCACTTCTGTCAGTGAAACTGTCTGCTAATAGCAGAAATAGTAGAAGGCACAAACTTCTTATTCAAATGACCTCAAGACATCTCTTATCAACAGAACTGTACTTTATAAATTTTCTGTTGCAACTTTTTGTGGGATTTCTCAGATATTAAATGAGATTAACTAAAACACTTATATGTTTTTGCATGTATTACATTCAGCCTCTCTTTACCATGTTTACATTTATATATTGTAGAAGTGATCCAGTGCTTTCCCACAAGGGCAAAATCTGCCCTCAGCTGTTATCTTTTTTTTTATTTCCAGTGGATTCTTTAAAAACTGATCGAGGTTGAGCCAATAACTTACATGTAATATTTCTTACACTGACTCACTGTTTTACCAGTATTTACATTGTAAATTTAATTGTATATGCAAGTGTTTTAAAGATTAAATGACTATATGAACAATATCTAGCCAAAACAGCATACATATCAACAAAAAACCCATGAATCATCAATGAATTGTTCTACCTGATATATAAATTGATCACAGACAACACCTGACACAGATCATGAAGATAAAGAATATGTACAGTACATGTAAAGATGTACACACTGGTCATCATATGAACAGTGTTATAAAAATAATGAATGTTTCTGATAAGCTATATCAATCAAAAACTTTTCATTAAATAATTGTCTTAATTCTTTTTATGATCTTCATGTAATGCATTATTTTAAACTTAATTACGCTCCGTAACAGTATTTTTATGCACATAAGTGGCAGAGTCATAAGTTTTAATTGTAAAAAAAAATCCAGAAAAATTTAATCCCATGTACCCTAAACTAAAAAAAAACAACAACAGTTTAGTTGAGGGTGGGATATTTCTTTCAAATTTTTTTTTTACGATAAAAATGCTAACTCTTAAATGTGTTTATGCATGCAAAGCATTCATATTTTTTATAATGTACTAGTTTATGAACAAACATTTGGTAATACTAATAAAATGTAATTCTACATTATACATAAAAAAATAAATTGCACTGCAGATGGTTATTTATAAATGGAAAAGTGCTCTGATGATTATTTTTAAAAGTTTGGCTAGAAGTCTAAAGGAATGCAGAATATCTCTTTGCTGAACTCATATAATGACTCATCTAGCTTTTCAATATTCAAACTATATTTCACCACTCAATTATAATTTACGGTACATAGGGTGCTCTTTAGCACAATAACAGATTTGTTGACTTGTGATCACCGCGTAAACAGAATCTTACAAAATCACGTCTTCTAATAACACATTTATGACTAACAATTTTATGCATTTGTCATGTTCGTAGAGCTTTCTTTTATCCATTTTTGCATTGGGCTGTGATATGAAGAATATTTCATAACTCACCTCATAATTTATGAATTCCGTTGTAGTGCGATATTTGTTGACATTCAGTACGTCTGCTTTTTAAGTGTAATAAGTCACTCAGGCAAAGCAATCAAGTGGCCTACTTCTCCATCGGCAGGAAACGTTTTAGTTTCCGGATTGATTATCTCACATACCTTCCTCAACACAAAAGTGACGCCATGTTTTTTGACATAATACGGAATCATGGGAAAAATAAGAATGCTTCTTTAAGAAACCTTTGTTAGTAAACGAATCTTAGATAAACGTGAAGTTAGTGCTAAATTTTGTTCTTTCTTTATCAAATATATTTATTGTATCACAAGAACAAGTGTTTTTGTGTTATTAACTTCTGAAAAGAAAATAGTAAAATCTTGGGTAACTCTAATAACAGAAAACGATCTAGGGCAACGATAAATAACGTAAGGCCTATAACAGGCTGTATAACGTTAAATTATACATGTAATTCAATGACATAGTATAACGAATACTTTTGATAAAAAAAATTATGCGCATTAATAAAAATATATTCGCTGCGAACAACTATGGAATGGTTTAAGTTTAATAAACTGTAATTATGTTTATACCAGTATATAACTTTACAAATACAAATTTCTGTAATATTATTTCAATAAAACTCATGAAATAATCCATGCCAAGCATTTTAGACAAAAAATATATCAAAATCTACAAAACATTTCTTTTTCTCTCACTAATACCTAAATAAAAATTAACATCTTATTTTAACCGTCTTTTAGTATGATCATCATATGTAGTTTACTTCCGGTTTACAGGACTGGCACGTTGCAAATGTAACATATTGTTTTGTTGCAGGCAATATCGTCCTTATAACTCCAATATGACATATTTAACGTCATGGGAAGAGTTTTCAAAAGCAGCTGAACGCTTATATTTGAATGACCCGCAAAAGGTATGATATAAAAGTTTAATTAGTCAGACATGTATGGCATGTTTCATACAGTATGCTAGCTACTATACAATAATGTACAGTGTTATTGTATGAAACAAGCGCCTGTGATAATCCGCTGATAATATTTGCCTAATTATATGTCACATACAAGTTCATGCCATCACAAGTACTTTACATTAAATTGATTTTATTCACTCAAAAAATCTGACAATGCCAGGTCCGGCACAATCAGGTCCAGTCCAAAGACTATTTCTACCTACGTAGGTATTAATAGCTATGTAGGTATTTAAAGCTACCAAAAGTAGCTATTTTTACCTACTTTATATAATTTATGCATTTTGCGACCAAAAGACCAAACGGCGCAACATGGTGAATACCATATTTTTTGAATGATGAATAAGACAAAATTTTGGCCAAAAAATTATTACTTTATGAATCAGCAATTTTACATTAGTTTCTATGCAAAATTGATAATATACGAAGTTTTTATTTTTTGGCCAAATTTTTGTCATATTCATCATCAGTGTGACTGTATCAAGAAATTCTGTGCTCACCATGTTGCGCCGTTCCTGCATTTGGCCACAAAATGGAGGTAAAGCAGAAAGTAGGTAAAAATAGCTACTTTGGGTAGCTTTAAATACCTACGTAGCTATTAATACCTACGTAGGTAGAAATAGTCTTTGGACTGGACCTGACAATGTCTTGATTAAGCTATATAGCTTGATTTAGCTTTAAAGCTTTATTAAGCTATTCGGAATAGCTTGATTAAGCTATTTTATCACACTTTTTTCTTAAATGTTTTATTTTTTCAGCATGTGCAAAAAGTCGCACCTTGGTGCAGTGGGAATATTAAACTTTGAACTCTTCTGAATACAATGCATGTAAAAATCACTCACCAAATTGCGTCTCCTTGAGAGACTTTGAACTCAAAGTTTTAAAAGTTTGGGGGCTATTGATGAGTGAACACACAGTTATCTCTTGAATGAAATTATAAAGGTGGTCAGTTATGGCCAACAGGATAATTGATTAGTAACAGTTCAACACAATGAGAAGCAATCATACTTATTCACGCCTCACCGCACTCAGTATAATAGTGCAGTTACACAAACAATGGAAATTCATCTTTTGCTTAAAAGTATTCAACAACAGCAATGTTAGAACTTTCTATGGTTTAGGTTGTATTTTTGATAGCCATAAGTACATATATGCATTGTCAAATACTTGCGACTTTTTGTTTCTTTCTAAAAATGTTTTTGTTAAAAACTGCATATAAATAGCTTTATTAACCTATTTTAAATAGCTTAATAAAGCTATATAGCTTTTTAAAGCTATATAGCTTAATCAAGCGATTGTGCTGGACCTGAATGCCATTTTATGGTTGATCTTAATCAGGTTGGGACCAATCGCCCACACAGCACTGTGAAGGCCTACTATGAGAAATCAATGGAAAATAGACATGAAAAAAGGGGGACCTTTTTAAAAATGAATTTTTAAAAATGAAGCTGTTTTATTATCACAGAACTCAAATACTTATGGAAATAGCATAGTATAACCCACTCTGCAATGTATGAAGTTTGGTCCCATCGATGGACAGTCACGTGACGAATGCATAGTTCGTGTACTGAATGTAGGTCATGAACAAATTTCAATATCGCAAGGGCATACCCTAGTTGAAATTAAAAATTCAAGCTATTAATTGTTTCTGCATACTTTGTAGTTTCTGAAAAGTGCTGCTGCTTTGAATAGAATTCGCGTTTTAATAGTTAAATTTTCAGGTAAATAAGCCAATGTCGAATTATGTTTGACTTTTACCAAATATTTTGTGTGCTTATAAAATCACACCCATGATTTAAAGAAAGCAGCTGCACTTTTCAAGTTAAGAAAAATATCCTTTATCTATAATTATTCAAAAAATTGTTAACATCTATTAAGTGTATGCCCTTGCAAAAGTACGATTTTATGAGGCATCTCATTGTAAAATATATGTAACCTGCACATAAAAACACGACATAATTAATAAATTTAAATACATTCTCTTGAGAGTTAATGAATTATCACACTAAACAAAGGATATACATTGGTATTAATCGACTATTTAAAACCTGATAAATAATATTCCGTTTAATAATAAAACGCATTTTTCATTGTTAAAAAATTCCTAAATTTGCCTGTCACAGCACATGAATACATCATTTTTACCAAAATGACGTCATGTGTACAAGTTCATTACGATCAGTGCTTTGTCTATAACCAGCTACATGGGATTCAACCAGCAAGTTTTTTAAATGCATTGATAAGTTTTATTGTTGTTTATTATGCAAATACAGTTAAAAGTTGCAAACTATTTCATTTTCAGGTATAATGAGAAATACATAAAAGTCATATTTTTGTGTAACGTCACAGTAAACTTTTCCCGTATGAATTAGGCCCCGCCCCCTTATTCAAGCCTTAACAATGCTGCGCAAATGGGATATAATAGTCCGTTTGGGATATAATATCCCAAATGGGCTATAAATTTACAGTGCAAAAAATGGAAATTTTTATTTTGGCTATAAATATCATAAATCCGCATCAGGACACTTAAAACGGAAAAACTTTTGGTTGACTCATGGAACTTCCGAGGGATCAATCTTCTTAACAATGGGCATACAGAAAAACTTGTCAACCAAAAATTATTCCTTTTTAAGTGTCCTGATGTGGATTTATGATATTTATAGCCAAAATAAAAATTTTCATTTTTTGCACTGTAAATTTATAGCCCGTTTTGGATATTATATCCCAAATGGACTATTATATCCTATTTGGGCGATTGGTCCCAACCTGTTAATATGATGGAATTACCTTCACTATTGAAAACTACCACATAGATATTGTATTTGACCTAAACTTTTCAAACGAGTGACCATATTTAAGTTTTTTGAGCAGACGCTTGATTTCATGATGGTGTATTTAATATATTTATCAATATATTATGTTTTCCTAAATGTGTCTGAATACACCCATAACCATTCAAATAAGAATGAAAAATCCCTGAAATTAGCATGTTTTAAATATATCATATTACTGTATATATATATAAAAACGGAAGGTATGACATCTTAGATTTCAAGGGGCGCCTTGGTTCACAACAGATTTTAATTATTTTGAATTTCTACACTTTTCATGCTGGGGTAAGGTGAGATTTGGAAAAATGATTGAATAATGCTATTCAATCGTCTTCCCATTAGAACTTGGATATAACAGTGATGCAGTAAACCAAAAAATGTCCACTAATACCCAACACTGAAACTGAAAGCAATAGAAGTTACAATTTTTAACTATCTAAGTGCAGAGGCTTCCCATAATTACAGAAAAAGTCTAGAGAGTAGAGAGGTTAGACATCAAACATGTTCTGTCTAAGACTCTTCATATAAAACAACTAGCAGAGACCTTTTCGCAAAAAATATACCGGTATTGACATCATGTGGATCAATCAATGGAAATTTTGAGCAAAGGAGTAATAATATTAAATTAGACCATCATTAAAAATATTTTGTTTGATGTACTCCAACCATCATTTTCCAAAATGGGGTGATAGGTAGTTAATTTTTCTATCGCTTTAAAAACTTTCAATCAAAAAGCATCCTAGAGAACTTATATACCTTAGCTTTCAAATGAAACAATCTCTATTTCTATGGGAATTTAAAAAAATGAATAAATGTTAAAAACTTCAGAGTGCTAAAAGAAAATGATTGGTTAGGGGTAATCGGAATACATCAAACAAATCATTTTTAGGTCACCTGAGTCACTCAGGTGACCTATTGCTATCTGTTTTTGTCCGTCCTCGTCCATCGTACGTCGTTCGTCAGTTGGTCATAAACTTTTGAACATTTTCAATTGAACCAATTTCAACCAAATTTGGCACAAAGCATCTATGGGTGAAGGGGAACAAAAATTGTGAATTTCATGATCCCTGCCCCCCTGGGGCCTGGGGGGTGGGGCCAAAACCACTAAAATTAATGCAATCTTTAAAAATCTTCTTCTTTACTCCTGGACATCAAGCAGTCAAACTGTTTGCATGATTGTAATCAGCATTGAGTCCTTTACCAAAATTGTTAAATGGCCCTGGGGTCACTTGTGCTAGGGCGGGGCTAAAAAGTATATAGTGAAAATGCATTATTTCTTTGAAAATCTTCTTCTTGCGCATGAATATTAGATAAATTAACTAAGTACATAGTTATGATGAGCAAGAGTGCCTCTAACAAATTTGTGAATTTTAAGGCCCCAGGGTCAGGGGTTATGGTGTCATAAAATAAACATTATTGATTATATAGTGAAAATATATGAATTCTTTGAAAATCTTCTTCTTTACTCCTGGGTATTAAATAAACTAACTAAGTACATAGTTATGGTGAGCAAGAGTGCCTCTACCAAAATTGTGAATTTTATGGCCCCAGGGTTAGGGGTTCTGGTTTTAGGGCGGGGCTCTATTGATTATATAGTGAAAATACATGAATTCTTTGAAAATCTTCTTCTCTGCTCCTAGGTTTTATATAAACTAACTAAGTACATAGTTATGATGAACAAGAGTGCCTCTACCAAAATTGTGAATTTTATGACCCCAGGTCAAGGATTCTGGTGTTAGGGCGGGGCTGTATTGATTATACATGTGAAGTGAAAAAACATTAAATCTTTGAATATTTTCTTCTTTGGTCCTAGGTTTTAAGCAGATGAACTACCTATATAGTTATGAGTAATCCCTAATCTTCAAGAATTGTAAATTTCAAGGCCCAGGGTCAGTTGTACCATAGAGGGAGGGGGGGTGGGGGTTGGCTGTACTTATATACTGAAAATGAATGAATTGTTTGAAATGTGTTCCTTGGTATTAATCAAATATTTTTATATGCCTTTCCAAAAATAGTGCAATGTTTAAAGAGTCAAGGGTTCATGTGTGGTAGCGACACTACTGATTATTGCTGAATATTACTGATTAGTTGAAATGCATTTTTTGTTCCCCCACCCTGCCTATGGGTATAAAGAAACCAAACTAAGGAACTGCTAAGTGTATAGTTATGATGGCCAAATTGTAAATGCTATAGCATCTGGCTTAAAACATGGATCAAATTCAATCATTGTTGAATAATGCTCAGGTGACCTATAAGGCCCATGGGCCTCTTGTTTTTAATGTTGGCCTTATTCACAAACGTAAAAAGATATTTTTATTTTGATTTTAAAATATTACAAGGAAGTGCTATTGTATTGTTATAATTTTGTTGTCTTTTATTATATTCAGTGCCGGTTTGTTATCAAGTACAGACACTGTGATGGGAAATTGAATGTGAAGATAACAGATGATCATGTGGTAAGAAATAAAATATGTGAATACACAAATAAAATAACAGGATTTTTATCAACTGTAGTTTCTTTATTGGGGATTATAAAAACTTGAGTAATCAAGAAGCCTCATAGGTTAAAAATACAAAATAAGTAGAATTTCAATGATATATAAGAATCTGGAATGAGTAGGATGATGTGTCTCTTCTCTTGAGCCTAATTAGGGGAGCTAATAACCAGGTTATCCATAATCTACTAGATTTTACCTATGTATCATTTTGCTGTGCATAATTTAAGTGAGCTAATCTATACCCCCAAAAGCTAACTCAAATCATTGAAGGAGTTAGCATGATTTCAGTTCCCTTTGACCAGGACTGCATATGGGGCTACATGTGTTTCCTTTGGTTTTGCCTCAGGGAAATACAGTCAAGCCTTATTATTTTTAACTCAATAGGACAAAGGAAAAAAAACTTGAGATGTCCAAGAATTTGTGATATTGAAGATGGTGAAAAAAGGTTGTGACTTTAAAATCACTTCAAATGTACAATCCATGACAATCTAGGTGTTTAAGATACCAAAGTTCAACTGCACTACTGGCCTTGTGAAATTGGAATCTTGCTAACTTTCTAATGATTTGCATAAATTCTATACTTATTACACTGTACTACATTTAATGTTTTAATATTTTTTCCCAGTGCTTTCAATACCGAACAGAACATGCTCAGGATGTGAAGAAATTAGAAAAACTGACAAATCAGTTGATGAGACATATGGCATCAAAAGAAAAATCCTAATACTGTTCTACCAAAAGGAGATATGTGTTGTGTTTGAATGTTGTACATAAGTGTAAGCTGCATCATGTTAGACAGATATACAGAAACAAGAAACCTGTAAAAGAAATTTTGAATCTTTTGTGAAATATACATTATTCTGGATATTGTGTCAAATTTACATTATGGCAATGGTTTAAAATACATATATTGTTTTTGTGAAAAAGTAATTTTAATGGAAAGGTCATACAAACCTTTTGTATCAGATGAAATGCATGTACCAGTAAATCATTTTAACCATTTCTTGTGGAATGGAGAAATTTACTCCATAATATGTTTTCAATTTGTCACATTTTGTAAGAGGTCAAAATTGTAGGTAGTTGTTTTATCAGGTCTCTAACTTGTACATAGTTTTGTCTTAGTTTATATTATGTTACATGTATATTTGGATAATGCATCTGAAGAGAGAATTGTAATAGAAAGTCAGCAGTGTAAAAGCAAATGATTTCAGGTATGGGTGATGAGTGACGGAAAATAAAATACTTGAAAATAAAAGACAAACTCTTCTTTTTTTAAATTAATAGAAACATTATTCTTAGTTGTTTTTAAATTTATGTACCCATCGTTTGTTGAAACCTAGCATAAACTTCATTCAATTTTTTTAGGTCACCCAAAACTCAGTGACCTGATTTGACCTGTTTTTCTCCTTCATCATGCATTACACAGTCAATTCAGCTTCTTCTCTTGAACTACCATACCAATTTCTACCAAATATGATATACAAGATCTTTGAGTAAAAAGATTCAAGTTTTTAGAGCAGGTTCATTTTGAAGTAACTGTGCTGACCAGACTTGCACTAATGATACATTTCTTGATGCATACTTCTTGCTGGGATGCTGGATCTGACCTACATTTTCCAGATGAGTGAAAAAGTTAAATTTTTGAAGCAGGTCCATTAACAAGAAACTATAAGGTTTACCTGACTCAAACTTGCATGGATGATGTATCAACTGATGTTGCTTCCTATGCAGGATTTCACTTACATTTTCCCTGGACAAGTGGCTAGGTTTAAGTTTGCAGAGCAGTTTCATTCTAGTGTAACTTCATGCCCTATCTGGGCCAAATTAGTACTGATGATGTATCAAGGGATAAAGCTGTCAGCTGTTTCAGGTTCTCATTTTAACTTATATTCTGTAATGATCAGGTAACTTTTTGGAGCAGTTTAATACTGTAAATCACTTTTTATTCGCGAGAACTTTATTTTCGCGTAATTACGCGAGACGGTATCCTCGGGAAAATTTCATTCTTGCGTATAATAGAATTCCTTAAGATTATATAGAGCAATGACCACAATTCGTGAAAATTTTGTCTCGCTAATAAAGAGTCAATGACTATCTTGCGAAAATAAGGTGTCGCGAAAATTAAGTGATCTACAGTATTAACCTTTCATGGAGCAAACTTGCTCTGATTAAACATATAGATATGCATGCTACCACACAGAATGATTCTGAAGTTGACCTAACCTTTTCAGATGAGTGACCAGAATAAAGTTACTCCTTAGTACATGTATCTATAATGGCTACGTAGATCAAATGTGATGCATAAAGGGTTGCAAACTAACAGTCCTTTTTTGTATGGTAGATCTGACCTGCATTTTCTGATTGACCAGTCAACCACACCAATGTGGTCACTTACTTGAAATATGGATAGGGCCATTTTAGGGATAAATTGAAGTAACTGCAGTGCAAGCCTTACCTGGACCAAAATTGCATAAAAGTTGCATCAAGGGATACACACCACTATATTATTAGTTTGGTGTGGAACTTTGTCAACATAAAGATAAAATTTAATCAGGTGAGCTCAATAATCTTGGGCTACCTTCAATTATTGGGTATTTATCATTTCTTTGGATTCTGTAAGACTGAATCTCAACCCAATAATTTCATTTCTTTTAGAGGTTAAAAGATGGCTAATTATCCATTATGATTTTGAATAGTTTGATAGCATAACATTGTTTTTTCTACCATATAAATATTTTTTCACTCTCCATCTACAGAAAAGAAAGATGGCAGGTACATGAAATCCATTTCATAATATCCAGTAATTGTGTCATTCTTGCCTGGAGCAAACAAATACAGTTGAACTTTGGTATCTCAAACTCTGATATCTTGAATACCACGTATATATCGAAGTGATCTGGATTCAGAACAATACATATTCTTTAAGTATTTAATCTCGGATATCTCGAAGTTTTTTCTCAGTCCCATCAGGTTCGAGATAAGGAAGTTCGACTGTATTGTTAAAACAAGAGGCCCAAGGGCCTTGAATCGCTCTTCTGATAAATTGTACAATCTATCACTTCTATTAGAAGCCTCCAACTCTATTAGAATCATAAGACCCAAAATGCATCAACTTACAAAGTTTGATAATATTTAGCCAGTTAAGACTGAAGATATAATATAATTATAAAATACCATAAGTAGGTCACAGTGACCTAACTTTTGATTTAAATTTTCTGAGGACTCAAGATACATTAATTGACAAAGACTGATGATTCTAATTAAATAAGTACCTGAGATATTCAAAAGTAGGTCACCATGACCTACTTTTTGGTCAACATTCTCTGAAAACCCAAGATGCATCATCTGACAAAGTTTGACGATTCTAAGCCAATTGGTACCAGAGATAATTAAGTATAGCCATCAAATGTCAAAAGTAGGTCATGGTGACCTACTTTTTGGTCGACGTTATTCAAAAACCCATAATGCCTAAATTGACAAAATTTGATGATTCTAAGCCAATAACTACCTGAGATATTCAAAATTAGGTCACCGTGACCTACTTCTTGTTGGACATTCAATGAAACCCTAAGATGCCTCAACTGACAAAGTTTGATAATTCCGAGCCAATAAGTACCAGATATAATTAAATATAGCCATAAAATGTCAAAAGTAGGTCACAGTGACCTACTTTTTGGTTGACGTTCTCCGAAAACCCAAGATGCATCAACTCACAAAGTTTGATGATTCTAAGCCAATAAGTACCAGAGATACTTAAATAAAGTTATAAAATGTCAAAAGTAGGTCATTGTGACCTACATTTTGGTCGACATTTTTCAAAGATCCAAGATGCATCTACTGACCAAGTTTGATGATCGTAGGTCTGAAGGTAATCAAAATATGTGTTTTAAACAATTTGAAAACAAGTTTCGGCAAAATTCAAAAAGTAGGTCACAGTGACCTACTTTTTCATAAATAGGTATTAAGGTCCCAAGATGCATCAAAGTACAAGATTTTATGATTCTAAACCTTCCAATGTCTGAAATAATGGGATTTAATATTTTCAAAAGGATAAGTTATGAAGTTCAAAAAGTAGGTCACGGTGACCTACTTTTAAGTTGACATTGTTTGAAGACCCAAGACGCATCAACTGACAAAGTTTGATGATCATAGGCCTTAAAGTGTCCAAAATATGCCTTCAAATCAATTTGAAAACAAATCCTCGCAAAATTTAACAAGAGGCCCAGGGGCCACATCACTCACCTGAGCAATTGGCTAGGAAAAAGCACATATCAGATCAGAACTGAAAGTTAAGTGGGGGGGGGGGGGACTTGAATTTTAACCCCCCCAGGGGGTCATGATTTGAACAAACTAGAATCTACACTACCTAAGGATGATTCCCTATAAATATCACTAAGCATGGCTTTGAAGTACTTGAAAAGAAGATTTTAAAAGGTTTCCCTATATATTCCTATGTAAAACTTTGATCGGCCATTTGGCCCCACCCTACTCCTGGGGGTCATGATTTGAACAAACTTGAATCTACACTACCTGAGGATGATTCCACATGAGTTTCATCTTTCCTGGAGTGGTTCTTGAGAAGATTTTTAAAGATTTTTCCTATTTATTCCTATGTAAAACTTTGATCGGCTGTTTTGGCCCCACCCTAATCCAGGGGGTCATGATTTGAACAAACTTGAATCTACACTACCTGAGGATGATTTCACATAAGTTTCATCTTTCCTGGCCCAGTGGAAAGTGAGAAGAAGATTTTTATAGATTTTTCCTATATATTCCTATGTAAAACTTTGATCGGCCATTTTGGCCCCACCCTACCCCCGGGGGTCATGATTTGAACAAACTTGAATCTACACTATCTGAGGATGCTTCCACATGAGTTTCATCTTTCCTGGCCCAGTGGTTCTTGAGAAGAAGATTTTTTAAAAATGCCATTAATTTTTCACTAATTCATCATTATCTCTCTTATGGAAGAGGGCATGGCCCTTCATTTGAACAAACTTGAATCCCCTTTACCTAAGGATACTCTGTGGCAAGTTTGGTCGAAATTGGCCATGTGGTTCTTGAGAAGATGAAAATGTGAAAAGTTTACGACGCCGACGACGGACAAATTTTGATCAGAAAAGCTCACTTGAGCCTTCGGCTCAGGTGAGCTAAAGAGTAGGTCACCGTGACCTACTTTTGAGTTAACATGATGTGAAGTCGTAAGATGCATCAACTTACAAGAATTGATAATCCTAGTCCTCATAGTAAGCAAAATATACACGTTTTTATTCATTGTAAATTTAGGTCAACTTTGAAGTGACCTTGAGACCACGCCCTTTGCCCCAGGGTAATTCCCCATGCAAATTTTAATCTTCGACATATCCTGATCCCTGTGTGTAAGTTTGATGAAAATCTGCCAGGTGGTTATGGAGAAGAAGATTTTTTAGCAACCAGTACTTTTGGTTTTGTTTTACTGATTCTCTCCCCTTGTTTAAGGGTCCCAACCCTTATTTTAGTATAAATGGTAGCCCTTGGGCCAAGGATACCCTGTGACAAATTTGGTACTGATTGGCCAAGGGGTTCTTGAGTTATGGCCCATATTCTAAAAAGTTTACGCACACCGCACAAATGGCCATAGCATTAGCTCTTTGAGCCTTTGGCTCAGAAGAGCTAAAAATTATATGCACCCTATTATCTTTGCATTGAATTTCACATAACACTTGGACATATCGTAATAATTTGTTGATATGCATGCAATAGTTTCCAATTACAGAAATGCATTCATTTGAAATTTTAATAAAAATAAAACTTTGCATTCATACATTTATTCTTAGATCATGCAGACATTGTACAACTTTGGCACAAATAAAAGTACATAAAATTAGCTCATAAATAGCCCATATAGTCTGAAATGCATTCATCAACATATTCACAATTGCCACCATGGCTTCCATAGTGCATTCAACTTGTCCCAAAAATGGATTTTTCAGAGCAACACCCGAAGTTTTGCAAAGCAATGTATGTAACTCTGATAGGAATCTCTGGGTGGTCCTATAAGTGACAATATCCCTTGAGAAAATGTCTGTCAAAATATGCTTAGGATGGTTTCATTTAGCAAACATGATATAGCCCGTTAGCCACCACATCATGACGGGCTGAAGTAAGGATATAGAGAGGATCAGGTAGAGGCTCCGCTTACTTCCCCGCGAGTAGTTGCTGTCTTCTGAGTGTGGCAATATTTTCACTCGCAGTGTCTGAACCTTCAAATACACAAACATAAACTTTAAAGTCGTTTACTTCACAAATTTAATGTATGCATTTCAATGTTATGACTAAAAAAATCTATTAATGTCCTGCCCATGTTCACAGCAGGGCATGAATATCAATTAATTATGAATACGCATGGATACTTTGTAAATCAAGACGTTTAGCTAAATTCTTAATGTCAGATGTTCATCACAAAACAGTGGTCTTTCATTTCTCACATTTACATAATTTACAAAATTTCAGGAATGTTATATACAAGACAAAGGCCAGAATAATAATAATGTCCTGAAATACATAATTGGGATTTCATTTTTTTTTTTTTTTTTTGGTCATATAACAGTGATCTCCCACTTCTTGTAAAGTCTCACAAATTATGCATTCTTCCACTTACCAAGAAGAAGGCTATGGTTATACTGAACCACAGTAAGGTGACGTAGTACCCTGTAGACTCGAAAAGCATTCCTGACAGAAGGCAGAGTATCATTCTGTAAAAGGGAGATAACACACTCGTGTTTATATTCGGCATTTAAATGGACTTCAAATACTGATGGTAACACGTTATCTAAATGTTTATAATTTCCCCACTCTTCCTGTAGTTTTAATTCCATTTGTTAATGAATTGATTGTGCATGCATGTACATAGTATTGGAACTTTTCAAATTACCAAGATGAAATCAAAAGCCATACTGGGTATTCAAAATATTTTTTGAATAACTACTTACCCTACAAATTTGTATCCACAATATGCTACTATATCAAGATACTTGAGATCTGTTTTTAGGTTCATAATGTAAAGGCTCATGTTTAACACAAAAAGTTCTAAGATAAGCCACACCAAAGCAGAACTTGTCTGAATTCCCAGCTGCTCAGGAGTGAATCTACAAATATAGAAATATCCAATATAGGGTTTCAGAATCAATTTTTCTTTTACCATTGCAGATTATATTCCTTTGTATTACATGTGTTCGTTTAATAGATAATTGTTAACTTTACTAAATAAAAAAAACTTTTTCATTTTAACCAAAGATGAATCCACACAACAAGAGGATGATTCTTTATCATCTTTATTCTTCATAAGTTCTGAAGAATCTGAACTGTGGAGAACTGTGACCCCTGATTAGTCCCAACCCCAGCATTAATATTCGACTTTTCAGTCATGATGAAAAATCTGCACAGCCATGTTGTTTCTTAAAAAAAAATTAGGAGAATATTTCCAAAGTATCCTTGCAAAACTCGGATCCTTATTGTACCGGGTAACCCTCTATCTAAGACATGATTTGACAAAAGTAGAATCACTACTTGACAATGCTTGCCTACTGATACAACTAATTGTTATACCCTTATAAATATCCTTCTATATATTTCTTACTAATAAAAAGTCCAACAAAAGAAATGTTTATTACGTCGGTCTAACAATTTCACTATTGACCGGTCTTACATAAGAATTGTTAGACCGCAACGTCACCTGTCTGTTACATCACAACTAATAATCATCGTTCAATATCGGTGACGCGAAAATAGCCGAAGTTAAGAGCTATTAAGAGTTGTTGCTAACAGCAAGGTAAGGTAGAAGGGAAGAGTATGTTTTGTGATAAATAATTTTTGTGATATAATAGACTTATAATTGATTTTGTTCTTTCTCAGCTTGATGTTTATATTTACTGAAGAAGCCATAATTTTCCATATAAAATAATTGATAGTTTAGCGTGTATTGATAAAATTGATCAATCTTAAGTGAGCAGTGAAGGGTATAACAAAACAGTTATAGACTAGGATTCGGGCAACATATGATTTGTTGGACCTGAAGATTAAAATGTTGCCCTTGGCCTGCGGCCTCGGGAAACTTTTTCACCTTCTGGTCCAACAAATCATATGTTGCCCTCATACCCAGTCAATAACTGTATATTATGGCCTTGCTTTTCTTAATATTTTAAAAGATTTCTTCCTCCTTATCTCAGTGTTATACTTTGATTTCAGACTTTGGCCTCATCCTTAAATTACCCAGGACACAATAATTTGAACAATTATACAGCTACACTTGTTGAGGAAGCTTTCAATTAGGTTTTCATCTTTATTTGCTTGGAGTTCTTGAGAAAAGCTTTTTTAAAGATACCACCAAAATGTCACCATAATTATACCATACTCCTTTAAAACAGTCTGAAACATCTCGAAAGATAGTACTAGTAGATGGACATCAAACAATGGGTATTCCGAGTTCACTTGAGCTTATAGCTCTGGTTACTTGAAGAGTTAAAAAGGTATTTAGGCAAGATCTTACTTGTTATGTGTTCCCAATACTAGTCCTGCAACAAGGATGTATGTGACGAATGCCATGGCTGAAATGAAACATTTTATGACATTCACAATATCGTAAACATTAAAGATGTTGCTCAATTAAATCAACTTACACAGATTTCCAAGGTAAGCTTATGAACACTTCTATAAAAGACTTCTAGAAGTGAATACTTATTATAAAGATACTTTAAATAATTTATAACCTTTATTTTATGACTGAGCCGAGCCATATTTCAGAAATAGTAAATGTAGATGTTATAGCAAAACTAATACATACAGGTATGTATCAATAGATAAATCTCAGTTCCAAAATTAACTTATCAAGACAAGCTGAATCTGTCAGTTTGACATACTTTATGTCTGAAGCAGACAATCTTTAGGCTAAATATAAGTGTCACGGATTATCCGCGGATTTATGTATCGTACGTTAACGTTATTGTTACGTCACAATACTGTACGTTATGTTTCTATAGTTAATAACAGAGTCTAAAATAAACCACTATACGATCAAGACACATTTCTATTCTTTCCACAACAATTTTGGTGCCGTGATCGACGGAATGTCTACATAATACGTAAAATGGAAGGAAGACTGAAAGCCATACGGGCCGGTAACAGATCAGTGGTGACGAAACTTTTCGGACGATTTTTGGACTTGAAAGAAAATACAGCCAGTGAAGTAACGGAGGAAATCGAAATAATTAGAAAGTCCCTAACGCAAAAAAGACAAACTCTACAAGAACTAAATGAACGCATATTAGACGCATTATCTGAAGAGGACATAGAAGAAGAAATCACAAACACAGATGAGTATATGTACGAATTAGACTGCAAAATTAAGAAAACAGAAAAATTTACGGAAAAAGTTTCATGTAAAACTTTGAACGCCAGTGCTGAGTGTTTTGTACCCGCCTTAGAAATTCATGATAGTAATGTAAACACGTCAGCTGCAATTAACTCAAGTGAAACAGCTTGTGAGAATATTCTAAACAATTTTCCTGCCACTGATCTCGATGAACAAAGTAACCACGATTGGCAGAAAAATGTTTTGTCAGTACCATCCAACCAGGTCACAAATAATCATCGACTACCGAAACTAAATCTTCCACATTTTGACAGGGATATACTACAATGGAATACATTTTGGGATTCATACGAATCGACAATTCACCGCAACCAAACTTTAACACCAATTCAAAAGTTTTCGTATCTCAAGGCTCAATTACAGGACGCAGCAGCACAAACCATTGCAGGATTTACTCTCACAAACGCAAATTATGAAACCGCCATAGACCTGCTCAAGGAACGATTTGGTCAACCGCAAAAAATTATCAATGCTCACATGAGAGCACTTATGGAACTGCATGCCCCGAGAAACGACGCCATAAGTCTAAGAAATTATGGAGACTGCTTGGAATCTCATGTCAGGAGTTTAGAGTGTCTAGGACAAAAGCAAGAGATGTACGGAGCTTTACTTATTCCAGTCATAATCAACAAGCTACCAGCTGAAATCCGGAAAAACATTGCACGTGAGTACGATGGTGACAACATTTCACTACACAATCTTCGTAAAGCTATCAGCAAAGAAGTCAAAATCCTTGAATCAGACCAGATTGAAAACAGCGATGGATTCCATGCAACAGCAATGTTTCTTACCGGAGCCTCAAAGAAACAATGCCATGTTCATTATGGACACAACCAGAAAACAAGAGAGTCAACTCCTTATGTCGAAACAACAGAGATAAAGAGCCGCCCTTGCATTTATTGTTGCATAGAGAATCACTTCCCAGGGGACTGTAAGAAAGTTACAGAAGTAAGTACAAGATTCGACATCTTAAAACGGAAGAAATTATGTTTCAACTGCTTAGGAAACCACCGCGCCGCAGATTGTAAATCCCGCAACAGATGTAAAACGTGCCAGAAGAAGCACCACACAAGTATATGCGACATGAAACTAACGAGGGACAGAGACGAGCCCACCAAATCAACAATTGTCAACATTGTAGGAATGAGCAAACCAAAACCCACAGAAATGAACGTTGAACAACGACATAAAAGTGTTTTTTGGAAATCAGCTTCCACTCCGATGAGTCGGACTGTGGACTCCATTCAAGAACGTAGCAAGCTCACTAACGAGATACAGCAACTTAAGTCAGAGCTGAAGACTAAGACAGAAAGGATGCACGCGTTGGAACAAGAAAATGCGACCTTGCTAGAGAGATTGTTACAATTCAACCAACAAAGAAATTTTCAGACTCGTGTGGAGAATGGGATGAAGGATATGATGGAACAGATGAATAAACTTGCGCACGAAAACGGACACTTGCATAACGAGGTTCAGGAATTAAAGGACCAAGTTGTTAATATCAAAACCTACAGCACTCACTTGGAGCATTTTAATGCTAAAAACAACAGTCTTCAGTCACGATATGATTACGCCCAAAGGCAAATAAGTGAGCTAAATATCAAAGTACAAACACTTGAAAATCAATTACAAACCTCACAGGACCCCGTGGAAAGAAGGGAGAAAGATCACACGTTCGCCGTAAGGATCCGTGATGACACACGAAGGGAAGAAACTCAGATGACAGAAAAACGTACAGAGGCTGAGGAGAAGGAAAAAGAAAAATCACAGAAAAAGAATCTCAGGGACATGGCAGAGATAATAAACAAAATGCCAATCTACGGACTCGAAACATGGAACTGGAGAAATCTAACACAGAACTACGTCACAAACACTCCGAGGAACTCATACAGAGGAGAGACGGATTCGTTAGAGCTGCCACTTTACGGACCAAAAATGGACTTACCAACAGACCAATTGTGAAACTATATCCAATCGAAGTGAATGAGAACGAACTTAAAATACTATCGTCTGATCGAGTGTCAAAAACAAAAGCCAAAGAAAGAATTCGTGAAAGGACCTCTTAATTAAGTGATTATGAACTTGTTTTTATTTTAAATGTCAATGAACTGTTAATTTGATTTGAACTTTTTAATATTCTAGTATAATATTCATTTCGGTGCCCGGAGTGCCACGGATTATCCGCGGATTTATGTATCATACGTTAACGTTATTGTTACGTCACAATACTGTACGTTATGTTTCTATAGTTAATAACAGAGTCTAAAATAAACCACTATACGATCAAGACGCATTTCTATTCTTTCCACAACAATAAGAAAAGACAACTATGATCCTACTTACATGGTATATACAAATCAGGTGCATTACAGTCATCTCTTGGAGCCACTGGTTGGTCTTGGTTGAATTTTATTGACCAGTCCTGAATAGAAGATTCAAAATCTTTTTAAAAAATCTGATTTCTTACTTCTTTGAAAAAGCATTTTATTAAAATTCTTGTACAGGTGTATATTTTTTTAATCTTTAAGAGAGAAGATGAAAAAGGCACAACTTACAGTTTGGGTAAAAGGAAAACATAACAACCCCAATTTCTTCATTACATATGTTGTATCTACTGCAAAATAATACTTCATTCTGGATGTTGAAACATATTTTTCTATCTGAAATTTGAAAAAAAATATACATGTGTAATGATCATATAATACACAACTTGACTTATTCCAATAAAAAAAAAGTGTATATAGTTTAATTTCAGACCTATTTTAAGAGCCTCACATTTTTATGAACGAATTCTGTGCCTTGGCCTGCCAGGGACTGTCCGTACTGCATGGCCATGTTAGCCATGGGATCATTGAGATACTGGGCTCCGGGGATCTGACTCATTCCTGGGGGACCACCATAGCCTGATGGGTCATAGCCTGTCAACATAGGAAAAACTAGTCTTAATCTGAGGCACTTCTGAAGGTCAAAACTGTTACCCACATTTGCTTGTCAATCATTCATAAAATCAAATGATTATAAAAGTCTTAAAGATGATCGAAATACACATGTACATGTGAATTCCATGTAATAGCATTGAGGTTAAGAAGATGTGACATGGGCAAATATCTAAGAAAATAATATTATTTTTTGTTGAAAAGAAAATGTGTATGAATTTTTAATAGACAAATTTCACATTTCCAAGAGTTATCTATCGTTGTCGATGTAACACTAATTAGTTATCTGTTTATCTTCCAACGTTATCGGACAATTTCGATCTGTACCTGTATTGCCAGAGTATGGGGCAACACAAAAAGCATAATGAATATGTTCATACACATTTTATTTCTAAAATACTGACCCATATTGGCATAAAGTCAGTAAGGTTATAGAGAGAAAACACTGCCTTATGCTGGTTGACCCCGGATTGACCCCACAAAGGGGAATAACTTTTGTAAATGTGAAATCGTCTATTGTACACACAATAAAGATGGTGGTTTAAAGACTTCATTTGCTAAAAAAAAAAAAAACCAAGTATGGCCATAGGCAAAATAAATCAATAAAGAATGTTATTTTAATAAATTATACATAAACAGATCTTGTGTATCTTCTATCTGTTCCAGCAATGAACATCATTTGATAGAAAGGCCACTTCGATCTTCAATGGCGCCGTGCGTCATTACGAACTTCACAACACATAGACTAGTGCATGATGTGTGTGTCGGACTTTTAAAATGCCTTTTGATAAATTATTTTTTGAAAAATACTATTTCCATCAAATAGATATTTTATATAATACAGAAAAAATTGTGGTCGTACTTTAACGAATGCTCTGAATGGAGACAAATCCACGCACCGACAAAGTCCCTGGCAGGTAATAAAAAACTTCCTAGAACCTTTCCTGTGCTGATTTTTGATCCAAACGCCACAAATTATATCCAATTATCTATCAATTAACCAATTATCATTTATTTAATTTCTATTAAGGTTTTAAGACGAAGCCATTGAGTCGTTTTGTAAACACAATAAGTACTTCGCTTGACCAGGACTGACACCTATGACGTCAGAGCAATGGCGCGCTACATCGGCGATCAAAATATGCATATTAAGAAATTTAAACTTTGAATCGCTGAAACAACCAAAATATTAATTTTTTAACCAAAAAAATTTGATGGATGATTTTAATAGCGTATAAACCTTGTTATATCAAAAAATCATGATACATGATAAAAACCCTTTAAGGTAATATTGAATACTCATTTGCTTATATAACAAAAATACAGAGAATCAAAATATGTACAGTGCAAAAAAAAAACATGAACTATGCATTATTATATGAATTTTTCAAAAACTTGAATACCAATTTAGTCAACATAGCATCTTTAATCAAATTAATGGCGCCAAAAGTTTCAACATAGGTCACCAAATTGATGACCATTTTAAATTGACTTGGCTATGATAAAATTCTGGTACTTTTTTCTCTAAAAAGAAGTTTAAAAGTTAGCAATGGACATGTTTTCTTTGTCAGCTTGTTTTTTTTTTAGCCACGCACATGCAAACAAATTCTGCATCACATCAGTGCACACGAACTCAGGTAGACCAGATAAGACAAGAGCTGTTCCAGGTAATTGTTGACTTCAAAAATAAATTGTGAAGTGCAGTTAATTAGATTGGTGATGAGGTCTGTTGTTTGTCAATTTAATTCTAACTCATTAGAGATATCATCTAGACATAAAATTTAAGTCATAGATGCACAAACAAGCATAAAATGTATAACATGTAAACAATATTCTTGATGTTATTATAGTTTTAAAGAATAATTCCTAAAAAGAAATGATTGATTTAAACTTCTTGAACATACATGTAACAGGTTTACTGACTTATATTTTGTGTCATATTTTTCCTCACCTTTTAAAGTTTGTATGTCAGAAAAATTTGCCCGGTAGATCTAACTATAAATTAGCATTAGCGACTAAATTTTTTTCGACTAGGAGTAGTAAAGCCAAAAGTTTAGAGTTCACTTAAAGGCTTGTAAAGATGTACATGTACCAGCATAAAATTCTATATCCTAATAGAAAATATTATACGTATTTGTGCAAGTTCTTTATATACAATACATAAATGGATAAACTAAGCACTAAATACAGTCGAACCTTGTTATTGCAAACTCATTGGGATTGAGATAAATATTCTTGAGTATTTGAGATATAAAGGGTTAAATACTTAGAGAATACCAGTAACTGATAGGGACTTTTGATTCACTTCAGCATATCCATGGTATTTAAGATATCAGTGTTTGAGATACCAAAGTTCAACTGTATACAAGGCTGTTTTAAAAAATTGGCTAATCGTACTTCAATCTGAATCACAAAACAGTAAACGTGGTTATAGTGCATACACTTAATGAATTCACTCTTACAGCCAAGACAATTCATTCCCTGTAGTTTTAAACTGTATTATAAATTTATCAGATGTTATATACAACAATAAATCAATTTCTCTCTTCCCTCAGTTGCTCTAATAGCTGTAAGAATGTTTTACAATACACAATTCTAGTATTCTTGTACCCACAATTTTTTTTCTCATTCAATACATACAGTGCATTTTTCTCTGGTATCATTGTATATATACTATACAAAAGCAAAATTTATTATGAACTCTTCCTTTATTACTATCTTTTCTCTGTGGTATAGCTTGGCACTTTAAAATATATAATATGAAAGCTCATTTGAAATTACTAATTAAACTAGAAAAGTAGCAGCTCTTAAATATGCTTGTTATACCTTTAAAACTTGTTTTCTACAAATATAATACTATGAACCTGGATTCAATATTTTCCATGAGGGGGTGGATTATCGAAGCTAAAAAATGAGACTGGGCTCAAAATAATTATAATATGTAGAATCAGGGTTCAATATTCCACATATCTGATTAAAATATGAAAAGTTGAAAAACTTTGTTCTTTTTTTACATCCCACTTAACAGTTAAACAATTGACTAAATAAAATCTGCTGTGGAGGGAAATAAAATTTACATCAATATATTGTCACCTTCATTGCAAACATGAAAGTCTGCACAAAATACATCATAATAAGAAGTAAAAGGTATAACAAAGCATTTATTGCTTGGATTGGAAGGCAAAATGGATTTTGTCAAACCTTCAGACTATCCTGCTGCCTTCAGCCTTATAGGCCTCTGTCAAACTGTTTGTTTCCTCAATTTGATAAAATCCATGTTGTCCTCCAACCCAGTTGATAAATTGTTATTATTCTATTGTTAATGACATTCAGCATATCATTTTGGTGAACAGATACAGGTAAACTGTATGCATCATGAACTACAAGTAAACAAACATAAAAATATAACATATACATTGTAATATATAAGTACATGTATGCAACTTTTTGAAATGTGAAAGCTCACTCCTTATGCCAGACTCATGCATAATTTTGCAACATGATTACCTTCCATATCTATTCCTAAAAGAAAGTTTCTATATTTTCACTAAACATAGAATATGTCAAGTTATTAACAAAGACATGTACATTTATCCATCCTTAGCATCACTGCTAATTTGTGGTACACTGTATATGACACAAAGAATTCTTAAAAGTTGCATGTTTCTTTCTGTAACTACTGTGTAAACAAATGGAATAGTTTGCAAAGTTGTTATCTCCAGTTACAATAAGAAAAGATGTTATATACTCTGCATTTCTAAAATCATAATGTGAGAAGGGTTGAAACCGGATCTTACCTTGTCCCTGCTGACCTCCATAGTGTTGAGATGGAGGGGGTTGCATACTTGTGTCTTCATAAAGCTGAGGCTTAGAGCCCCCTTTCTTAGGTCTCCTTTTACCAGCTGCAAGATAGATCAAAACATCAGACTTCATATATAGAAGAAACAAGGTGTAGTTACATGTACTAGAATGTCAGAATTCACATACACATATTCCTATACCCTATTCTTAATTAATGATCTGACATTTAAAAATGAGATGAATAAAGAATTTAATATTCAATTGAAACAAAAACAGGGAAAAATCATATAAGAAAAACTAACTAATAGAACCATGGCATTGCCTCAAGTAGATGATGACATAGCTTAATCCAGATCTAAAAACTAGTTCCTATAGATCTTTCGTTAAATAAACTGGATTTCCCAAGATTATTGAAAAAAAAAGTAGGGATGCAATAAAGTTAATGCCTCATGACTCTGTCGAGAGATTTCCATTGACTTTATTGATAATATTTCGAGCACCTGTGCTTTCATAGACGATGTCAAATGTTTTCATCCCATTCTAGAATGGTATATCTCTTTTTCTTGGCAGTGATATGGACAAATTTATAGTAACCAATGTAATCACTGAGATTTGTGCTGCTGTCATTGTCAAATAGGTGTTTGAAATCTACGTACACATCTGTACAGAAATTGCCTTTGTAAGCTTTCGGGTAAAATCATGCGATATCTAACAAGATTTTATGATGAGTGGCTTCAATATGGATATATACTTAAGCGAACCAAAACTACTTTTGACAAACCTTTTGTAGAAAAACTGTAGATTTACGAATAAATGCAGGAAGTGGGAGATGGATTGAAATAAGAGGTAGACTTCTATATTATGCAATTACGGTTACGTACTTACCATGAATGCCAATATGACCTCAGGAGTCGGCAGTTTTATCCAAAACATAACATAAACAACAACCATTGAGTTACTCACTGCTCTGGTGCATTATTTAACAACAATACGCGGTACTTACTATTTATTGAATAAAGCGCCAACGCAGATATCAACAATAACGCCTTGCATTCCTGTCACTTCGCTCGTGAAGCTCGCTCACTGGTTGTTGTTTACGTTGTTTTATGGATAAAACTGCCGACTTCTTTGATATGACGGAACAGGAGGGTAGCGTACCTGGCGTAAGTTCATGCATACTTACATTAAACCGCAGTGCACAACATCTATGAGTGATTAAACTGACATACACTTACGGTTTCTGAATTCCGATGGAACATCCATTGGCCCTAAGTGTTGATTTTAACCCGTCAAGAGTGTAAATTCGTTAAATGCACTGAGTTGGCATGACACACAGACAGAAAATTCTGACAGCTACTTCCGTTCAGCCTCGTTTTCGTATTCCAAAATGTTAAGAAATAATTTGTACATATAATCATTCAGGATGGAGGATAACGAACAGAGAACGATTGTCGTAGAGTGGTTACAAACAATACAAGAACAGGGCATAAAACGCGGACTCTCGGAAATTTTAGAGGTGTGTTCAGGTGGCAGAGAAGAGCAAGCACCCGTGTCGACCCGCCGTGAACTGTCGCTAGACGTCTACATAAATGGGCGTGCGGCCAAAAAAGCGTCACCTTAAGCTGTTAGTGTTAAATCGAAAATTACCTGATCCAATCTCTGAATTCTAGAGGTCTATGTCTTTCGTATCTAGTATTACATCCCTGGAATCTAGGGTATATAAGTAACGATTTGTAATCTAGCAGAGTTCTTGCATTGTTTTTTATTTGGACTTTTTCTTTTCTACTGATGAACTTTTTGATTCATGTGCCGCCTCATGCAGATGTGTATTCTCTTTAGAAAAGTGGACAGGATGTAGGCGAAAGCGTGTCCATCTCCCTAAGTGAATAGCATATGTGGTACATGGAACTGTCATTAATTTTATAACGTTCTTACTCAATCTTTGTTTTAAAAAAATTGGTCTGTAGAAGAAAAAAAATTTTGAAAATATCTGAAGGTAACTGTAAGAAATGTGTTTAGAATCCAAACACTTTTCTAAACACTTTTTTGTCACCTTCTTTTTTATATGTTTAATTCCTAAACATGTTCAATTTCTAAACACGTTTGAGAACGTGTTTAGAATCGAAGCACACACGTGTTTAGATTCTAAACACTTTCTCATACATGTTTTGAAATTTTACATGTTTAGGAATTAAACATATAAAAAAGAAGGTGACAAAAAAGTGTTTAGAAAAGTGTATGAATTTTAAACACATTTCTTAATTATGTGCTTAGAAAATAAACACATCTAGATTTAACACATTAAAACAAGTGTACCTGCAGAAAAACACTTGTAAATTTTGGCACAAACAGCATACTTAATACACATACATGTAATATCATTGTCAAAATTTTCAAAATATTAATCGATATAAATTATTTATCATAAGGCCTCTTAACATTTAGATATGCAGATACTTTACAATTTTGTGATGTACTTTATTTACACAAATTTAATATGATCTCTATAAGTTAAATCAGCATGAGATATATTATATTTATAACGCAGACTGGGCAACAAACTATGAATCTTCATAATTATACACAGTATTTTATTAAAAAAGAATAAGCTGGCAACTTTAGATTAAAAAATTCCCTGAATCTTTTTTAAATGCTTTATTAAAGATATTGAAATTAAAATTACAAAATGTTTTATTATTTTTTATATAAATTTATGATTAATTACAGTTTCAATCGGTTGCAGAGTTTTCCATATGTCAGTCACCAAATATCAAACTTGATTAACTTTCAACTGTCCTAAAGCACTACATAGCACCACATGATATAATATCCCATCAGTAACTCCCGAAAAGTAATCCATTTCAAATGCACAAGGATAAAACTGTCTAACATTGCCGAATTAGGGGTAACCCAATACACTTCATAAGAATATGTTTCTTAGTGTTGACCATGGAATAACAATTTACACTTGGAAGATGACGCCGGGTACTTGAAACATGCTTTGAGTTCGATGTGGACTACTCACATAACCTGTTGGAAAGAAAGTCAGATTTAAGTGAAAGTACCGTACACTGCCAACTGAAGTTGACATCAATTTTTCAAGTTGTATTAAAACTATTCTGATATTAAAATGGTTATTTTTACTGAAATTCAATGTAAAATCCTCTCCTACAAGTCTATAAACGACCCCCAGGTCACTGTTTACATTGCTCATCGTGGTTTAAAAATGTAAATCTTTAGAAAAAGAAAACATACCTTTAATATATTGCAGTAAAAAGATGCCTTTCAAAGGATTTTCAATATTTCTTCATGATTATCCTTAGGTTGTCAGTAACTCTCCTTGATACGTCACATAAGCTTTTTTGTGATTTGCTTTGTTTCGATGGCCGCTCAAATTAACGTTCAAATATACGAATATTTGTGTCATTTCCGGGAAGATAACTCTGCATTTTACAACAGAACGTGTTTAATTTCTAAACACGTTTAGATATAAAACATGTTTAGACATAAGTGTTTAGTTGTTAAACATATTTCTATACATGTTTAGATATAAACACGTCATGGAAGTGTTTAAATCCTAAACGCAATTTTTATATATATATATAACTGACTTGATACACATTTTAACCAAAAAGAATTATCAAATGGAAAGGGTGAAGATGACGAACAATGATCGATCTTTTAAAAAATGTATAAACTACGCAAATCTGTGAACTGGGAATAACCACGGACCATCGGGCCCCAGGATCATGAAACAAACTTAGACTTAAGTCAAATTTTCAAATGCATGTAAAATGTTTATTGATTATCGAATTTAACTAAAAATTTGCAAGTCACAATATGTTTTTGAATCAAAATTGAAACACTTTTCAATTTTTATTTGTTTGTTTTCTATAAAATTTGAATACAGCATGAAGATTTTGACTTAAGCTTAAGATGTTTCATGATCCTGCATGGGGCCGGAAACTCAGGACTGAGGTGGGATCAGGAACGCAGGAGAAGCAAGCACCCACTGTTGATCAGTCACACCCTCCGAGACTCGTTCTTACTGATCAGGTAGACGGAATATTCTGTAATCGAATTCAGTTAAAAAAAAAAACAACAACAACACCAACAAACAAACGAATGCCTGACAAATAATATAAAACATGTCAGCCAAAATACAACCTAGTGGTAGGATATATATATATATACATGTACAAATATGAAAACAAGGTCATTATGACGAACATAGATCAGTTTACAAAATGCTGACTTGATTGAAATCCATATAACGTCAACGTATATGTCAGCAGTCTGCCTCGGATTAAAAATTGATTGTACTGGAAACCCCTTAAGAATAAAAGAAACTTTAATTCAGTCAAAAAACATCAAAGCGGAACTATATGAAAACTTGATCTGTAACTCATAATTATACACCCACATCCCAAAAAATCAGCTCAATATCTGCAAGTGAAAAAATCAAGTTGGACAGAATGACAGACGAGGAAGAAATCCATAGTCCCCTCCTGTTTTACCTATCGGTTAATATGGAAAGTTGACAATCGATTAATCAGACTGACAATCGATGGAAAAGATATTGAATCCTATGTTTATTATTGTTCCTGTAGAAATATACGGCAATTGGCAATAATTCATATTTTATAACTTGTTATAACTTGCCCTCCTACCTGATGTTTGGAGTAGTAGCTTCTAGAAAAATAGCAGGCCACTATAAAGGGACACGCCATTCTGGATACAACAACGTGCTTCTGTCACTTGATTTATATTAACACGCTATACGGCCGGGTTACAGGACCAAATAATTTTTAATAATTCTGAGAAGAGCATTTTCATTTGCTGGACAATCTGTTTTTCATGATCTATTTCATTTTTCTATTATAAGAAACGTACACGCTTCATCTGACGATTTGCAAATCTGCAAGAATGCGTGGTATATGGTCCCGTGGAAGGACAACAAATGCACATCCAGAAACTGATCCCCGAGGCAAAGGTTAAAGAATGATTTATTTCCAATGCCACCTTATCTACACCGTAAGGTTCAGTGAGGTTCGTGAACTTAGTACAATTCTCCGTCATCCTTGGACTTTCAGTAAGGCGTGGCATTCTCGACGCTACGTATAGAAATTAGCGTCTCTCAAATGGCGACATAGATTCTTATTGATTTAGAAATTAATAACATCAACAACTTTAAATTGTTGTCAACTCTTTGCCGTACGAAACGCTATTAATGGATCCTTGCTACACTTGTTGTCATTCGCCCGAATTTCTATCCCATGTATATTTCAACAATGAATGAAAGGCTTTATGTAAATTTCAGACGCTACTTATGTAATGTCGAGAGTACCATGCCTTACCGAAAGTCCAAGGATCAATGAGAATTGTACTAATATTCTATAAAAGAACGGACACGGTCTCTCCGATTAGTCAATGCTTTCAATGCACGATTCTAACTTAAAAAAAAAGCGCACAATTAATATCACAACAAACTGCACTGTAAATAAGCCATTTCTTGGTTTTCATGGGCTATCCTTGTAGTTAAATTTATTCGAATGTAAAATGTATTAAACATGCAGTCATAATTTCATAAATAAAACATAACAAATTTTTAACAATCTTAAAATAATTAAGTTTCTACTTAAAAAAAAATGAATCGAATGAATTGAAGAAATATTTTTATTGGATGCGACTACATTATGGCTTTTACTAACTAATAACTATGCATTTTATTTGTTCCCGGGCACTAGCACCTCCTGTATATACATTACTGATCATACTTTAACACCATGACATGACCTTCCTCAAACCCGAGCCACAAGGTGTAGTGGTCAACGCCCAGACAAATAGGATGCTTGTCGAGACCATGTCCAGTCGTGACGAATTTTTCCAGCAACTTCCCGTAACTATCGATAAATCGAACTTCACGACTCTGACATCCAATAACAATGATTCTATGACGATCATCGCAGCACACGTCCCAAGCAGATATATCAACCACCCACCGGTCCCAAAGGGGCGCCTTCTTGTTGTATTCCTTATAGATGAATTTCAGACGGCCATTACTATCCAGAACGCACAATCGACCCTTATTTTCCCCTAAAACGTCAATGACACAGATATCTCGGTTTCCGTTTTCGATGGCTTTTCTTGGTGCGGTGAATAAGTTTTCTGTTCCATATACTTGGACCTCCATTCCATCCATTCTCAGTTTTGATATTTTTCTTTGACTTTGTCTGGAAAGTATAAATTCAAACTTGTCCACCAAGCTGACTAAAAGATGGCCATCATGAGTTAAAGATACACTTGTTGGACGTAACTTTTTGGTTTCAAACAACTTTACGATAGAACCGTCGGAAGATATTACTCTGTAAATGCTTTTGTTGCGGAAATCTGCACAAAACAAAGTTCCATCGCGTGTTTTACTGAATGAATTTACGATGAAATGGAAGTTGAGCTTTTTGATGACCTCTCCATCTTTATCCACTAAAGCATTCGTGTGACCTTCTCGTTGATGAATCCACGCCTTTTCTGCAATTGGACAGATTGACTGTATATCAAATACCCCGTGTCTAAATATGGAAATAACATCAAAAGTGATCTGAAAGTCCATCTCTTGATCACGTGGTCGATGTGCCGACCTGGGTGTTTTTATATCAACTTGTCGCTTTACCTTTGTCTTTTCATAGATACTTTCTTTAGGAGTGAATCGCCCAAACATGTCCACCAGAAGGTCTTTATCAATGTTTCCTTGTTCAAAAGACCACGATACCATTTGCTTCCGAAAATTATCTGGCGAATATTCATCCATTGCCATCTTCAAATTGCGATTAGCCAGTATTATTTCTGCATCCGATCCAGATTTTGATTTCTCTGCGCAAATCCGTCGAATACTCTCTAAATAAATTTTGTCGGATTCTGCCTTTCCAACTGCATTTCTAGATAATTTGACTTTATCCCTACAATTCTGTTTCAGTTTTTCTTGTATGTCCCGGACAATGGATATTATTTTGTCGCCCTGAGCATCAATCCTTGCCAACTGGTCGCTTATATCATTGGTAGCCCTTTTGGTATTGGAAATACTTGCCGACAAGAGACGAAGGTGATCTCTCTGAATTTGTCGCAAATTTTCGGAGAGTTCGTATTTTTTTGTGGTAACAATATCGCTTACTTTACACCAATCGTGTGATTTGTGAAGATATAAAATACAGTCCATACACACTAATACATCACAAGATTTACAAAAACAGTTCAGGATCAAGGGTTTATGAACTTCACATTTTATATCACCATCATTTTGTGTGTCTTGAGAAATTCTTTTTACGTATGCCATGTTCTTCTTACAAACAAGCTAGCAAAAGTTTACCCATGTCTTTAATAGAACGCAGTGTGAATGGAAAAGAGGACATGCAGATATGAATTAAAACAATGGTAATATTGGTAATTTATCTGTCACACTGGACGCTCCCTTTGTAACCCGAGCGTGTGCAAGTAAGTGTTAAAGTGATTCATTTTAAACATAGAATTGTAAAAATATCAATTCATTTAAAAAGGAACAATAAATCTCTACTGAACCACCTTAAGAAAAAAACAAGAAAGAAACAACTCGTGCAATGAGCTTTACTAAACACGTTTCAGCATGTTCCAAAAACACTAAAAGAAGAAAAGTGCATACACAAAACAGTACATAGAGAGGTAGAAATCACAAAGCATCAAAACTGACCAATGCAGTTTAGTTGGTCAGGAACAGTAAGTTGATAAATTTCCTTTTCTATGATCGAATCGCAGCCAGAATCATGCAGCCAAAATTGACTGCATTCAGAACAGTTCTAAAGAGATGTCTACTACTCCATCGCTCTACCGCGTCTTCCAACCACTTCTCACCTGAAAAATTAAAAAAAATCTTCTGAGCACTGAAAATGGATTTTTTTTAAAAAAATAAATCATGGATTTGCTATTTTTTAGAAAATGATTTTTAAAGAATTTTCCTATATATATCTTGTAAAAACTTTGCATTTTGGCCCCGCCCTACCCCTGGGGGTCATGCTTTGAACAAATTTGAATCTACACTACTTGAGCATGCTTCCATATATATATGATGAATTATGGCTTTGTCATTCTTGAGAAGAAGATGTTTAAAGAATTTTCCTATATATTTCTATGTAAAACTTTGGTCGGCCATTTTGGCCCCGCCCTACCCCCGGGGGTCATGATTTGAACAACCTTTAATCTACACTACCTGAGCATGCTTCGATATATATAAAAATGGCATTTAAGAAGATTTTTAAAGAATTTTTAAAAAATAACACTATCTGAGCATGCTCCTATAAAAATATAATGAATTATGGCTTTGTCATTCTTGAGAAGAAGATTTTTAAAGAACTATATATTTCTATGTAAAAGTTTGGTCGGCCATTTTGGCCCCGCCCTACCCCTGAACAAACTTGTTACACTATTATTCATAAAAATATGATGAATTATGGCTTTGTCACTCAAGAACATTTTTAAAGATTTTTGCCATATATATTTTTTTTTAAAACAGGGTTACCCCCGGGGGTCATATTGAACAAACTTGAATCGTATATATGCTTCCATATAAATATGATGAATTATGGCTTTGTCAGATTGAGAAGAAATTTTTAAAGAATTTTCCTATATATTTCTATGTAAAATATATATTGGCCCCGCCCTACCCCCGGGGGAATAATGAACAAACTTACATACACTATGAGCATGCTTCCATAAAAATATGATGAATTTTTTTATATTCATAGAAGAAGATTTTTAAAGAATTTTATATTTCTAAAAAAACTTTGCGGCCATTTTGGCCCCGCCCTACCCCCGGGGGTCATGATTTGAACAAATTAATGAATTACACTACCTGAGGATGTATAAGTTTCATCTTTCCTGGAAAATTTCTCTTGGAGAAGAAGATTTTTAAAATATGCCACTAAATTTTCATTAATTGAATTAGTTTCATGAGGGCGTGGTTTAATATTTGAACAAACTTAATCCCCTTCACCCAAGGATACTTTGTGGCCTTATATGGATCAGCAGTTCTTGAGAAGAATCGAAAATGTGAAAAGTTTATAAGACAGACAGACTGAATACAGAACCAACAGAAGACGCCGGACATAATGTTCAGAAAAGCTCGCTTAAGTGTGGCTAGGTGAGCTAAAAAATCTATAAAATGTTTTGAAGATTCCATCGTTGACAATCTAATTTGTGTACACAGTGCGGTCATATTGCACTATTTAAATGGAGAACATTTAATCCCATGGTTGTCAATGGCAGACACTGCTTTTTACGTTCCATACTCAAGACTTCTTACACTAGGTTTAATTGTAAACCTAGTGTAGCATATTTTTTCAGTAAAAAATATTGAATAAATATTTTTTCAAAAGTTTGCAATAATAAACCATGATCTATTGTTAGGCGTTTGATTAATTACAAGTATATATTAAAAGTACACTGTTACACTCCGAGTATGGATTCGTGCAATGACATAAAACTAAAATCTTTGCAAGACGCAGATTTAACCCCTGAATTCATCATTATTCCAATATAAAATAAAATAAAAGTGACATATAAAGACTGTCAACACATTTTAAATTTTTGCCCTTAAGGGTTTTATTCTATTGAACGGAATAGACGCATATAATTGTTTAAATATGACTGCATAAGCTTCAACTGAATACAAACAAACGAAAGATATACTTTCCATAGATCGCTTGAGTATGGTACGTTACCGCTAATACACAACTGAAAATAAGCAAATGACATGCCGATGCCATGGATCAAACAATACTATACAGGTCATTAGACTTAGTCAAAAACACGACTGATTTGTAATAAACCAGGTATAGCTTGGGGTAGTATTAACCGTCAACCCTTCGAAAACTTTCTCTATGTTGAATTGCATTTCGATTCATCACTTGTCTTAGAAATTCAAATTGTAACCAAAATCGAATAATTGATAGTGGAAAAAAAAATAAATCAAAACCTTTCTTCTCTATAACTTTCTCGTCCAGAATAACGTTGACCTCTGGGATGATAATCGTGAAGGTATAGATCGACCCAATAAGAAAACAGGCAGGGGACACCAACCACAAGTTCCGAGACGGCGACCCCTCAAGGGCGAAATAGAGGTAGGTGGGGGCGGCAGCCGTGACTAGGGTGGAAGCCAGCTGAAAGAGATTGAACAGATTTATTGTGTAAATGTATCTGGTGTGAAATGCGCCTTTTCATATTTAGCTAATACTGTTTAATTGATCAAATAAAATAATATTAAACATCAGTATCAATAAATGATCAATATCTATTGGTTTCATATGCAATAGAATTAAAAAAAGTTCTAGATAACCAAATACTACATAGTCTAAAAAATATCGAACTCAGTACACTGTATACTCTTTTTTAAAAAGGCGTAAATGCATTTAGCGTAACTTGAATACCATTGATTTGGCCGCCATTTTAAAACTTCTCGTAAACTGCTGCCACAATGCTTTGGCTGGCAAAGATCGTCTGCTTTGAACTTCCACCAGGGAAATGTAAATTCCAGCTCCGGCCATATATCCAGTGGAAAAAATAGCCGCTATCTTACATCCTTCTATCAGATCCAAAGGTGCCATCATCAATCTGTGACAAGACACTTTTCCTTAATAAGGTTAACGTTCGATGTGCACACCTTGTTGTACCTGGTTTTCAGCTGATCTGCCCTACTTTACAACAAGATACGCTTTGCTGCGATTAAGATGATTGAAACCCCCTTACACAAAAAAATGCAATACGAGAATTGCAAAACTAACGCACATTAATTCCTTTATCTTCCCGCTAAAAATAATTGAATAGAGACATGTTAAATTTCACTTGTGACGGAACAACAATTAATACTTTATGCAGTTACTAGTAATTAAATTGGTCAAATCTAAATAGTTTAATTATCTCTTTATTATATCAACATCTAATGGAAAATTTTAATCTTTTTAAGAATGACACTTTCCCAAATTCCAGTGTAAGGTTTATTGTTTCGAGAAGCTGGGAAATCAAAGTATTAATCAAGAAGTAACGAAATCGAATAATTAGTGCAAAGGTCTGACGTGACTTCCAACCACTTTTCACCTGGAAACTTTTTTTTATTTCTTAAGTAAATAATGTAACAATCCTCGGTTGATATTAGTTTTGTTTACACAGTTGAATAATAATTGCTGAACTGAAGATATTCAATGTTGTATGCACTGCTGAAACCTGAATCCAAATTAGAAATAAATTTTGAGGAAAATTATTCTCTTTTTCGAAAACAGAAATTTAATAATGAGTATTGAATTGTAATGTAAGAAGAATATACTGTCAGCCAATTAAAAAAAATAGAATATTTTCTCTTGGTGTCCAATGCAAAACCATTCCAAAACAATCTTCTGGAAGAGCATTTTGCAGTTAAGCTGGGGAAAACCCATTGAATATGCTATGATATCTACTATCTTACAGGAAAACACAATAAAGATAAATCCTAACTCAAAAGTAACCTCTTTCTAAAGACAAGTAATACATTAGTTCATGGCCTCCTTTCTAAGAAGGAAATTCTTCAAAACCATGTCAGATTTATATATGTTTTATAATATTCCAAACAGCCAAAAAGAAATTGAGTTACAACATTTACACGAGATTGTAAAACTCCTTACAAACATAATATATTTACATGTAGTATACATAGCGGATTCCAGTATTGTTCTACCAAGCCTCTTTTACTCCCCACTAAAATATTCACAACTTCAGGAGTATTGTGCAACAATATATTCGAAAAGATGTGGATACTTAATATATCCAAAGGTTTGTTAGAAAATTTGAAATCCCAAAATTTTACCAAAATTAATACATCAAACGGCGCGATTATTCAACAAATTAATACATCAAACGAATGCTGCGATTAATTAAACAATCATTGATCGTATAATTTGAAAACATCACAGGCACCTGACGTTACTTATTTTTTCTTTTAATAAAAAAAAAAATATTATACAGTTATTGACCAACATATGATTTGTTGGACCTGAATAAATGTTCCAAGTCCAGGTTTTTGACATCATACTGTTTTGACCCTTCACTGCTCACTTAAGATTGATCAATTTTATTCAGCTTTACTATCAATTATTTTATATGGAAAAATGGCTTCTTCAGTAAATATAAACTGAGAAAGAACAAAATCAATTATAAATCTATTATATCACAGAAATTATTTATCACAAAACATATAACCTTTGAAAACATCACAGGCACCTGACGTTACTTATTTTTTCTTTTAATAAAAAAAAATATACCCATGTATTCTTTGGCGATTTCTCGGAATGTTGAAGCAGTAGGTCGAGTTTGACGAGGGATTTTCAATATTTGCAAGTGTGATGCGCCTTTCTGGCTGCAGTGTCCGTAAGTTTAGACCTCGAAAGACTGACCACAGAAAGAATATGGTTGCAGGGAATTCATTTGACGGAGTTTCAGACGAAAATACAAGTGATGACCTACTTCGAAAATCCAAGATGGCGGGTTTCGATGGGTACCTTGTTTATTATTAGGTATGTGTATATTTTTTTTAATGAAAAGAAAAATAAGTAACGTCAAGTGCCTGTGGGACAGATGATTCTGTGTATGTTGGATACACTGCATCATCGATATACCGGTTTATCATGACTACACGATTGTCAAGATGCACTATACAACTTCAGAATAACCGAATTAAAGTAAAGGCATCATTTTTAAAGCAGAAAAAAAAAATCGAAACAAAAAAGAAAAAATCAGTGGAATGGAGACTTATGGGACGAGGGAAGAGATCATAATGAATTTCTTTTAAATATGGTACACATGCATCTGATCATTGCACGTCGGGAATCTAAATGACATTTTGATTCTTTTCCTTATTATAACATAAAAATACTAACTTTTTAGAAAATGTTCGTACAATCAAGAAAATCGGTTACCTTTTATAAAGACTACGACGTTTTTTTTCGTTTTCAAGTACCCGAAAATTGATAGTAGATTTGTAAATATGCATAGTTGAGCTTGATAAAATCATTAAATGTATCACTGCTTAACATTATTATCTTTCTATAACATTTAATAAATTTTAAAAGCCATAAATATCGTTCTTTTATTTATGCACTTTTGTATATACAGAGACAACCTGTCCCACCTCCATGCTGAAATGGGTACTTTTTGCCTCTCTGTCGTAGGAGAGTTACAATCTCGAAACTCAAGTATTGTCAACTTCTTACTTATGAAACATATGGATATAACGGACAGTATTCAAGATCAAAAGTCCATAAAACAATACAAAATAGGAGCAGAACAAACACAGACCTCCAAAGCATTAGAGGTGGGATCAGGTGCCATGGAGGAGTGAGCATCCCCTGCTGACCGGTCACAACCGCATTTTGCTTCTTATCATGATCGGGAAATAACGGAAAAATCCATTTCAATGTACAAATAATGGACTAACAATTAGTATGAAAAACGTCATTCAGCATTTGGCCCAATGATAAATTGTATTTGCTGACAAGGTCATTGTTTCGACCATAGAACTTACGAAATGATGACTTTAAACGAGATTGCTGATATTCAAGTTTCATCAAATTGGTTGTCAATAATTTACCTCGTTTAAGATATTGTTCATGCATAAAGCATGTTCTTGCGTATCGAATCATCTGAGATATGTATATTCTGTATGCAGGTGATGAAGGTGTATTGCTGCATAAGTACGGGAAGTTGACGATAGAAAAGTTAAAGTCATCACGTTTATCATATACCCCGGTAGCTTAGTTGTTAGATTACCATTAACGTCTTTTTTAAATAAAATATCAAAGTATGAAATAGATGTATCAGACTCTGTGGTATCTTTTATCTCAACCTCACCAGGATATATCGTATCGACGTAGGAATGAAAATTACCATTGTTAATTGACAATACGTCGTCGATATATATATAGGCCAAAAATCATAAGATTTTGCACAAATGCTGCTTCGTATGAATATAAAAATATGCTAATTGTCATGGGAATTTCAGTAGAGAAACTCCAAAAACCACATAGATATTGTCAATTAGAAACTCTATAGAAGAAAAATATGGAGATAACGAACAGTATTCAATATCATAGTCCATAAAACAATACAAAATAGGAGCAGAGCAAACACGGACCTCTGAAAGATCAGAGGTGGGATCAGATGCCGTGGAGCATAACCTGCTGACCAGTCACACCCGCCGTGTGAATTTTGAGGACAATGAGGAAATTTGATATTGAGTATAGAATTGTAATTGGATACTGAGCCAATTAAAAAAAATAGAATATTCCCTCTTGGTGTCCAAAACAAAATGATTCCTAAACAATCTTCTGGAAAGAGCAATTTGCAGTTAAGATAGAAAAAACATTGAATCTGCAATGGTATCTAACAGGAAACACATTAAATAAACCTCTTTCTAAAGACAAGTAATCCATTAGTTCATAGCACCATTTCTAAGGAGGAAATTCGTCAAAACCTAGCCAGATTTAAATACTCAGGTATATTTAATATTCCCAGCAACCAAAATGAAATTGAGTTGTACAACATTTATACTAGATTGTAAAACTCCACAAAATTCCTTACAAAGATACTATTGTACACAGCGGGTTCCAGTACTGTTCTACCAAACCTCCTGTACTCCCCATTAAAATATTCATAGCAAGGAAAGGAAAACTTAAGGTATATTGTGCAACAATATATTCGAAAAGATGTGGATACTTAATATATCCAAAGATTTGTTAAAAAATTTGAAATCACAAAATTTTACCAAAATCAATAGATCGAACGTTACGATTTACATGTACCAACACTTAATATAAATTCTCCGCGATAAGTCAAGGCTTTTTGACATCATAGACCGCTGTTGTTGTTTTTTTTTTCAATAAAAATAGATTTCATAATTAAACTTAACTTGTCATTGATCACATAATTAATTTTTTTTTTTTAAATCTGATCATACACACAATTACTCTGAAATTGTTTTTTTTTAAAGATGCCCGAGTTTCTGATTCAGTAAAGATCTTTGTAATTTTTGGAGATAAGATTATCTATCAAATCCATTCTGTTGAAAATTTCTAATGGTACTTATTGCACCCTTTGTAACCAGGAGGTGGTGACATAAAGCTTGCTAAGATTTTGAAAATATGTATTCAACTTCTTACTTATAAAGCAATATACTCTACTCATTTGCATATGGGGTTCATGACTCTCCGTTGATTCGATACGAGAGAACATACTCTACGTATGAATAATTTCTAAAAAGATGCAAGCTCTTGACAAACAAATCGTTGAAATAACTATCAAAATTTAATGTTTCGTTTTCAGTCATCATTTTGCATTTTATTTGGTCCACAATGTTTTTCAAACTTGTTAGCTAATTTAAAAACTGAATTGACTACTTTCCCTCCTGTTTTTTTTTTTCGGATAACAACAAGGAGCACATAGCGGGTGTGGCCGATAACTCACTCCTCCATGGCACCTGATTCCACCTCTGATTTGAATTAGGCCTGTGTTTGCTCTGCTCCTTGTATCGTTTGAATGGACTTGCGAGCTTGAATACTGTTACATGTAGTTATTTCCATATTTTTTTTCAAGAAAGCGGACACAACATGTTCCCCTGGAAAGTGAAAGATTTAGATATACCGGCACGACGTATTCTGTAGATTGATGACCAGTTATGTGGCATAAAATCTTTAAAAGCCTATGAAATAAATGAAGAGATAAATCACCTGATAAGATTTTCATTCCATCGAGGAGAAAAATTTCCAAGAGGACATATCCTTATCCTAATGAACAAAAGGAGTTTATGACATTGGGAGGCGGATATATCATTAGATTAGATGAAAAGGTCAGCTTGGACAAGTTCCCCCCAGAAAAGGGAGAGTCAAAAAGGAACGACGTCATTAAAAAGGGGAATAGATTCTCACTCAATGGTTAAGAAATTAATAACGTCAGCAAACTAGAAAATGCTTTGGTCAAATATAATGATCTTTTCTATACGTATGATTGTATTTTGATTTATATATTAAGAAATTACTTTAACTTTTACTTGTTTATTATAAGTTCATTTTCCAATGATTATTCCTCATGGGCAATTACTTGAAAAGCAAATTATCCATCAATGAATTACTTGTATTCAATACATGTAACTGAATCAAATGTGTTATAGCTGACACCAAAGACTGTAATGTACTTTGAAAGGTGGTACAGTATTTTCTTAGAGGTAAAGATTGTCCCTCGTCTTGTACATCCCCATTCTTATTCTGTTAAAGGCAGAGATTTTTTACGGGGTGGTAAATTCCAGGAAGATATACTAGTATACAAAATGATCATAATTTAAGACTAAAATGTAAGAATGTTTCTTTGCCAAATGATAGTTGAGAGCTTGATATCATTATCTAAAAAAAAGTTATATCTAATGGTTAATATGTTGAAACCCCCCCCCCCCCTTCCGTATTTATGGCGATGTTACCAGCTATATGTTCCTGTTAGGAATTAATTTTCACCACTAATGGTTCCTGTAGTCCTTACTTTTAATTTCCTGTTGTCGATTTTTAAGTTTTTAATTCAAAAGATTGAACATTATTTTTTACCTTCTTGTATGCTTTTGTATCGGTAAAGACGTACTAAGTGTCGGGAACTTTAATAGCAGCCAATATTTTACAACATGCCATTGACATGTGACGTTTGTTTATCAACAAGATAAGACCGGTGCTTTTCCGGAGACATCAGCAGGTAAACGTTTACACCTTTATAATTATGTACTTTAATTTGTACTTTAATTAGTTAAGCCCCTAACCGTCTGTGAATTGTCAGTGCTTATTATCAGGGACCTATATACTAATATATAGGTCCCTGTTATTATTTTGCTTACAGTGATTCGTATCTTATTCCACTTTCAGTTTGGTTAGTCTAAAAATTTGATTTGCGTAGTTAATTTTTTATTTCGCTTTGATATGCATTTTCTTTAAAAAAGGGGGCATGTTGTTATAGATTAGCACTATAAAAAGTACGTGCAGAATTGAAGATGACAGAAAATGGAGACGAAAATCCCAAAAAGGCCCGACTAGAAGACGATCCTTTCAGATGGCCCGGGTACACGGGCGAAGCCTACCCAGAACTGTGTGACATTCGTGCAATGCCCCCGCAACCTAAAGAACTAAAGCCCGGACAACTGAAGGAAGACCTGATTAGGCAATATTTTGAGGAGGTATATATATATGAGCCAATATATAAGCCACATAAAATTAATCTTAATGCGTCAATTTTATTGAAAGTCCATTAATTTTCTCATGAATCAAAATATGAAATTTACTGTATTTTCGACAAAATTATATTTTCCTTTATTTGGTTTTATGCATTGTTTTCCGGGTCTTGTGTATAATTGTGATTCCTCGTGATGGATCAATGATTCAGAAGGCAGTGTGTAAAATGGAGATGCTATTTCTAGCACGGACGTCTTTTAAGAGGGCATGGGAAACGTGGATAAGATAAGAGGCAATGTGAAGTGGAGATAACTTATCGCAGAATCTGGGCTCAAGCATCACTTTACGTCTTATCTTTGAATTTATTCAATTTAAAAATTGTTAGAGATTATTTCAAAATACTCGTACAACGACAGCCTAAATTTTCTGAAATACTGATTATAAAATTTTTGAAGATGGTTGTCTTATCTGAGGGTAACGGTCAGTCTGACGTAAAGAGAGGCACTGTAGAAAACACGGGAATACAATGCAGGATTTTTTGGAGTAAATGCGAATAGGAAAATGAAGTTAAAACGGACATTATTGCTATGCTATAGATCTAGAAACGTTCTACATGTAGGACACTCAGTCTCTGAATAATCACATAGTTCAATTATATAAATCAGTTTTCTCGTGTTTAAATTTTAACACTAGTATTGTATCCTATTTCAGGGTTATTTGATCATAAAGGATTTTTTCACGGATGACGAACTCCAGGCATGTAGAGATGATTTAGAGGACGAAGTTGATAAACTAGCAAACAAGCTGTACAAGGCAGGGAAAATAAAAAGTGAATATCATAAGACTTCATTGATGCTTTTTCAAATGCGTAACCATTGATGGTAAAAAGAACAAAATGAAGAAATAAATGTGAAAATGTTGCTGAAAGTGTGAACGCATATCTTTCTGACATATTTTTCCAGATCTGTACGAGGAATACGATCTTGATCATCGTTTGATTAAGATAGATGAAGAGTTCCCTGGAGCGGTCATTTTGCTGCACAAAATCGGCCGTTTACCCCCAGTAAGTGTATATATAGACCTAAATAAAATATTGAATATGTGTTCAAAATATTAACTGGATTTGTGCTTGTATCTGTATCTATAGTTTGTTTTATGTTATTAATAAAAAAAACCCATTCTTCTGATTTTTAACAGTCCTTTAGGAAACTATGGGGTAACGAGAGACTTTTAAATCTAATGGAACAGCTGATTGGTCCAGACATTGCGGGGATGCCAAACTGGAATCTGCGCGATAAGACACCTCACAACGAGGCCACGACAGTTCCATGGCATCAAGGTATTAAGAACGCATCTGAATCCTAATAAATGTGGTTTATTTATTATTTATCACAAAGGTAGCAAAACCAGATGTAGGAACTTGTATTTATTTGTGATTACATCTGTACCATATGTCCATAAGCACCATCCAAATCCTTTTGCTCTTCTAGTGATAATCAAGTCTGAGTTGTTTTGTTGTCCTCGGCATATTTTTATAGAGAGTCCTTGGAATCATGGATACTTTTTAAGAAAGGTCTAATAGGCGCAATCAAACAGTTTGGACCGAACCCGACAAAACGCATGTTCCCTCGAACAATGCAAGAGTATATGTCAGTTTTGTACCTTCAGAGAAAATAGGTCTTATTAATTTTGATTAAGATTTTGATTTCAACGAACGATATTCGTTTAGTTTTTAAAAACAGAAATACTGAAAAATTGCTCCTACTTTAGTTTAAAACGTACAATTCGCAGTTCAATAAAACTGATACAAGATAGACTACAAGCAGCAGAACTTGTGTATATTTTAGATGCAGGATATCTGTCCACAGACATTTACAAAGTCTTTATGCCTACAGTTTGGATCCCATTTGTCAACACAAACAAAAAGAATGGTTGCATGGAGGTAATTTAAAAAAAATCAAAAATAATCATTCAAATAAATCTCGAAATTTAACTTGTCTAAAAACCGATATTTTTCTGATACATTAATACCAATAGGGGATGGAACGGGTGGTGTTGATTTTTTCCGAAATACAAATTATATTAAAATACAGCATATCTCAACATTCATGGCCAATTTGAATGCCTTTGTTTACTGTCTTCTGTATTTCAAAGGTTATACCAAAAGGTCATTTAAGTGGAAAGGTCGCAGTCCACCAGTGTTGTGCTGGGGACACGTGGTATATCATGCTAGAGGACGAGGAAATGAAAAAGAGGCTGGGTAAGACTGTTGTACCATGCTCCTTAACTGAGGAAAGCCATTGATACATAATGTTTAAATAAGGATAAAACCTTTTCCTGTTCATACTAGAAAGGTTGAAAATTTTGATTTATGCAAGCATAGTTTAACAGACATTATCTCCTAGTATGTTTTGTGTTGGTAGGTTGCTCAACAAAAGATGCGGTTGTGTGTGAAATCCCTTACGGAGGTTTTCTACTTTTCAATAATTTCATTCCTCATCGAAGGTAAAATATTATCAAAGTATTATTATGTCATTTACTTTAATTGAGAGAATTATTATAACAGTCTGAATGATGATTTGTACTGTAAATATCATTTACCAAATAGCCATGTTCTTGATTTTAAAGAAGTCTATATTTTTAACAAAACTTTTTGTCATTTAAGTCTTGACAACAAATCGGACCACGTCCGCTGGAGTGTCGATCTAAGATTCAAAGTTCCAGGCGAAAATAACGGGATGTTTGGGCTCAAACCTGATGTCATAATGCGCAAGAAAGAGAAACCCGGCATGGAAATCGACTGGGACACCTTTGATTCTCTAAACAGAACGGAGCTCCAGATGAAATCCGTCAAAGATATCGTTGACGTACGTATAACACTTGATTTTATTAGGACCACATGGACTGAATATTGAGTCCCCCTATCCATCCTCTACACATCCTTATGACTACTCAACACTTTCCCCATAAATCATTGTTCTTAGACCATATTTAAAAAAAAGTAATTCTTGCAGAAAAACTTTTAAGTAATATTTTTTCGATAAAAGCAAATGAATAAAAATAGAGAAAAAAAATAGTTTAATATATTTCTAGCCGTATGATTAATGATATATTTGAACCACTGCAGGTGAAAGATGACCAAGAATTCGACACAACCGTGCAGGGACCCTGGATGAGGAAATGGGAGATAACTCACATTAATACGCACGTCAAAAAGCACCAGCAGACGGAAAAATCAAAGAGCTGAAGACAATGTGTAGTGTTCTGTCTCTCTCTTAAAAACTCTGAATGTGTGCAATCAGCCATAGGACATGATTGACAGTTGGATCATTTTAACCTTCTTTCAATACATTCCATGTACACTAATCTATTGAGATATAAAGATATGAAACTATATATAAAATGGGTTGATAAAAATAAAGGTACTAGTAAGTTGATTATGGGAAAGAAAAGTTTTATCATTTTTAAAAACATTTGTTAAATATGCATGCTTGAAAAGATATGAAACTGTGTAAGTGAGTGGATAAAAATAAAAGTTTATTGATTATGGGAAAGAAGAGTTTATCATTTTTCAAAACAATTTATTGAATATGCTTGAAAAAATATTCAATCAGAAAATAAAATGTACCACTGGAATTTTGAAAAGTAGCTATGAATTTCAGTTTTGATAAAAAAATATCTGTAAAATACCACTGATATAATCGATCTCATATAATGGCAACAACCAGTCTGCTTGTACAAAGGATATTGAGAAAGATGTTGAGATCATTAAATGTCACTGCAGGAAGACGTGCAAGAACACACAAAGCTTGCGAATCCACTAATACAAGAAAGGGTGTCAACCCAAGGTCACTAGGCAACATTGCACAGTTACTCCAGCTGAGATGTAGTAGGTTCATAGTTCGGAGACACGCCACAGAGTTAACTCTTTACAACTTACTGAACTGTTATGCAACATACACTTAATGTTCACGTCCTAGAAATATGACGTTACCTTTTCCCTGCAAGCACTTTATAGCGCGGTACAAGTTTCCCTAAAGTCTAGCGTAAATAATTTTACCTAATATTTTAATAAGAAAATAATTTTTCTTATTTTATAAGATTTTAGCAAGCACAGAATAGAGGCAAATTGGCATTTAATTAAAGATTATTAAATGTACTTTTTAAAGTGCGTGATTGCGGGGAAACGTATATGCGTGATTTTGCGTTGGAAATAGGAAATGTATGCGATAAAATGCGGGGAAGGGGGTTAAAGGCCTGTACGGACAGATACCCTGCATCTAAAGACTAAAATTGAGCTTTCCACATACTTTTTCCTTCTCTATCTTAATTCTCTTTGGTCTGGTGGTACTAGTACAAAAGAAAAGAATAAAGAAAGCTGACATGTCTATCCTATAAAAGTAAATAAATAATTACAGTTTTAGAGTGTAACAGTCATTAGTTTAACTCTTTGGGTATCTCTTGTTTTGTTTGCAAGATTTATCCTTCAAACACCTCTTTGTTAACACCCAGAATTCTCTGCAAAAATTCTGGCCGACAGGTAACAATAGTTTATAGGGCATTCCGGACAGAGCTGTCCAGTGTGTAAGACACATTGTAATGGAACAGGACATATTTGGTTAATTTTTTGCACCAGCATGTGCCTTAAACTTACAGCAAGGTTACTGTGACAGTTTAGTATATTTCTGCACGGAAAACAGACCGTGGTGAGTATATTTTGCAGAATTTTTAGTTATGTTTTATGTACTTTTAAAATTTGTTCTATAAATTCACCTAGGCAGGCACTCATCAGTGACTTACTTGTATGTGCGTTCAGGTGTGACGTTAACGAGAGTGTTTGAATAGGTATCTTGTCAGAAGTTTTATCGCTGTTACAGAAATTCTATACATTTAAAAAACAATCTATTTCTTATTTTATTGTATTTATTGTTCGCTGTATAACTTTTTCATTTAAATGTCTGTGCGGAAGTAAGTGACCGGAAGTATTGTCAGCCATTTTTAGCCGGGCTTATTGCTCAAAGAGCAATTGCCGGCTTATGTCATCCTGTTCAAGACAGGATGTTGACCCCATAGTCGCCATTTTAAAGCTACGTGTAAAAATATAGTTCTTACTCTCAACCGCTTCTGAGATAATACAAACGCTGAATAAAGCAACATAAATTAAACGAAGTTTTATCTAAATAAATAAACATTAGTAGTAATGACTTTGAAAACTTCAGTCTTTAGTCAAAGAACATAGTTTATTAGCGTAAGGATTTCTGATAATCAGTGTTATCGTTTAGCCGGGCTTATTGCTCAAAGAGCAATTGCCGGCTTATGTCATCCTGTTCAAGACAGGATGTTGACCCCATAGTCGCCATTTTAAAGCTACGTGTAAAAATATAGTTCTTACTCTCAACCGCTTCTGAGATAATACAAACGCTGAATAAAGCAACATAAATTAAACGAAGTTTTATCTAAATAAATAAACATTAGTAGTAATGACTTTGAAAACTTCAGTCTTAAGTCAAAGAACATAGTTTATTAGCGTAAGGATTTCTGATAATCAGTGTTATCGTAGTTCTCTACACTAACGAGGAAAAACAGGAGAGGGAACCAGACTGGCCTCTTTGTTTACATTCAGCCGTAGTACCAGATTAATTTTGATTCTGACAAAATCGGACCGTGGTATTTGGATCGAAAACTCACTGTCAGTGTCTTATAATTTATATTGCTAGTTTTAAAATAATTTTTTCATCAGAATTTTTAATCTGATATTCTTGTTATTTATTTGTTAATACAATATAAACGTATGATTCATGTAAGAAATTCGTTTAACTCTGTAAATGAGCCCGGCTCTCTGAACTTCTGAGTACTTTGATTTTAATATCAACCGAGAAGTTGTGATTGCAATCGCAACCAATCGTAACTTCTCGGGCCTTTCCGACTAGCGGAAAAACGACCTCGAATGTATATGGTAGACGCCATGACAACCCTCCCTTTTCACGATCTTTGAAATAAATGAATAAAGACCTTTTACCTGTGGAATATGGAGTTTAACTTTACTCAATGTAATGATATTACCTAAAATATACTATAGAAGGGACTTCTAACTTCGTCTATCCTATGTTTGAATAAACAGGAAATGTATAAATTTTTAACGTCTAGTGATGTACATTCGAGGTTGTTTTTTCCGAGCTCTGACGGAAAGCGAGATGATGCGATTGATTTTTTTATCTATGTCAACTGTAAACAAACTGTTGATATTGAAAGTAGCTTAGTGTTTATATTATATTGAACTTAAACATAACATGGCTATCAATAAAAGCCAATATAATTGTTTTCTATAGTGTTGTCATATGTAGAGTAAATAATTATTTAATGCTAAAGAAGAGTTAATATTTTAGTACCATGCTGAGGTGTTCATGGTAACGATGATGTGATGATGACGACGATTATGTCGATGATGTTGATGATGATGTCGATGATATCAATGATAATTATGTTGATGAAGACGATGTCGATGATGATGTCTATGACTTACACGCGGGAATCGCTTGTATTTGTGAACAACACTAGTTCCAACCACAGCCTAGGACTACAGCCCCGGAGGTTTGGAGGATAGTGTTGATCCGAATTGTGTGAACTTTCATATTGATGTGGACAGTACTGGCAAGATGTTGATAGGTTTGAGTTATTGAGAACACGTGTTGAAAACAGTTTATTGAAAACTGTTGATTATTTTTTCTTTCATTGTAAATAACATTTTTATGATCATTTGAGTGAAAGTGCGTGTGTGTGATTGTATGATTTATTTGTTTATTTTTTTATTATCATTATTTTTTGTAAATAAACTCTTGTTTCGTTTGAAACCATTCTTGGTTTTGATTTAAAAAGGAATTTTTCTTAAATCAAGCCTTAGATACCTGTGCTTATTATCATGATATGAATAGTAATACGTTAACGATACGTCGAGATCTACCCAGCTTAACAGGATCCTAATCCAAAAAATCTGACGTTTTCCTGGCTTTTTTACGATTTTTGATATATCGTAAAAAAGCCAGGAAAACGTCAGATTTTTCGGACTAGGATCCTGTTAACCTGGTCTGACGTTTTCCTTATTTTTTTTTTTTTTTTTTTTTACGATTTTTGATGTTATAAAATATCAAAATCGTAAAAAATCCAGGAAAACGTCAGATTTTTCGGACTAACAGGATCCTTTTGTAGCCATCCTCGCGTCCTGTTGGCTCAGGGAACGAGTTTTTCCAAGTCTTCTCTGCTGTAAATGTCGTCTTATGACACAAGACTGACTCTCGTGGCATCCTGAATGATGCTGGAAACACATCGTAATAAAATTGAGATGTCACCACTAACAGACAGAGGGCTGCAAAGTTACACCCGTACTCGGCACTGTTTGAGTAACGAAGGATCCTTTTTATGTCAGCACCTACTGCGACACGGGATCCGATTTATACGGCCTCGTCCAAAGGACCGATCTCCAAGTCCTGCAGTGGGATTGGAAACTGCTATTACTGTAAGGATCAACTCCTTAGTGAGCGGCTTTTGTGCAAACCCTCTAACCAATGCTACCCGGCAGATGACTGTTGAATATTGGAGCAAATGGTGCATGGTGAGTAGATTGCAATATACTTAGTCTGGCAATTTGAAGAGGAACATTCACATAAAATGTCCACATAATATTCTGAAATAGACTAAAATGCCCTGCAATAAGAGCATAAAACCACATAATAAATTAATTTATTAATCGATAAATGTTATCGGAAAGAAATTATTTAAAACATGTTTATATTAAGGTCAAGATCTAGTAAATGACTTTAGAATAACTTTTCAGTGCTAAATCCATTATGGCGTCTGGTCATAATCACTTTGAACTTTCTTTTTCCCTTACTTTACGGCTCGAATAGAATTATGTAGAAAATAAAGTATTTTCATGGAATTCAATTTGAAATCACGTGAAAAGTAGTCCCGATGCCTATCTTAAATTTAACATTATTTTAAAGTAGTGACTAAGAACATACAAATAACCGTTTTATGAAAAACTGTAGGCAATCTAGATACATTTTCTTTGTCTGATATGGAAAAAAACTCCCATATTTAATACATGTACTGGTTTTCTTAATTTTTCTTTGAAAATGACAGTTTAAAATATGGTTTTTCATTTTGTTTTTCTACAATTTTTGCCCCGAAACACCTATTTTGACTAAAGGGGGGGGGGTGTTAAGGACCAACAGCATGTACTTTCAGGACCTTTTATTCGCATATCCCAACATTACCCCGACTTTACTATATTATAGTGTAACAAATGTAAGTGAAGAAGGGGGGGGGGGTCTTTCAAAGAAAATTTTCAGCAAAATGTTTGGTGAAATGGAGACCGTCTTTAATACTAAATGCCTCAATAACATATTTTTTAGCTCGCTTGTAGTTTTAACCACCCTAAAACACGCAGCATTCACTTAATAATATTATTAATTAATAATAATCATAATATTTCTCTTTTTTTCTTACCAATCCTCGAACTGCCACTAGAAATCTTGGATCCGCGCCTTGATACAAAAAA